GAATTAGTGATGACGGAGTGAATTGACAAGACATACACCATTCGAAAGGTGACCCCCTAAGATTTTAGCATGGCAAGTTTCAGCTTTTTTGGAATCAAACTACGCCCACACTGTGCGAAAAACTCTGATATTATACTAGACATCAGTTTGAAAAAAAGTGAATTAGTGATGTAAGAGTGAATTGACAAGACATACACCATTCAAAAGGTAATCGCCTGAGATCTTTCCACGGCAAGTTTCAGCTTTTTTGGAATCAAACTACGCCCACACTGGGCGAAACACTCTGATATTATACCAGGCACCAGTTTAAAAAAAAGTGAATTAGTGATGTCGGAGTAAATCCTCACCAATCACATGTACAACTTCAATGTGGGCGTTTTGCTTCAATTGTTCGACAGGATCTTCCAAAAGAACCGAAATGAAGTTTTTTTTTATTTTGCTCGGACACGTTTCGTCGTATAACGGCGCGTGCAGGCTACAGGGATTTGGGGAGGATAGGTTACCCCGAGAATAGGTTACCCACCGGATAGGTTACCCCAAAAAACACATAACTCGGAGGATAGGTTACCCCACCGGATAGGTTACCCCACGGATAGGTTACCCCACCGGATAGGTTACTCCACGGATAGGTTACCCCTTACCAAAAAAAGAAAAAAATTTTTTTTGAAATGTTTTCGCTTCGGGAGTTGAAAAAAAGGATTTTTTGTGAAAATTGAAAAAATTTTTAAATGTTTTCGCTTCGGGAGTTTAATAAGAAGGATTTTTTGTGAAAATTGAATAAAATTTGAAATGTTTTCGCTTCGGGACTTGGAAAAAAAGGATTTTTTGTGAAATTTGAAAAAATTTTGAAATGTTTTCGCTTCGGGACTTTTAACAAAAGGATTTTTTGTGAAAATTGAAAAAAATTTGAAAGGTTTTCGAGCTGACTGAGTATGAACTGACTGAATATGAAAACTGGGTTTCTGTTACCTTACTGCCTTTAGGGATTCTTTTTGAAAATTTTTCGACTTATAACACTTTTAGACGTTAATGGTGTTGTTTTGGTGCCTAGTACTGCTTAAAAAACACATTTTTAACACTTGGTACTAAATAGTACTACCTGGTACTATTTAGTACAAAGTGCAAATTTGGCCGTAAGGCGGTAATGGCGTTGGTTTGGTGCTTAGTAGAACCCAAAAACACGTTTTAACACTTGGTACTAAATAGTACTACCTGGTACTATTTAGTACGAGGTGCAAATTTGGCCGTAAGGCGGTAATGGCGTTGGTTTGGTGCTTAGTAGAACCCAAAAACACGTTTTAACACTTGGTACTATATAGTACCAACTGGTACTGTTTTGTGAGAAGTGAAAATTTGGCCATGAGGCAGTAATGGTGATGGTTTGGTGCTTAGTAGAGCCCAAAAACACGTGGTACTATATAGTACCAGGTGGTGCCATTGGTGTTAGACAAAATTTTAGTGCTGCCGGCACCACAGTTAATATTCAGTCAGACACCCTTTTTTCTACTTCCGATGCGAAAACATTTCAAAATTTTGTTGAATTTTCCAAAAAATCTTTTTTTCCCAGTCCCGAAGCGAAAACACTTCAAATTTTTTTCAAATTTCACAAAAAATCCTTTTTTTCCAACTCCCGAAGCGAAAACATTTGAAAAATTTTTCAAATTTCACAAAAAGTCCTTTTTTTCCAAGTCCCGAAGCGAAAACATTTCAAAAAAAAAATTTTTTTTCAGGTAACCTATCCTCGGGGTAACCTATCCTCCGAGGTAACCTATCCGTGGGGTAACCTATCCGCTGGGGTAACCTATTTGTTAGGGGTAACCTATCCTCCGAGAACGGGCTACAGGGTTTTTTATGTTCCCAAATCTGTAAAACAAATCTAGATCGTGGAGGATGTAATTAGCACGATGTCTCAGTGAATATCAAATTGTGAGCTTTTAAATTTCAGGAGTCGACTGGTGTCCTAGCCAAGCTCGATATTTTCTATCAAGAATTGGTCAAAAGCACCTTTTGCTATGTCTCCCGAGCTCTGTGCAAACAGGATCGTCTGGCATTTGCTCTACGGTTCGTGAAGGCTGAACTGTTCGATGATAAGGTAAGGGTTTCAAACTGTGATTTCTGTTTTTAGATGTTGTGTTAGGTACCAGCGAAGAATTAGGTTAAAACTGCCGTCTTTGATAGGTGTATTACCTAAATTCATGCTTAAGATTTCCTCTTGCAGGAGGCGAACTTTTTCTGCGGCAACCTGGTGGATGAAGCGGTCTCGGACACTGGATCTGCACCTTCTTGGCTGTCCGAAGACGTTCAACAACAAATCGCGAAATTACGAGCGTATCTTTCTCTCTTTATTCACAATTAGGTTTGCAAGATCGGTCTTCATTAACAGACTATGCATAACAATAGTAGCCAGCTTCCGGGGCATATTTATCAGAAACTCAAATTTCCAGAAGGTTCTTGTGATCTCAACCGGAGAATGAAACCACCGCAATGACGCACTTGTTACGCGCAGTTTTCAAGTGCCGTCGATTAATCCGCCATCCAATGAGCTCATAGTTGCCACCTAATCGGCCGATATTGCTGATCCTCGGTCTACTTGAATAACGTCCATTTTCTACCCGATTTCTTACTCATGATTCACTCAGTAAGTTTAATTTTTAGATGTTATTTCTTTCAAGGTTTAAGCCACTAAAAACACGTCTAATTTCGACTACATTTGAAGCAAAATTTATATTGTGCTTGATATTAACGTCAAAAATTTTGATCTCAGAAGTCGCACAGTTGATCTCCAAGTCCTTCCTTCCGTCTATGGCTGAGTGCAGAGCCAGACAACCAATTCCCAGCGGTTCCATTGCAAGGCGCACTCAAGATTGCTTCCGAAACGCCTCCGGGAATCAAACACAATATTAGCGGGACTTTGAAACAATGGATTGACGTGGAAGGAAATAGTGGAAAATCGGAGTTGGAACTGAAGACTCAATTCTTCTTGGCGTGGTTCCACGCTATCATCTAAGAAAGGAGGACGTATATTCCACAGGTAAAGTTATGTTATCCATGATAAGATTTCCTTGAAATTTAGGGATGGCTAAAGTTTTACGAGTTCAATTCGAACGACTTGAGAGTTGCCAGACAGGTCCTTGATGTGATGGGTTCAAAGAATGGTGAGTTCTTTGCGTACTTTTTAGTTTTTTGTTGTTTAGGTTATAATTGAGAAGCGATTCGCGGCTTTATGGAAGATGCGATATATGGGGGAAGAATCGAGAATCAACTCGACATTCGAGTACTGTCAGCTTACTTGGACAAGTTTTTGAGCCAAAAAATGGTGACGAGTAGAGATGGGGAACTGGATTCAAATCTTAGAATGCCCGAGGCTAAATCAATGAACGAATGGCTGGATTTCGTCAAGAGTAAGGTGAGGAATGCCATACGAGTTTAGTAATATTGATACCATCCGTAAGGAGCTGGATATTACGGTGTTGTGCGTTAGGGAAAGATTTGATCCACCGAGGGAAAGTCTTGACTCAGGTCTGGAAAACAATGTAATTGGTATCAGAAATGTCTCGAGAATGAATTACAACCTTTTTCAGATACCAGAATTGGATAAACCATCGCTGTTTGGCCATCCCGAGAACCTTGGAGCGACTTATGAGCTGGAACAAAGTCGGCAAACACTAAATTCTCTAAGGTCAATGCAGAAATATAGCCGATGATCGACACTTGATGCCTTCAATCAGTGGGCAAAGAAACTTCAACCAATTCTGGCATTTTGGAAGCGGCTTCATCAACAGAATGACCTTCTTCAGGCAGAATTGACGGATTCCGACTCGACTGACCCAATTATTGATATGCTAAACTCCGAGATGCACTTTGGAATTGGACTGTAAGTAGTTACGGGCTGTTAGAATTCGAAATTTAGGTGATAGTTTTGCTAGATCATTATTTTTTAAATTTTTGTACCAAATTTATTTTGTTTTAGGTAAAAAAGATCCATTCGACCTTGGCCAACATCCGGAAAGGTCTTGCCGGCAAGCTTGCCCCCACTGCCAAGACAGTCCAAGCCGCGAAGACACTGTTGGACCAACAAACCCCGGTGGATTGGGATCTAATCTGGCCGGGACCCGAGGATTGTTACCATTACATGGAGAAGGTGTGCGATAAGGCCAGAAAGGTCAAGAAGTTGAGCACCTCAATAAGTGGACAGGATCTGCTCAATGAAGCTATAGATTTGGATCACCTTTTCCGGCCGACAGCCTTGCTAAATGCACTTAGGCAATATAGCGCAAGGTGGGTGGAAAATCGATGAAATTATGGGGATTACGACAGTTTTTGGGCAGTTTCTGGAGTGGAAAGTGTTGTAAATTTGAAGAAGAGAGTTTTTTAGTTGAACTAGAGCGGTTACGTTAGTTTTAAAATAACAAGATTGATTTTTTTTGTTGATTTAGTACTACGATATAAATTTTTTTTCAGACACCTAAATGTTGGCGTGAACAGACTCCAATTCGTCACTAGCTTGTCCAAAATGCAGTCCAGAGCCCCCTCGATGCAGACTGGCCAACTAAAAATTCAGGGCGCCGTTCTGGGAGGAGGCCATTTAATGGCTGTGGACCAGAATTCTGCAGCGATTTCTTCGGCTCCGGTCATACATGTGGCGTGGATTGGAATGGTAGGATCAGTTTTGGGGTGTGGGGATGTTTTCGACAAGATTGGACGATTTTTTTTTTGATTTTTTAGGATGAACCGGAGCCATATCGTCAAGAAGAAAGCGCGAAATCCCATTGTTTGTGGCTTCAAACCGAACGGAATTCGTTGGCCAAGTGAAAGTCCCGTGCTCCCAAGGCCAAAGAGATCAGTGGGTCCTGGCGGCGTTTACCCGGATTTGTATTCAAGTATCATACGTCATATTTTGTAGTTTTATTTTTTATGATTAGATTGTTGTGTGATTGCATGATCTCATTGAATAAATAGAAGGTAATGTGTAGCTTTATGTTAGATTTTTTTCTTCAAGACCGAGTAGATTGAGCCTGGAGGCAGCTGGGAATGGTCCTCATCAAACAGGATCTCAATTTTCTGCTTGGATTTCTTCAAATTTTCGGCGAGATGGTCCATCTGGAAGTAAAATTGTATAAAAGTCATCATGTGCAATATCCAAAAAAATTAAAATTTTAAACAAAAAACTAACTAGAAGACTACAAGATCGAGTCCCAAGCGGCCATTAGGCACAGAGGCTTTTTGACGTTTGTTTGAGAAATCCACTGGCCGATAAGGCACCAAATTTCATTCCAGTTTAAGGTTTTCTCTCAATACATGGCTGGAAACCGTAAGAGTCAAATTACATCAATTCGAAAAAAGACTTTCGCCATTTCCCGATATTATACATGACAAAAAAGGAACATCTGGTTGAAACAACTTACAATACTCCTTATTTGGGCTGATCCCATCCTCAGAAAATCCGTCAAAGGCTCGAGTACGATCTCGGACCAAGAGATATACTTGTAGAAGATACCAGTTTTGATAACAAATCTCTAAAAGAAGAACAATATAAAAAAACCTTACCAAAATTTAGCAAAGCTCGGCGGCCAAGCCCTTCCCTTGTCAAGTCATCCACACAGCGACCAGTGCTATCAGCTCATTGAATCCCCATGGCAAACCTTTAACGGCCGCCTCAACCTCTGCGAATTCCTTGATCTCAATCAAAAGACCAACATTTCCTTCTCTCCCAGCTAAATTCATTCAGAAGCTGATAAAACGTTGAATCACTACGCACAGGGGATTACTGGGGGGCACAAAACGATCTAAAAGTCCGTAAACATTAAAGAATGCAGCAAAATCAAAAGTAATCAAACAAAATTCATCAAAAACTCACCAAAAAAGTGGCATGCATCCCAAACCATTTGTTCATGCTCGTCCAGACACCCACAAAATTCAATGAAGTCCTCCGAAATATCACAACGCGTTGCAACGTTTCAAGAATTTTGCCAACAAAAAATTGAATAAAACTTGGAAGAAAAAAGTCAAATTCTGCCACGAATTCTCACAAAAAAAACAAAATTTGCATATTCGAAATTCACCAAATTTTCGTTTTCATTTTTCTCATTTACCGGTTAAGTTCCGAAAGGAATCTGGTTTATCCTTACGCTATGGGCAACACCACCAGCACCACCTCCCGCCATTCCGGCGATGAATCCGCCGTTCAGGCGATGGCCCCAGCTCCAAGCACCGCTGCCGTCCCGGTGTTTGGGGTTGGGGAACGGTCGACGTGTAAGTCCAGGGGATTTTGGGTTTTTTTGGGTTTTGTAGATTAAGCGGAGATTTCAAAGTTGGGCACTTCTCAACAAAATACCAGGAAAATCCGTCATCATAGGTGAATTGAAATTGCCAGTCATCTGAAAATTCCTTTTGCCATCCTTCTGCTTCTTGATAACACCATTTTTGGTCCAAAAATCCTAAAATAATGATATTGTAGTAGACGATGACAATGGATTTTTTTGGGTATTTTGATGACGAAGTTCCCACTTTGAGACCCGCAATGTGGTTTTAAGTTCATTTGAGATGATTTACTTTGAGCTTAGGGGCACTACTATGCAAAAATATTTAAACTTTCATCGTTCCTCTGCCTGATATCTAGCACAACATAATTTCGAAGACAAATACTCAAAAAAAAAGAGTTCAAAATAGTTGGTTTTGAACACTGTTTGTCTCAATTTATTTAATTTGAGACTCAAAACTTCTTTATATTGTAATTCACAAGCAAAATAATGAAGTTTGACGATCCATTTTTGGCTGGTGGGTCTCTACCGTAAATCCCGCCAAAAAGGATACTAACTAGGCCTAATGGCCCCGAAAATACCCCAAAAGGTCTGGGAGTGCAATATTCTAGGCGAATATGACACTAGAAAGCTTTCTAAAGAAAGTAAATTACTCTAAAGTCCGCCGGAAATCGCCTTGTTATTGTGAAATGCAGCCGAAATTGGCCTTGATACATTTGTTGCAACGCGATGGATCGATTCCCGATCCAAAGTAAGTCTATTTTTTTGAGTTTTACAGTTTTTAGAACCTACAACGTCGTATGAAGGAGATCGTACACACAAAAATTGAGGGTAAAAGGACAAATTTTGGGCATTTTTTAGCCATTTTTTGTCGTATTTTACACAAAATTCAGAAAAGTTTCGAGCAAAAACAAGAAAATTTCAAAAAACCAAGTTTATTCAACCTTTCGATTTATTTCTAGAAAGCTTTTTGGAACAAAAGAAAATTCTTGAGCTTTTTTACACCCCCTCTGGCAATAAAGTCAGATTTAACAGTATTTACTAGCTGGCATAAATCCTGACCCTAATTTTAATATAAATTTTAGTCCAAAACGTAAAATTTTTTCCTGAAATTTGCCCTACACCAAATCATGAACAAAATCCCAGTCCCAAATCTTCGAACATCTTACCGAAGCCTCCAAATGCAACATCAAGAAGATCCTTGTCATAAATGAGGTGTCAAATCGGATATTATCCATGAAGATCAACTTCGACTGGATAATGCTACCGACGGAATCAACTCCGATTCATCCAAAGAGATTCTCATCACTTCAGTGGCTCAGCAACAAGTCGAAGATGGATCAGTTCTGACAATTTTGGCAGTTCCAGCACTGTATCTACGACGGCCCCGCCTAAAATAGTATCTTCTTATTATAAATGTTGTTTTCATGCTGTATTGGTCATAAATCATTATTATACATAGTATTTTGGAATATTCTTGGAGCCAAAAATCCCCAAAGAAACAATAAACTATTCACTTTAATGGCCAAACATGGTCTTACATTTTTGTTTTAACCCAATTGCCATCCACTTCCATCTGTATTATGCTCCATGGACCAGGTAAAGATTTTTTTGACTTCTTCCAGCTGTTTCAGATGTCGTAATTCCAAGATGAACATCTCGATGGGTCATGTTCTCCCATCCATGTCCAGCGGTCCCGTTGGAGCCCTGAAACATCAGCCATTACAAATGGATATCCATATCTTTTAAAATTGTAATTTATAAAATATTTGAATAAATACTTACTTTACTTTATATTCTTTATATCCATTGACTTATTTTGGCCTATAACCGGGGTTTCGTGTAAGACACCACTTGATGACACGAGGAAGTACCTGGACCTTCTCATTTGGACCAATTTACAACTGTTGAAGATCGACATCTACTGGACCATGTCTCCGATGATTACTTACGTTCAGGTTCGCATTAGACAACTTCCAAGGGGTGGGGAGCTCGTCTCGTCCGTGGAGTGACGTTATTGATGGTGTTCTTGCTACCTGTCCTCGTTTTTCTTGTCAGAATCTTGTTGAAAGACCTCTTGCTGTGTTCTGAGTGCTGTTCTCCTGGCGTACGTGATTTCTCGTCGTTCGGGCTCGTCGAATTTACGGTTTCGTGCCGCGTGGACTTTTTCAGAGACTCTAAACATCGACTAAAACATCGTTTTCATCATCTTCGCCCAATCTTAACATCAAAAAACCCATCAAACAGACTTACCGACTTGACCAACATCAGAACTCAGCGTCATTCCATTGTTACCACCTTCAAACGACTTCAAACCGTTCGTAAAGAAAAGGGGGAGGATCATCGACCACCCAGACATTCCATTCCATCAACATCTTCACCATCAAATTTGTTTTTACATCAGGACTCCATTTCCGACCGAAATCTTTGCAATGTTTGCCTCGATTTTTGGAGTAACGAGCCTCAGCAATGATTTCCTTGGCCTGAAGATTATTCATGACATCAATATCGTCTTGGAAATTATCGAACAACCAATGGATATCTGGAATGAGGCATTAAAAAGACGGATACAAGGAAAAACCGAAATTACAGAAATTTTTAGACGTTTTCGCCCATTTGACCCCTGGACTCACCTTATTTTAGCTCAATCCGAACGTCCGCACACCAATTTTCTCTTCATGAATCCAATCCATTACCCGTTTTCCATGATCTTCACGTCGACATCGCCACAAACCATCCAAAGGTTGTCCATCCGCACCTAATCTTCTTCCATCGAGGAGCAATCATCATTTTGCTTCGGATCAGCGCCATCAATTTGCTCTTGTCTCATTTTCTGGGGTCCTTTTGAAGGTTCTCCTTGTTCCACGTTGTCGTTTGATCCGATCTTCGGGTCATTCAGTGTTCTGCAGCTTTCGAGCTGCTTTGCTGTCGACTTCCTGATCACCACTATAAATACGCCTTCCGGTCGCCATCAACATAAAAAATCAGCTTGAGTTTCTCGTGGTTTATACGGTTTTCGTCGCTGCACTTCAATCTGGATGGAATTTCGACATCATTGGACTGTTTTCTGGACAAATGGACAATTCTTCACAGGACTGAGTGAAATATGGAATTTTCGGCCACCGTGGCCTTCAGAATCAAAATTATGGATCTCCAGCATCAGGATCTGCACCTAAAAGCAAAAAATTACATAGGGAAAATAGAGAGAATAGGCTATGTTAGGGCCCTTAGCGATGGAGTTACCAGTTTTAACCATATTTTTTAAAAATTTTCGTCTAATTTTGGTGATTTCAGTGTCTCCAAACAACGTCGGCCAGGCCTCCGGCCACCGCTCGAGCCCAGCATCCGAGCGCCAAGCCCATTCCGCGCAGGCTGAACAACTGCCGGCGGTAATGGCCCCTCCTCTGGTTGGCCAGCACCCAACCGGCGTCCCAGAGGAGGGTAAAGGGGGTCAAGCAGTACCACTGGCCCCTCGGGCTTCGGCCCAGAACCTGCCCCAACCGACCAGGCCGACCACCTGCCGGCGGTTGAGGGCTCGGAACGATCATTGGACATGGACTTCTCCAGCTTTTCGGACTGCAGTTCCAGTACGAGTGAGGAGCACTCCACGCTGCATGACGTCCCCTCGATCAGATCACTCGAAATCTTCGATGAGGGTGCAGCGTGTGAGGAGACGTTAGCGGATCAAAACGACCGCCTCCGATTCCAAAGAGACTTCTGGAAGACCCAATGCCGCACACTTTGGGAACGACAAGAGACGTTCGAGAAGAAGGTCAAGTTCTACCAAGAAGCCCTGGTAGAGGCGGAAGTTGAGGCCAAGAAAGCCAAAGAAGCAGCCTCCGTCGCCACAAAAAAGGCCGAAGAAGAAAGAGCACTGAAGGAAGCGGCAGAGAAAGAAGTAGCCGAATTACAAGCCCGCCTTCTGACACATCTTCGGACAGCCGTCGCCGATGACCGGCCGCCAAGGGCCGAAAGATCCAGGTCCAGAAGTCCGCTGATGAGGACGGCGTGGTCAATAACGCCGACAACAGCAGAAATCCTAAGGATCGACGTCACCCAGCCTCCAGCGACCCAACACCCACCGCCACCCGCAGATCAGGGATATGAGGTCCAAGAACAAAATCACGAGGCTCCTGGGCCTCTGCGAAGAATGCCAAAGTGCAAACGGCGATGTTGCTACCAGCCCTCAGCCGATCCTCAACGGCCTCGGCCCCCCCGAAGGTCGAGGGAACTGCAAGGACTTGGCCCAGTGCTTCAAGAAGAGGACAATGGCCCAGAAGAACACCAACGTCCACGAAGAGAACGAAGGCCTCCTTCACGGCTCATCGTGGACATGGCGAGCCGATCGTATCGGACTTCACAGGAGCCCAGGTTGCCTCGTAAGTCAATTTTTTCGATATCTTTACCATTTTTACCCAAAAGCCCTTCAAAAATTATCAATTTCGCATTTTTTCAAACGCTATATTTACTATCGCAATTTTAATCAAGATTTTTTCAGATCGAAGGGCAAATCCATACTAAGTGGCCAAAAATTCAACATGGCGCAGTCATTCATGCCTAATAACGTAAGGTTTTCGCAGCGTCCCTCCAATAATCCTAATTTTTTAGCAATTTGTCCAATTCAACCTCGACAAGCAACCACGTGGGTTGACCAAATGCACTCAAACCTTAGTTCGACCGGCTGGAACGAGAAAAAAGTAAGTTTTTTTGCAAAACTATTTTTGCGAGCTGCGCCCAATAAAAGAACAATTGCTTTTTGTTATACGCTGTTGGATTTTGGGGGCATATTGTAGAAGAAAATGGTAGCATTCGCGGTAAAATGACTCGTAACAAACCGCTAAAAACCTAGCTTTTTGCCGGCGGCTTCATAGTTTTATTGCTTACCTTGTTTTAGACAGAAAAAACATAATTTGATCGATCCATTTTTTCAGATGCCCAACTCATGGCCGAACCGGAGCACCCGGCCCCCCACTTCATCCGGGGGCCCTCTGGAATACTTGCGGGTGCTCGGTGAGATCAAATAATGTAAGATTTTGCTTCTTTGAAGTTTTTGATCTTAAACTAGACTAAAGTAATATATTATAATTTCATTATATTTTCAGGTGAAGACCGGTACAAAGGGAAGAGAGGCGCCCTGGCCCCCTGAATGAGCCCGGGGGGCCTTTGGAAGGAAATAAGGGTGCCATCTTCCCCTTGATTTGGTCAATTGGGACTGAAATTAGGTAAGCTTTCGTGTTGTATTTATATTTTTCATCTTATTTTTTTGCAGATCTCGTTCAGGCAAGATTGAACTGAGAAGGAGAGAGCACCCTAGCCCCCTGAATGAGCCCGGGGGGCTTCTGGATCATAAAAGGGTGCTCTCACCCGTTTCCATCAAAGTGGAAGATCTTCCACTTTGATGGATGGTCAAAACCGGAGCACCCCGGCCCCCCACCTCATCCGGGGGGCCTTCTGGAAAACAATGGGTGCTCGGCAAGACCAAACGAGGTAAGATTTTGTTGTTTTTTGAACTGTTTGACCTTGAGTTAGTAATAAAGTAAAGTAATACAGTCTACTATCTTCAGACGAAGGCCGGTCCAGACCAGCGTGGATCCGGCACCCTCGCCCCCTGAATCAGCCCGGGGGGCTTCTGGAATCAAAAAAGGGTGCCTTGGTCCACTTGTCATGGTCGATTTTGTGGATTTTGGACTAAAATGAGGTAAGTTATCATGCTGAATTTATAATTTTGCCCTTATTTTTTCAGGATTCCCTAAAAAGGAACACTGAGGGAACGGTGGAGCACCCTAGCCTTGAATCAACCCAGAGATCCTCTCTTCAAGGCCCGCCACCGAAGGGATGAAAGAAAAAAAAATGTAAAAAAGTCAAAAAAAAAAAAAAAATTAAAAAGGCCAAAGAAAGCCAAAAAAAAGGCAAAAAACCGAAAGGCCAAAAAAAGAAAAGGCAAGAAAAAGAGCCAAAAAAATTTCAAAGGCCAAAAAAAAGGCAAAAAAGAGCCAAAAAATAATAACAAAGGCCAAAAAAGATAAAAAAAGAGCCAAAAAATAATAACAAAGGCCAAAAAATAAAAAAAAATACATTTTTTGAAAAAAAGAGAAAAGCCAAACAAAGGCAAAAAAGTAAAAAAATTAAAAAAAAATAAAAAAAAGAAATTGTACCTGAAATTCAAGTAAAAATTGTTTAATACCCGGCGAAGTCAGCAAACACGATCAATTGTTCCCAGCGGATGTCTACGATGAGATTATTGCCCCGGCCTGCCTCTACGCCCGAACACTCAAGTTCTTCAGCTGTTCAAAGCCCTCGGAACTCATCCTAAGGTAAATTTTGCCATGGATAACATAAAATTTCTGACAGGAAAGTACTTCTATGGCGTATGGAGTTACAGGTCGAGTCATATGTCAAAAAAACCGCAAAATCTTTCTGATTCAGATGTAAAAGTTAGCTGCCTAATTTTGCTTTGTAAGGGTGAAGGAATCCTTAGACGCTTTCACGCAACACCATGCAAATGCCTTTTTGACAACGTTTTTACCAAATCAAAAGCTTTGTTTTGAGCTAAACTGAACCTTGGGATCTTGACAAACCTTAAAATATCAGATTTGATTAATACGACACCTTTATTAGTAGTTCCAATATAAAAAAGGGCATTTGTGTGGTGCTGCGAGAAAAGTTCTGAGGATTTTTTCACCCTGAAGATCCAAAATCAGGCAGCTAACTTTTACATATTCTGAATCAGAAAAATTTTACAATTTTTTTGATATATGACTCGACCTGTAACTCCATACCCCATAGAAGTACTTTCCTCGTCAGAAATTTCAAAACTTTTCTCCTAATTACGGAGAATTTTCTTGGATGGGGAAAGAGTTGACTCATCTTGGTCAAGTCTTCCTCTCTAGACGAAAAATGCAATGTTGCATAGATTTAGCTTGTTGCAGGAGGAGCGGGCTGTATAACAGCATGTTGGGAGCTTTTCTGAATCAGTATTGTAGTGTTCGGTTAATATTATTGATCTCTTGTCATGTATAATATAATTTATCTTTGATACTTTCAGAATATTACCCAATCTTCGCCGTGGAGACTTGTGAGTATCTTGAGAACCTCCAGATTGATCTTCATCACTTCGTCGAAGAGTTCGTTGACTTTGCATGTTACAACAAGGTGATTTGAAGGGAAAAATGGAAGCAGTAAGTTCCATCAGCCAATGTTTTTCTTTTTTGCTTGGAGTACAGGGGAAGTACTCCAAGTGCGACGCTCAGATTTTCTTAAAATTTTGCACACACGTCGGGTGTGGACTAAATATCAATTCCTGAAAGTTTTAGCTCGCGCTTTGCGGGCGCCGCCGAGATATCGAACGATTTTTGCCGCCGAGAGAGCACGCTAAACGTGGAGAGCGGTCAGAGAGAAAAGCGCTTTTTGGCCATAACTTTGGCAGTTTCGTGCGGAAAAATTTGATTTTTTGTAGAAACATTATCCTTTACAGTTGAAATAGGCATGAAACTTTTCGTGCCGAAATTCGGCAAAAAGTCCTACATTTTCGCCGACTTTCGATCTAAAAATCTCGGTTGTTTCTGCGGAGCGCGAGATTGTCGCTAATTATTCTAAATTTGTGCTAAGTTTCATCAAAATCTGAGCGTCGCACTCGGAGTACTTCCCCTGTTAGTTTCGGGATGTTAGAGTAGCTGAGCCGGCTTTCGAATAATTATTCGGGACAGGTTTCATCGTTTATGATGAGCTTTTACCGTTTTGTTTGATCTTTACGCCTTTTAATTGCAAAAATTATATGTCCTTCCTATAGATGCGCCATTTTTGAAACACATTTCATATACAGTTACACAAACATATGTAATACATATAATTCATGACTAGAGGGCTCTAGTTTTGGACAGAGAATTTTATGGAGCTATAGACAGTAAACGCTTTAGGACACGTTGGCCCTTGTTGAGGGGTTTAGAGATATTTTTATAGGGCTGATGTTTTTACGTTGTTTTCGGTAATTTTTTTTTTACTTTTCAGAGAACCTCTCTCTACAAGGCCCGCCACCGAAGGAATAAAAGAAAAAATGTAAAAAAAAGAAAAAATATATGAAAAAGGCCAAAAAAGTAAAAAAAAAGAAAGAAAAGCCAAAAAAAAAATTAAAGGCCAAAGGAAACGAAAAGGCAAAAAAAAGAGCCAAAAAAACTAAAAGAAGAGCCAAAAAAAAGTAAGGCCAAAAAAATAAAAGTTAAAAAAATACTAGTCGCGACATAAAGTCCTGAGACGTTTGCACTGTGCGTTTTAGTTTTCCTTTCGCACTCGTCGCGGCAATTCCCCGTTTTTGCACTAGCGACATGCACTTTCGCGCGACACCCGCGACAAAATGTGTCAGGACTTTGTGGCGCGACTAGTAAAGGCCAAATGAAAAGAAAAGGCAAAAAAAGAGCCAAAAAAAACAAAGGCCACAAAAAATATAAAAAAATATTTTTCGAAAAAAACAGGAGAAAAGCCAAAAAAGGCAGTAAAGTTAAAAAAAAAAATATTTGTATCTGGAATTCAGCGAACCCAACGAGTTGTTCCCAGCGGATGTCTACGACGAGATCTGCCTGCCTCACGCCCGAAAACACAAGTCTTTAGCTGGCCAAAGCCCTCGGAACTCATCCTAAGGTAAATTTTGCCATGGATAATATAAAATTTTTGAAAATTTTTAAAACTTTTTTCGTAATTACACTTATAGTCATTCCACAGATTTTTTGGAAGACTTACTGATCGCTTTATTTCAGACCCAAGGATGACAGATGACACCGATCCGTCAGTAGTTTGTCTGGTCTACAGTGATGTTACAGTTTTTGCCCACCGCGAAGTCCTCCATTGATCTTCGCCCACGCCAATGAATTGGTCTATGGAAGCAGTAAGTTGTGGAGATTGAGGACGGAAAGGTCCGCTAAAAAAAGGAAAGAGGAGGGCGGGGAGAGGGGGGAGGTTTTCTATGACGCTGATTTCGAAAATCGTATCCATTTTTTCTGAATTTTACAATTTTGCTTAAGCCGTAGTGTCTAATGTTTGATTGTGAAGACTAAAAAAGCGTCGGAAATTTTCTCACAAGATCATACAAGTTTGACCAAGTTTTTACCAATTAAAACATTTATTTTGAAGAATTGAAGAAGATTAGGACAAAAATTCAGATGAAATGGATTCGATTTTTGTAATCAGCACCATCGAAAACCTCCTCTTTCCTTTTTTAGCGGACCTTTCCGCCCTTCGTGAGTTGTGGCTGATATTTATTGTATTACTTGCAGAGATCTTCAAGCCCCAAGCTACGGATAAAAAACTAAAAAAAGATTAAGAAAAGGAAAAGAAAGAATAAAAAAAGAAAAAATTGGTAAGAAAAAAGAAAAAAAATTCCATACGAAAAAAAGAGAAAAAAAAGAAAAAAGGAAGGAAAAAAGAAAAAAAAGAAAGAAATTGGTAAGAAAAAGAGAAAAAAATAAAAGAAGAAGCCTCATCGCTTCCACCCCCACCACTTCCATTACTCGCCTTCTTCTACCACTCCCACCACCCTCCTTTCCCTTTCCCTTTCCCTTTCCCCTCCCACTCCCTCCCCTTCACCCAATCATCAAAGCCTGCTTTGGTGATTAAAGTAAGTTGTTTTTTCCCCAATTGTAGGCCTTTATTTCTTGTTATAAGTCCAGATACTGCTCGTTCTACTTTTAATCTTATTTATTTTCATGGAAATCATCGAGAATCCGTTTCTTGGAGCCCTGGACAAGTTGGAGAAATCAATGGTGCCCTGGAGGTCTCCACCGTGGAAAGATCAGAAAGGTATGTCGATTGGGAGTGGTAAATTAGGGGATCGAGATCTAGAAGGGATAATGAGAGCGTTTTAATTCAAAAATAGCTTAGTTTTGTGAAAAAAGACCGTCATCACGATATGTTTTTTGAAAGGTTACGGTAGAGGTAAGGGTTTTGATTTTTACTGTGGTGTGAACGGGTTACACTCAGTTTTAGAAGCTTAAAAATATAGCTAAGTGCTATTTTTGTTTTTGATTATTAGATACATATGAAGTTCTCGTCATGACGGCAACTTAGAAGGTTACTTTTCTAGTGATTTTTCGGAAGAATCTTTGAATTTTTTCTTTTTTTCGGGAGGTTTGAGGGAATTAAAAGATGTGAGGTGCCGTAAAAAGTATTTTGTACGAAGTAATGACTAGTTCTTGTCATTAATAATGTGGTCATAACGGTATTGGGGTATTTTTATATTGCTGATGAGATGATTAACTTACCTGTTTAATTTTTCGCTTTTAAATACATTTTTCTTTCAGAAGTACGTCCAGTATGGCCTTATGGTTGAAGAGCAAGCTAGAGTGAAAGTGGAAAATAAGTTACTTGGCGAGCCCTGGAAACGGTCGATTCCTTGAAGATGCACAGCAATTGTTTGGAGGTAGGCGAAGCTTTGTTAACAAAAGGGGGTTTGGGTGATCGAGGGTTAGAAATCCGTTTGAATTTGGATTCGAACGATGTAGCCCGCTACATTCGTCGCCGCGGGGATATAGGGCTCGGGGTCTTTGCTTTTCATCGGCTCTGCGAATTTGTTTTGCAAAAAGGCGTTCAGTATGCCCTGCTGAACGCCTTTTCGCAAAACCGGTTCAGCCGTTTCTTCTGTAAGATATTTCGTGAACCGGAAATGGCAAAGGCCGTTCATTTTGTTAATTTTCGTCCTGTTTATTTTTTGTAGATTTCGAAACCGTCTGAATTAGTTCAGAGTCGGTTGAACTAGTGCAAAAAACCGAGGTCTTTGACCACGTGAACCTGTTCATTTTTCTTTGAAAATTTCATAACCAGTGAGTTGGTTCAATGTTTTGTGAACCAATTCAAACATTGAACCCCCTTTCCACTCGGCTCTGAACGGGTTGGACACCAGTTCAAACCGTGAACGGTTTATTGCAAAAACCGTTCACGATTTTGACTGATTTTGCAAAAAAAGGCGTTCACAATTTCCGCAAAACAAATTCGCAGAGCCAATGAAAAGTAAAGACCCCGAGCCCTATATTGAAAGCGATTTTATACGAAGTAATTACCAGTTTTTGCCATTAATCATGTCGTCATGACGGTATTGGGATATTTTTATATTGCTGATGAGATGATTAACTTTCCGGCTTAATTTCTCGCGTTTAAACACATTTTTCTTTCAGAATGACATTTGGGCATGCTTATGGTCGACGTGGAAGCTAGAGTGATCGGAATCGAAGAACAAGATAGCCCAAGAACAAGACAGCGAAGAACCGAGCCCTGGATTCCATGGCAACATCCGGCTTCATTGAGGATGCGCAACTAGTTTGGAGGTAAGCAGGTTTTTTTATTTTTTAGTGGTTAAAATGCCCAGGCCCATCAAACCTCGAAGGTAATGCCAGAATAAGCTCGTCTTGACAACCCAAAAAGTATTAAAGTACTTTTAGATGGAAAAATTATGTTATCCATGATCAAGATCAATATCCTGCCGAGGAAGCGCCTCAGCAGGACTCCAATGTAATGGAACGTGTGAGCAGTTTTATAACTATATTAGTTATGAAACGGGAGCAAATAGAGAGATTTTACTAACCTCGATCGCGGAATTCTTGGAGGAGAAGGTGCGCAGATCTCGACTTGTCAAGAATGAGGTTTGGGGTCTTTAGAGAAGGGAAGAGAGAGAGTTTCGTCAACTGTGGCTCTTGTTTACCTATTTTATAGAATAATTGGGTCAAATCCGTAAAAAAATTGACTTTAATTTTGTCATGTATAACATGGTTAATATCAGTCCGAAACGCCAAATTGAAATTTCAGATATGTGTAATCGTAGAAAAAGCTATTTTATGACCAAATCGGTACAAATAAATGATCAGCAAAGCTGCTAGGACGTGCAACAGTTTATTTGTAGGTCTTGACCAGAGATTGCCACGGTCAAAATTTTGCTCCGGCTCCGGCTCTTAGCTCCCAGAGCCGGAGCCGGGGCCAAATTTGCAGCTCCGGCTCTTGGCTCCGCGCAAAATTTAAAAAGGCTCCGGCTCCGAAACCCGGCTCCTATACTGGTTGACAAAATTTTCTTTCCACCTCGTATCTCGGGAACTGCTGGGCCTAGAACCTCAAAATTCGGCATAGAAACATCATGGGACAATCTAACACCATACCCAAAAAATCATACCATTTGATGCACTTTCAGTGCACTTTTTATGCAATCGGCAAAAAAAGAGGTGACAAAATTTTCTTTCCACTTTGGAAGAACGTTTGTAAATTAAAAGCCAAAGGCATGATTGTGGTATCGTTGTGATCGCGAAGAAGTCCTCTTTCTATCCGTGTCACAATTTGACAGGAGTTTTCGTTTGTTCGCCCTTGGGCGTCTGCTCATCATTGCGTTGTCCGTTTTCGGCCAAATTGGTGGACAGAGAAGCTCGCAGAAGGCCCAATGAGATGAAACTGCCCTTAAAAAATCTGGCATTTATGTCTGCAACATTGTTTACACCAGCATTAAAATTAGATTTAATTTAAGTGTGTTGCGTGTGAAAAAGCGCCACCTTTAGAGTGCGCGAAACCGGGAAATTGCTTATGTACAGAATGGAAACGTCGAAATGACATGCCTTTGCAGTACATATGGCGTATTTTAGGTATTATACGACCGTATGTGTTGAAGCCCACCGTCTTACCTTACCCCCTGTGGTCTATGTCGTCTTAGGTAATACAGGTTGTTGCACTACATGACGGAGAGGCATTACCATAACTTAAAATTGATATATTGGGAAATTTGACTGCCAGACTACTTTAATACATTGAGATTGACCCGCCTTTAACGTTTTTGCTACGACAAATAATTTGCGCGGGAAGCTTAGGGTTGCAAATCTTGCACATGGGGCATGGGCTACCATTCTTCTGCTCACAACTAAGCGCGACATCAGATACTAAAATCTTCGGTGTTTTTAAAGTCTGCAGTATCATAGAAAATATATCAGCAGGAAAAGTTATTTGAATTATCTGCAGTATTCCCATAATAACGTAATTTTCTGGCAACGAGAGGCTTGGAAGTGCACATTTTCCCATGCAACACACTTAAATTGAATCTAATTTTAATGCCGGTGTAAAAAATGTTGCAGATATAAATACCAGATTTTTTAAGGGCAGTTTCATCTCATTGGGCCTTCTGCGAGCTTCTCTGTCCACCAATTTGGCCGAAAACGGACAACGCAATGATGAGCAGACGCCCAAGGGCGAACAAAGGAAAACTCCTGTCAAATTGTGACACGGATAGAAAGAGGACTTCTTCGCGATCACAACGATACCACAATCATGCCTTTGGCTTTTAATTTACAAACGTTCTTCCAAAGTGGAAAGAAAATTTTGTCACCTCTTTTTTTGCCGATTGCATAAAAAGTGCACTGAAAGTGCATCAAATGGTATGATTTTTTGGGTATGGTGTTAGATTGTCCCATGATGTTTCTATGCCGAATTTTGAGGTTCTAGGCCCAGCAGTTCCCGAGATACGAGGTGGAAAGAAAATTTTGTCAACCAGTATATGCAAAATGTTTTTTTTTAAATATTTTTCCAAAAATAAAAGTTACTAGTGCCCAGAAATCATATAGCCAACGTTTTTGCAGTCAAGCCACATCCTCCGCAGCACGTCAATCCAGCGCATTTCCTGAACCGTTTCGAAACTTCGTACCGTTTTCATTGGTTTAAAAGAGAGACGAAATGTCGCGAAATTATCGGCACTTTTTCTCGCCCGAAATAATTGTTTTTTTCTCGAAAAGAAAGAAGAAAGATAAGAAAATGCGTTTTATCGGATTTTGAACGAATCACCAAAAAAGGGGCGGGAAATTTTTTCTTCTATTTTGGATTGACGTGCGCAGTGTTTTTCAAGCAAGTTGGTTTAACAAGATCACGAAATTTTTACTTTTCTGATCACTGGGAAGCCTGGCTCCGACTTTGGGCTCGGGAGCCGGAGCCGACCCCAAAATTTCCGGCTCCGGCTCTGGCTCCCGGCTCGGAGCCAGAGCCGCTCAGAGCCGGAGCCAAGAGCCGGCTCCGGAGCCGTGGCAATCTCTGGTCTTGACCTTCAATTGTAATATCGCTACTACTTTTTTTGCCGTAGACCGATTTTGATAAGATTTGGCATTTTTGATCCTTGATTAAGTCTTAACAAAACTCCTTGATCAGATTCCCCATTTAAAGTAAAAAAATTTTCTGATCGTTGTGCGCCGTGGCAATTCCCCGTTTTTTCACTAGCGACAGGCACTTTCGCGCGAGCTCACTCCAACTTTCTCGCGCGACACCCGCGACAAATGTGTCAGGACTTTATGGCGCGACTAGTATTGTTCATGAGATTGTTAACCTTATTTTTGCGTTTTTCGCCTTCTAATCTACCTTTTCTTTCAGATTCCCTCAAGTCCCACAAGATTCAATCAGTCCAGGCCACTTCCCAGCCAATAAGAAGGATCTACAAATCTAATTTGATCTATTTGTTGTTGTGTTTTTATTGTTTTTGTTTGCTTTGAAAGGGGAAGGGGAAATGGAAAAAAGGGGTCGTGTGAAGAAGGTAAGTGACAAGAGTTGGTCCGAATGATTCAATAGGCAAATTTATGTCGTTTTTTTATTCGCGTAGGTGTTAAGGGCCTTTTCGAGCGGTTCTATAGGCAAATTTATGCTGAATTTTTTTATTCGGGCTCCGTACATAGCATAATTGATGGTTTAGTCCGAAAGTGAGGGTACCCTGAATATCTATAGGTTTTTGGCTGGGAAAGACGATAAATTGTGCATGGGTTTTCACGGGTTTATCGGCCGAATTACGCATCCCTGGGGACATTGGGAAGTTTCGGCCTAGCGGATTGATTTTCTAGAAGGGTAGGATATATACTTGGGGTGGGGGATAGCTACAGCAAGGGCAGTTGGATTAGTTCTGTTTATCATGTGCTCGGCCGTAAAAGCGCCATTTATATCGGTATTGTGTTGTTTGACTTGTGTATCGAAGCCGAAAACGGCGGATTCATCAGCGAAAACACCGGGAATTGGGCCCTGGGTGCTAGCCGTCTGGAAGGCCGCCGGACTGAAGTCGGCGACAGGTGCTGTGCAAAAACAAAAGTTTTCTTTGCAGTGTTTCTTGCTTTCTTTGGGGAGCCTTTTCATCGCGTCAAAAATTTTTTTCATAGCGCCAAAAATCAGCCCGGCAACTTCCCGGAAGCAGTATTAGCATTTTCACAAAGTGCCTGGACATTTTTTTCGGTCCGCACCGTGCACAAAAGCCCGCGATGTTTTGCACCGTGCATTGAACTTTCTTTGGTTTTGCACTGTGCATTTGGAATATCACTGCGACAAAACCTTTTCTCAACTGCACCGCCGCGAGAATTTGCACAGTGCAAACGGTCTGTTTTAGACATGCACGGTGCGCAAAGGCAAAAATCCACAATGCGTTGACGACAAAAGTTCAAGATGCCCTGTGCGACAGCGAAAAAATGTCCACGCACTTTGATAATGCTAGTATCCAGGCTTCCACTGGTGGGTAAGCTCCCGGAATCCGCTGGTCTTCGCCTTCCAACGCCGTCAGTGCTGCATCGTCTATTTTTATCCGGCCAGCTGTAGAATCATTGTGAATTGGGCAACGGGACGTCTATGGGCCCCCGAATTGCCTCGCAGGTTGCGGAAGTGTTCTTCTTTCTGGTCGCAACCACCTTTTGCAGGTTATTTTTTATGCTTTGGCGATAGCGTAAGAAAAGCGGTTCGCCCATAAACGACTCGGGCAAACGGGCCCAGACAAACCCGGCTTTTATAGAATTAATTCAGAATAGCTGGGGCAAGAAAATTTAGCAGTTGTCTGAAGTTTTTGGGGTCAAAGTCAATCATAAAAGGGTATTTGAAACGGAGATTCTGCATTGACTCCTATTCTGATTTCTATAACCTTTTCTGTGGGGTGGCAACTTTTCACAAATTCAACGGTCTCTTAATGATATATGTATTCGATGGTAACAGAAATTTCAAGTGATAATCATCCATCACAAACTTCGGGTATTAGGAATGAGATAATGAGGTTATTAAATGTATATACATGAAAGGACATGTACGCCATATCATTCGGCTGGGAATGGAGCAGTTGAGAGGACGTTCGGAACCTATCAACAGATGCTAACAAAGACAATGGCGGGAACAGGACTTGATTTTGATGAATTGCTTCCATCGGTAACATTCAGCTATAACTGCACTCCTCACGATACGACGGGCGAGGCACCTTTCTTTATGGTATTCGGACGTGACCCGGTTCTACCGTTTAATACAATTCTACACCAAAGGAGGAAATGGAGTGTCTCGGATATAGATGACTATAAGACAACGTTGATAACGGCGCTGCGAGAGAGTTGGGGCGCAGCGGCGGAGATGCTCAAGAAACAGGCGGTAAAAATGCAAAATGCATTCAGCAAAAAGGCAAGAAAGATTGAGTCCCAAGTAGGGGACAAAATAATGGCCAAGAGGGTTCAGGCACCAAAGAATATTTCGCAAAAAATTGCATCATTGTGGACGGGACTCTACAGGGTAATTGAAGTCAGGAAACCGAGACTTTTAGCGGTTAGCATTGATGACCCTAGAGCCAAACCGCGTTGGTTTCATTTTGATCAAGTAAAAATAACAGAGGACGTGTTGGTAACTCCAAGTGGACCAAGTTTTGCCATTGCGTCGTATGAGAAAAAAAGGAAGAGAATATTCCGGGATACAACCATAAAATCGGGGAAGATCCCAAGCTGAAGGAGATGGCACAGAACGAGGATATACAAGGAGGTTCATCTAACTAAGTTGCCCACACATTCTTACAATCTAACAATAAGATCAAAAGGCCCAAGTTGAAGTGAATCGGCGAGAGTAATTGTAGGAATTGGAATTAGATGTACAGGGTGTTTCAAGAAATGTGAAGGAAAGTAGGAGGCTTTAACTTTCGGCGGAGGCGGCGCAGAGAGTTCGTTTTTGGAACATGTATTTTTAAGCAACATTATTTTTGCCTATGAAATCACAAGATTTTTAAGTGCAAACTGAGGTCGCTACAACCTTTTGAAAAAGGGCTCTTTTACCCCGAAAACCAATATTTGCTTAATTTTCAACGTGTTGGCAACATCCTTCCCTTTTTTCAACGTCAACTCTATCGAAGCCCCCAAAAAATCCGAAATTTCTTGGTGATTTTCAACCGAAAAGCTCTGAAATTTCTCGATCATTTTCAACCGAAAACCCCTGGTTTTCGGGGTAAAAGAGCCCTTTTTCAAAACGTTGTAGCGACCTCAGTTTGCACTTAAAAATCTTGTTATTTCATAGGCAAAAAATAATGTCGCTTAAAAATACATATTCCAAAAACGAACTCTCTGCGCCGCCTCTATCGAGAGTTATAGCCTCCTACTTTCCTTCACGTTTCTTGAAAGACCCTGTATAATGGGGAGCTGTAATATTGTTTTTGTGTGCAATATTTGAGAGTACAGTAATGTGAGTGGTACATTGGTGTCAGTTTCGGTTGCTGTCCTTGTTGCGTATTTTTGAGGTATCATTGGAATGGAAGAAGAGTCGGACATTTGGCCGAAAGAGGAAAAGACGCATAAGTGTTTCGCCGTAACAAAGGGCCGTTTAAACAAAGTGTGTTTACAAGAAACGGAGCGGGGGACACTTACAAAAGTGGCCAGATCGGAAGATAAGAACAGAAAAATGCGATGGCAGAAAAATGCGATGGCAGACGCGCCAGGACGGATCAGAAGATGCTCACACAGTCATTTTTGCGGAATTGTGGGGGCTGCGGGCTAACCGCTCGTCGCTCAGGAAACGAAGAAGATGAGTTTTTATGGCGCAGGGTTACGGTAGTTTGATTTTTGTGTCGGGGTTACATATAAGTTACCAAGATGATGGTATAATTTTATGAGATACTGGGGATGAGTATAATATATCACGCTATACGTGTATTAAGATTGTAACGGTATTCGGCAGTTTTTGGATTGGATTGATGTCATAAATTGTGTTGTACATATATTAAGGTTACGACAATTTTTGGTAGACTTTTGGATTGGATTGTTGTTATAAATTATGTTATACGTGTATTAAGGCCATAACGGTATACGGTAGATTTTTGACTTGGATTGATGTTACAAATTGCGTTATACGACAAATGACAACGTGTCATGGGGATCGCGGAAATCACTGTATTTTGGGTTATATATCTACGCGAAGGGGATTATTGAGATAGCGTGAAAACGGTATTCGATTGGCTGTTAAGTTGGGTTGACATTGCAGAGTTATTTTCTTCAAACGAACAATTTGCGATCAAAGAAAAATGATGGGAAGCAACCAAGCCAGACCCATTGAAGAGGGAGAAGGACGTGTTGAGCAGGAGAATGTGGAGATTGGCCTTGTTGAGCAGGAGAATGTGGAGATGGGCCTTGTTGAGCAAGAGAATGTTGTGATTGGCCAAGTGGACCAGCAAGGCAACGAGGAAGATGGAGGAGTCAACCAAGAGAGGAATGTTCAAGTGGATGGTGCTGTCGTAAAACCAGAATTGGAAGAACAATTGGTACGAATGGAGGAGGAAGACCGAGAACCTGATGCTGATGATGGAAGGGTTCACAGGAACATCATCGACAAACAGCACATCAGATTAGCCGAGTACCAGCTACGCATCGAAGAGCGTAAACAGGAAATATCAGAGTATTTGGAAGTCATCAGAGAACTCGAAGGCACGGTGGGCTCCTTGCAGGCGCGTCTTGAAGATTTGGAGGAGAGAATCCAGGTCATGGCCAACGCGCCGATGTTGATGACTGGATTGACGGTCTTCACAAAGTCTACGATGGATACGATGACGTAGCCGGTGTTTAGTGGTAGAAGATTGGACGTGGCGCGCATGCGCCAAGTGTATTCGGTTTTCCCTAACGCACCTTTTCATCGTCTAATTGGCACCGAAACGAGAGGTGCAAGAAGGCCGGTAGATGGAACTCCAATTGAGTATATTGTTGTGTATACAAACGGTATCTTTTCACTCGCGGCAACTCGGGAGGAACAATATGCGATCGGTACCCGAATTTGTTCAGCTCGGCACAAAAGAGTCGAATGCCCACATTGCTTTACCGGTCGGTTCAGTGGTGGAAGTATCGTAATTTTGCAATGTGATCAACTCAGAATCGAATGCGAACGTGTTAAGAGGATTGGCTGGATGTAAGGTGCCAGGAATGGTGGGTTTACCGCACCCGGCGGGTATTGCGACAAGATTTCGGGTAAACTATCGACCATGGACCCGGGATGAGAGGGCGGTCGTCTCCAGGGTAATTTTCACAAGGGACTATAGAGATAGAGAAGTTCCATCCGACGCTCATTTCCGCGCGGTGTTAGTGCTCCAAAGGAATTTGGAAGAACAATTGTCGATGGGATTCGACCAGTTTGTGCGAACAGCACCGAGACCAAGTGAAAACGACGTAGTAATAGTGAGGTCAACGTGGCGTACCCAGAAATGAGAGCCAAGTGTTATATATTGTTGTTACCGATGTATATGGCACAAAAATACTCGTCAGTGGGTCGTTTTGAGGAGGTTGGAGATGGATGTCCATATTTGGCTGGACCATCAGCGGAGCATTTGAATTTGTTATGAACAGGGTATGTGCGTAAGAGGATAACTGTTAGAGTATGATAAGTCTTTTGGTTATTGTATTGGATTATTTTATTGGATTACACACACAGTTTAAGCTACGCTGATATCATATGGATTCTACACCCCTATTCGTTCACCACCAATGTTATATGTCTTACATGCCTCGGCATGACCTACGCTTATGTCACCGTATATCTACTAGCAACTCGTTTATTCAATTTGAATTTGGTAGACTTCTTTCTAAAGCGATGGAGGAGTCAGAGGTTCTTCTACGTGTGCACGCCCACTGGAAAGGATGGATTGTCAAGAAGAGAATAGAGATCAGATGGATTATTTCGGAGACATGGATTGGGTGCCCTATCAAGTAGATAATTTGTGTGTGTGTGTGTACAATAAATATAGTAATGTATCTCATCGGACAATTTTACTTTGAACTTAAGGGATTTGCCCTCATATATTCACAAAACCTCGTTCCGACCAGAAGGCAGGACCCTTCAGCCAACGGCGAGAAAATTCTAGGGCCACAAAGCGCCCCGTTGCCCAATCTGCAATGGATCCGCAGCGACCGGAGCAGGAAGAAGAAGAAAGAAGAGTGCCGCTCTTACGGCTCTGGAAGCCCAAAATATGATCAGCGGATCACAGCAACTCGTTGAGAAATGGCAGCTTGGTTATACGTCCGGGACTGAATCCCTGTTTTCGCTGATGAACCTGCCATTTTTGGCTTCAATACACGATTCAAACGACATAATACCGATAAAAAATGGCGCTTTTACGGCCGGATAACGAATAAAAAACCCACATCAACCCAACTATCCCTGCTGGACCTACTATTCCCGCCCTAAGTACACATCCTACCCTTCTAAATTACCAATCTCCAAGGTAGAGAATCACCCAACATCCCCCTGAGTATAAGAAATTTGGATTGAAAAAACCCATGCCCACAATTTCAGTTAAATTAACAATGGCAAGCTACGAAATGCCTCATTTCCTAGTCGTTCCAGAAAGTGCGTCGACTGTTTGCCGTGGGCCGCACCGTGCACAAACCCCTTATTTGCGGCGTAAATTTGACCGCTTGCACCGTGCAAGTCTAATATCACAACGGCCCAAGCTTTTCTCGACGGAACCGGCGCGAATTTTGGGGGCACGAAATGAAAATGTTTCAAAAAGGATCGAAGATTTTTGATAAAAATGCTTTGTGCGGCGCGAAAAAAAGGCCGAAAAGAGTCTACGCACTTTTTGGAACGACTAGTACGTACCAATATAAAAACTCGTCATAAATTGCCTAACCATAGCACCTTTCGAGCCAATTCTGATCACCTACCTTCTCATCCTTTTCTCCCATTCCCCTTTCAAAACAAATAAACAAAACGATATAAAAAACAACAACAAATAGATCAAATTCAAATTTGTAGATTCTTCTTCTTGGCTGGGAAGTTGCCTGGACTGGTCGAATCTAGTGGTACTTAAAGGAACCTGAAAGAAAAAAGGGATTAAAAGGCCAACAACTCAAAAATAAGGTCAATAATCTCATGAGCAATATAGAAATCTCGAAAAAAACGTCATTACAGTGCCTAAGATCAACCAAAATTGGTTCAAGACCTCTTTTATCGTATTTACAGGGGAAGTACCCCAAGTGCGACGCTCAGATTTTCTTTAAATTTTGCACACAGGTCGGGAATAGACTAAATATCAATTCCTGAAAGTTTTAGCTCGCGCTTTGCGGGCGCCGCCGAGATATCGGACAATTTATGCCGCCGAGAGAGCACGCTAAACGTGGAGAGCGGTCAGAGAGAAAAACGCTTTTTGGCCATAACTTTGGCAGTTTCGTGCGGAAAAATCTGATTTTTTGTAGAAACATTGTCCTTTACGGCCCTTGGATATAGGCATGAAACTTTTCGTGCCGAAATTCGGCAAAAAGTCCAAAATTTTCGACGGCTTTCGATCTAAAAATCTCGGTTGTTTCTGCAAAGCGCGAGCTAGGATTCTCGCATATATCTTAGAAAAAATTGTTCTAAATTTGTGCCAAGTTTCATCAAAATCTGAGCGTCGCACTTGGGGTACTTCCCCTGTTAGATTTACTTGATCCACTTTATTTTACATCAGACACCGAAACGGGAACCCAACAGACACATGATGTCATGGATCAGACAAAAAGGTCAAAAGATTTCTATGACGCCATAATTCAATAATAATTTACTTTATCTTTGATCAGAATAGCCTATAAAGCACCTGCAGAATTAAAAAAAGGAATAAAACCACCCATAACCCACTTACTTTTCAGTTTCCTTGCACTGTGCAGCCTAAACGATGATGTCCTTGATATCCAGATACTCAAATCTCTTGCTTCTTACTTATATTTATAAATGAATCGTCCTTCATAGAGCAACTTTACGGGCAACCTGGAAACAATGTTATTATAATACAAATCGAAAAATTTGAAAACGGAACTGGACTATCTGATGAACAATGTAAAACTCAATAAAAGCCTTCGTAAACAAGTCCAATACCACTAAATCAGACCCTTGATGACGCAAAATTTCTTTTATGAACTAATATTACGCCAGAGTGTCAAAAACTTCACAAAGAAACGACTATTCCTACGCGTCGGATTCTAAAAGCCGTCATGACGCCGAATTTAGCAATCTAGATAATCTACGTGTTTCAAATCAACATTCAAACGGATTTCAAGCCCTAAATCAACCAAAGTCCCTCTTGACCAACAAAGATCCGCTTACCTCCAAACTAGTTGCGCATCCTCAATGAAGCGGGATGTTGCCATGGAATCCAGGGCTCGGCTCTTCACTGTCTTGTTCTTGGGCCATCTTGTTCTTCGCTTCCGATCACTCTAGCTTCCTCGTGGGCCATAACCACACTCAAAAGGTCATTCTGAAAGAAAAATGTATTTAAACGCGAGAAATTAAGTAGGAAAGTTAATCATCTCATGAACAACATAAAAATACCCAAATACCGTCATGACGACATGATGAATGGCAAAAACTAGTAATGGGCCGGAAATCGGGAAAAAACGGCCCGCTGAGCACCGCTTGCAGCTGATTGCAGCATCTGTTTTATTCGTAACTGGGCGCAGCTTGCCGGGACTGAAGTCCCTGCAAACGGAATTGTCTGGGCGCATGCTGCTTAGGTGTTTTTCGAGAGTGGGGCAGTTTGCGGGTTTTACCAGTTATTCTATACCTAATGATCAATTTTCGGACAGTTTGTAGTCGGATTTGGAATATCGACTCCATTTCACTTTCGTCCGTGCGCCAACTGTCCAATAAAGGTAAGTAATTCAATCTGGTCGTACTTTTTTTTAGTTATTAGAGATTTTTTTATTATACTAGGTGCTTTTGAAGATTTTTGTTGAGATTTGCCGAGTTTTCGGGCTGGATTAGATTGTTTGGTATCTAATGCCTATAATAACGTAATTGGGCAGGTTTCTCCTTATCTTTCAGAGCTTTTCTTCATGTCCAAACTTCATGCAGATTTTTGGTAGGGATGAAAGATAACGCCCAAACTATGCGAAATATTCATAAAAATCAAGGAAGATACATTGAAGGATCATGAAAAAATGTGTGTGAGACAAATCGAGCGGTTTTTTCAGGCCGATATTATACATGATCCATGTAATTGTATGGCACCTAGATCCAATCTGTGAAGACTTCTAGTCACACAAAACGCGGTTAGGACAGGAAAACTAATATTTTGCACCTCATTTTGAGAAAAAAACAAGCCAAATCCCACACAAAATTTTCTGAATTACCTAGAATAATATTCAAAATCTTTTATAACTAAAAAACGTACAATCAGATCAATAGACGCTTACGCTTATTAGCACCTAGCTAGATTTGTCAAGCTTTTAAACCTGAGTTTAACCTGTTTATGCCACAGTAAAGTTTTAGAAAACCCCTCATCTCAACCGTAACCTTTCGAAAAATATCGTAATGGCGGGTTTTTTTACAAAACAACTATTTTTTACTTAAAATGCTCCTCGTTTTCCTTCTAGAGCACGGTTCCCCAGTTTATCACTCCCAATTGACATACCTTTCTTATCTTTCCGCGGTGCAGACCTCCGGGATAGCATTCGTTTTTTCCAACATCTCCAGGGTTCCAAGGAACGGATGCTTCCATGAAAATGAATAACATTAAAAATAGAATGGGAAGTACCTGGACTTATAGCAAGAAATAAAGGCCTACAATTGGTAAAAAAACAACTTACTTTAATCACCAAAGCAGGCTTTGATGATTGGGTGAAGGGGAGGGAGTGGGAGAGGGAGGGTGGTGATAGTGCTGTGATTTATTCTTTTTTCTTTATTTTTTTCTTATATTTTTTCTTAACATTTTTTTTATTTTTTTGATAATTGTTTCTTTTTTTTCTTATATTTTTTTCTTTTTTTTCAATTTTTTTTTAACATTTTTTTCTTTTTTTTTCAATTTTTTTTTAACATTTTTTTCTTTTTTTAAAGATCCGTTTGTATGGGGCTTGGAGATCTCTGCAAATTAAAAGAATAAATTGAAGGCTCAAAAAAACTGCCAATAATCTCAGGCCATCTGTAATTTCCTCAACTACCAATAAACCACGAAACTTACATTCTGAGGAGAGAGTGGGATAGGGGAGTAAGGCGGTGGGAGTGAAATGGGGGAGGAGGGCGGTGCAAGTGGCAGGGGAGGATGGGCGGGGGAAGGGTAACGAACAAGTGTGGCAGAAGTGAAGGTTGTGTGGGCTTCTTTTTTGCGAATTTTCGGTTTCTGAAAATATAGATCACATAATTTGAAAAAAAAACCAGCCTAAAATATATGTAGGATGAAAGAACTTACGTAATTAAAAGTGTCCGGAATAAAACGTGTTATCAAATTTTTTTCTTTTTTTTTATATTTTTTCTTTTTTTTATTTTTATATCCGTCTCTTCTGATCTTTGGAGTTTGGAGATACCTGAAAATCAAAAAATAAATTGAAGAACCCATGAAAAAACAAGTGACAATAATTCCAAGACATCCCTAATTGCCACAATTACAAAAAGACCACCAAAACTTACATTTTTCCATGATGTCTAAATCGTTGGTTTCGTTTCGACCGTCGGTGCCGTCCTGGGTCGAGATTGGCATATAGGAAGTAGGTGGTCAGGGAAATATGTTCAAAATCCATTGAGTTGAGAGCTCGGTTTCTGAAAATATAGATGAGATAATTCAAGAAAAATTCAGGATAAAATCAAGGGTGAAATGACAACTTACATATTGAAAATGAGTGGAAACGATAGTGGAGTAAGATTTTATAGAGAAGAAGGGAAGGGTCACATAAAATTTTTTTTTTTACTTTTTTTCTTTTTTTTCTTTTTTATTTTTTTATTTTTTTTTTATTTTACATCCGAAGTGAAGAAGTCTTGGGTCGAATATCTAAAAATAAAAAAAATAAATCGAATAGTCATCGCAAAAACAAGTGACAATAAGTTCGAGACATCCCTAGTTTCCTTAACTGCCAAAACACCATCAATACTTACATTCCGAAGAGAGAGTGGGGTGGGGGAGGAGTGTGGTGGGAGTGGAATAAAGGAGGGGTGCAGTGCGAGTGTGAGGGGAGAAGCGCGTATTACGAAATTACTTATTATTTTTTTATTTTTTTTTGGCCTTTTTTGGCTCTTTTTTTATTTTTTTAAAAGTATTTTTTTGGCCTTTTTTGGCTCTTTTCTTATTTTTTTAAAAGTATTGTTTGGCCTTTTTTGGCTCTTTTCTTATTTTTTAAAAAGTATTTTTGTGGCCTTTTTGGCTCTTTTCTTATTTTTTTTAAGTATTTTGTTGGCCTTTTTGGCTCTTTTCTTATTTTTTTTTAAAGTATTTTGTTGGCCTTTCTTTTTTGGCTTTTCTTTTTTTGCCTTTTATTCTTCTGGCCTTTAATTTTTTTGGCTTTTTTACTCTTTTAATCTTTGGTCCCTTCGGTGGTGGGCCTTGACGAGAGAGGATCTCTGAAAAATAAAAAAATTAATTGAAAACAACGTAGAAAAACAGTGAAAATACTATAAAAATATCTCTAACCACCTCAACACCTACTTGTCGGTAGAATTACATATCTTTATGTATTCTATACAAAGTTTTTTTTTAAATAGCGCATCTACAGTAATCTGTTGGCAATAAAAGGCGTAAGATAAAAGAAAATGGTAAAAGTTGTTTTATACGATGAAAACTGTCCCCAATGATTTTTGGAAAGCCAGCTCAGCTACTATAAGAACGCGAGACTCTAGCCCATGCGTAATAGCGAAAAAATCAAGTTTCTGATCTTCCTCGAAATAGCAAGAGCTGGTGCCTACCACAACAGCATCCAAAATTCTGCCCAAAATTGATCTAAACACCAAAAAAACAAAAGAAACGTGTGCTTACTTCATTTTCTCTTCTTAAAGATTCAATTCACTGCTGTTCGGACTCCTCAGTGGTACCGGCGGAGCTTTGACTTGCATCATCATGCTCGAAATCGAGACCATTTTGGCGTAATTCTGCAAAAGAAAATAACGGATAACCTTGCGTCAATCAATAGCCAACTCAAGGTAAAAAAATTGTAAAAATACCGAAAATTTTTTAAAAAATCGGGTTTCCTAACCAGTGAAGGTTGGTGCCTAGGACAATATCGCCAAAATTTCCCCTACTTTTGACCTAAATTTCATACAAAAAATCAAAGTTACCTCGATTTCGGTCCAATGGTTACAATTTGCAGCGATTGGGTGGCCCAAATGGAGACCATTTTGGCGTAATTCTGAAAAAATAGCAGATAAAATAGAAAATTAATTCTTTTTACACTTTTTTAAGGCTTCAAACCTAGTATAATATCAGGTCTACAGCCGAAAGCTAAAATCAAGCAGGGTAAATCTAACTCATAACTTCCGACAATTGTTTTTAGAAAACAAACAACCAAAAGAATAGAGATATCTAAACTCCCGGATCTAACCCAGTCCAGCGAAGGCTGAGGTCCAGCATAACATGCCAAAGAATCCCATAATTTGTGACCAAAATGCCAAACAAAATAACATAAAAAGAAAGCTTACCTCGATTTGGGTCCGACTGATTCTTGAAAATAGCAAGTGGATGGGCACCCTTTTTTTATTCCAGAGGCCCCCCGGACTGACTCAGGGGTCATGGGTGCCGCATCCACTTCTCCGCTCCGGCCTGGACTGGCCTTCATCTGAAAATAGAGCAAAAATTATATCACTTTAGCGTAAATCAAGGTCAAATTGTTCCCAAAACAACAAAGGAGGGTAAAGAAGGATCGAATTTAGACGAATCCCGGCAAAAATCATACCTTATTTTAGTCCAAGATCCCCAATCTTGAAAATAGCAAGTGGATGGGCACCCTTTTTTTATTCCAGAGGCCCCCCGAACTGACTCAGGGGGCATGGGTGCCGCATCCACTTCTCCGCTCCGGCCTGGACTGGCCTTCATCTGAAAATAGAGCAAAAATTATATTACTTTAGCGTAAATCAAGGTCAAATTGTTCCCAAAACAACAAAATCTTACCTTATTCGGTCTTGCCGAGCGCCCGTAATTTCCACAGGGCCCCCCGGACGAAGCGGAGGGCCAGGGCGCTCCGGTTCGACCAAAGCATCCAAGGTGAGCACCCTTTTTTGATAGTCCAACGGCCCCCCGGTCTCATTTGGGGGGCCAGGGTGCTCCACCATCGTTTTTTGTTCCTTCGTAGACTTCGTTTGGCACTGGCTGAAAATAAGGATCAGTAAAATTATATTACTTTAGACTAAACCCAACGAAAATCAAATAAAACCCCCCAAACTCCATGAATTTTAACGTGTTTACCCGCCATTTTACAGCGAATTCTACCACCTTCTTCCACAATATCCCAGCGAAATACACCAGCGTATAGCAAAAACAATGCAAACCTGCTTTTTTCGGGCGCAGTTCGCAAACATTATGATTTTTTTTGGAAAAAATGGGAACTTACTTTTTCTCGTGCGGATCAACTGGGCGATCCGTGGATGAGAATGCTCACGGGATCATCGGTAAGTTCATCTCTTGGAATCAATGTTTGCAAATTCCTAAAAAATAGAGATTATTTGGTGGGTGACTGCCAAAAACCTTACGTAATTAGGAAATTGAATGAGGCAATGGTTGTGGTCGGCGGAGCTGAAGGCGGTGCTCCACCTTATCCAAGGTTCCAAGGAACTGGATCATTCGGCGGAACTTGAGTTCTTCTGCCTGAAAAAAAAGATATTATTGAGAATTATATATAGGGCTCGTGCTTTATAAGTTTCGTCGGCTTTGCAACATCAGTTCAAATCGTGAAAAATCGTGAACTGATTATTGCAACATCAGTTCACGGGGTGAACTGATGTTGCAAAAAGGCGTTCACGATTTGAACTGATTTTGCAAAATGGCGTTCAGAGCGAATTCTGAACGCCTTTTTGCAACATTTTTTTGCAAAGCCGACGAAACTTATAAAGCACGAGCCCTATATCGACGTCTTTTTTCTTCAGAAAACACCTCAGTTTGGTTTATTTCTAGAGGGTTTTCGCCAAAAAAGTAAAAAACAAGAGCCAATAAACTTACTAGGCATGAGCGAATTCCTTATCGCCGCATAGCTTCGGCGGGCCATGTTCACGACGAGCCTTGCCGGAGGCTGGCGGCTTCTTCTGGGCCGGTCTTCAAAGACCACATCCTCTATGATGGGCCCGAGTTTTTCGACCTCCCTTGATCTTCGGGGAGGCCGAGGAACAACTTGTGGAGCAGGAGGCTGGTAACAGCAGCGTCGTCGGCACTTTGGCATTCTTCGCAGGGGCCCCGGCGCCTCGTGTTGTGGTGCTTGGGCTTCAACGGGCAGGACGTCGTTTTGTTGTGAAGGCTGCTGTGGTTGTCGATCGATTTGGGCTTCAGGCAAGGAGGATTCAGTTTTGACTTCGGGCGTCGCAGATCGCGCCGTTTGAACCAGCGGACTTCGTGAACGGTCGCGGCCGCCTCTTGGTGGTCGGGCATCGGCATCCGCTGTCTTCAGATGTTCACAGAGTCGCCGCTTAAGGCGCGAGTTCTCTTCCTTTTCTCTCTTCAATTCGATTAGAGCCGCTTCGAGATCGTTTTCGGCCTTGTGGGCTCTTTCCATTTCAGCGAGCCACAATTGTTCTGTGGCCTCCATCGATGCCTTCATTTCTTCGAGCTTCTCCTTGAGCTTGGTGTTCTCTTCTGCTATTGGCTCCGGCGTCTGTGCCATCATCGCCAGGGGGGAGCCCGCAACCGCCGGCAGATGGTCGGCCTGAACGGTGCGGGCGGGGTTTTGGCCAGAGGCCTGGCCAACGGCGCTGAGAGGCACTGAAATCACCAAAATAAGTCGAAAAATTGAAAAAGTATGAAAAAAAAAATATCTAAAACTATTACTAAGGTCCCCTGTCATATTCTCAATTTTCCCGACAAAATTTTATCCTGTTCCTAAAGTAATCTTTTTTGGTTTTAGGCGGAGATCCTGATGTTGACGATCCAAAATCTTGAAGTCCACGATGACCGAAAACTGCGTATTTGACTCAAAATCCTGTGAATATTCTTCCATTGCTCCAGAAAAAGGTCCAAGAATGTCGAAAAACCATCCAGTTTGAAGTCCGGTGACGAAAACCGTATAAAACCACAAGAAGCCCGAGCTGATTTGTTATGTTGATGGCGACCGAAAGGCGTATTTAAGTGGTGATCAGGAAATCGACAACACAGCAGCTCGAAAGCTGCAGAACACTGAATGACCCGAAGATCGGATCAAACGACAACGTGGAACGGGAGATCCTTCAAAAGGACTCCAGAAGATGAGATAGAACCAAATTAAAGGTGGTGGTCCGAACCAAGATAATGATTGGTCCTCGGGTGAAGATCAGGTGCTGGTGGACACGGTCTGGGTGATTTGGGGCCATTTCGACGTGAAAATCGTGGAAAACGGGTGCTGGATTGGATTCATGGAGACGAAAATGGTCAGATTGGTATGTTGATGTTCAAATTGAGCTAAAATAAGGTGAGTCCAGGGGTCAAATGGGCGAAAACTCTATCTAAAGTTTCTGTAATTTCTGTTTTGTCCTTGTGTCGGTCTTCTAAATGCTTCATTTCAGATATTCATTGATTCTTCGGTCACTTCAAGACGATATTGATGTCATGAATAATCTTCAGGCCAAGAAATCATCCCTGAAGGTCACTACTCCAAAGATTGTGGCGAACATTGAAGACTTCGATTATAGGCAGAGTCCAGCTGTAAAAACGAATTTGATGGCGAAGATGTTGATGAAGTTTTGATGGCAGAATTAAGGAAAGTCGTGGTTGATCTGTAGATGGTTGATTTGAAGTGATCGTGTCGAAAATGGGTGCCTTGGAGTCGCTTTTTGTCATGCTGAAGATGAATCTATTGATTGGAATTTGTACCGCGTAATCTCATTTTGTAAACCGATGTTTTAGTTGGTGTTGAAAGTCTCTGAAAAGGTCCATGCAACACGAAACCGCAAATTCGACGAGCCTGAACGACGAGAAGTCAAGTCCACCGGGAGAACAGCACTCAGAACACGTCAAGAAGTCATTCAACAAGATTTCGACAAGAAAAACGAGGACAGGTCAAGAACAACAGCAATAACGTCCATCGATGGACGAGACGAGCTCCCCACCCCTTGAAATTACTCTACTACAACCGTAATCCTAATTGATGATCGGAGACATGGTTCATTTGACGTTGATCTTCAGCAATCAGCCCAGTGGTTCAATTGGTCCAAAGGAGAAGGTCCAGGAAGTTCATTGTGTCATCAGGTGGTGTCGCACAGTGAAAACCCCGCTATACGTAAAAATAAAGGGAATTAACATGGATAGTATAAAATGGTGTAAGTATTTATTGTTATGATTAATATTATTAGAATTTATGAAAGTATAGGGATATCCAATTGTAATGGTCGATGTTTTAGGGCGCCAACGGACTTGCAAATGAACCTTTGGCAACCCATCGGGGTTTGAATTATCTTGGAACAGCTGCATGGACGAACTGAAAGGCGAGGAAAGCAAACTAAAATTGTTACCTGGTCCGCGAATCAGATTGGAGACGGTGTTCGATGGCAATTGGAGAAAACACAAAGTAAGGCTATTTTTGGCCGTGAAAATGAATAGTTTACTCTTTATTTGGGATTTTTGCCTCCAAAAATATTCCAAAGTACAATGTATAAGAATAGTTTATGACGAATACAGTATAATTATAATAAAAAAAATTTTAGGTGATGTCATCATGAATAGTCGCTGGAACTGCCATAATCAACAAAAATGATCCATCTCCGACCCGGATTAGGCTCTTGAAGGGATTCTGGAGGTACATGAAGATGTTTGAGGCCGTAAGTTTGATCATTGGACATCAATTCCGACATTCGGTTGACAAATTTCTAGAGAATCCGTCAAATATTTTTGTGGAGGGGTTAGTTTTTGGAGCTATTTGGAAAGGGAAAGCTGGAGTGGGGTCTCTAAAAGTTTGGAGTTGATTTTTGACTATTTTGATGAAAGAATGAACTAAAATTGACGGATTTTCTAGATTTTTGCCTACCGAATGTCGCCTTGGATCTGAGCAGTGGATGGACTGAAGTGCTGGCCACCGATCGACTTCATCATTTTTGGACCTTGGAGAGATGTCAGCCCAATCATAATGGGTATTCTGGGAGGCTGCGGGCTGGGATATTGATCATCGGAAATCAAAATTTGAGTAAAGGGGAAATTTATATGAAAATTAAGCTCGGAATTTATGGTACCTAATGAGTGCTGTTGGCTTCGTTTTCTTGCCTAAAGGGGTGTCAAAAAAGCGAAAGGATTTTTTTCCAAATTTTTTTCAGAAAATTAAATTCGAAGTTTTTGGTACGGGATTTTTCAAACTATCATCGAAAATACAACAGTGACTCTTTAAAATGCCCGAAATCTACCCTTTTATCCAAAATTTTGCCCTTCAACATCTTCTCCATGAGGCCTCTAAACACTGTAAAACTCAAAAAATTGTGACTTACCGATGTGACAAGGCTTAAATGGGGGTGGGAACTGATCCATCACGATGCATCGAGGCGTAATACATAGAGTCAAGGCCAATTTCTGCCGGATTTTACAGTTTCAAATAGTTTTTGGCGGGATTTATGGTATCCCCCACCAGCCGAATTGCGACGTTTTGTGCAATATTTGGCCTGAATCTTACACTTCAGGGCCTAATAGTGTATTTTCCAGGCCCTTAGGCCTTTTTTATCGTAATTTTTGGCGGGATTTACGGTAGCAACCCACCAGCCAAGAATGAGGTTTGTCATTTTACGGGTGACAAATCAAATATAAGGTAATTACAAGTTCAAATGTCAGTAAGCTCTTCAGTTGAGCTCGAAATCAACTGTTTTGAGCTCTTTTTTATTTTTTTCTACCGTATGCAGTATATTGTGTATATTTTTCCCCTAAGCTTATCTAAGTCATCTTATAGGAAGTTAAGGTCTATTACATGATTCAAAGCCGAACTTGTCATCAAAAGGACCAGAATTTTCTGGAATTTCAATGACACATTCGACTTTGATATCCTAAATCTTCAAAAAACCCCAAAAAATCCCAAAAATCCCCACTGAACTTACCCGAAGACCGTTCCCCAGCGCCAACCACCGGGACGGCGGCGGTGGAAGGCGCTGGGGCCATCGTCTGGGAGACGGAGTCGGACTCGCTGGAAGCGTTGATGGAATTGTTCATCTTGGGATGGATGATGGCTTAACCAGGATTAAAAAATCAACCGGTGAATGAGCAAAATGCCAACAAAATTTTGGTGAATTTCGAATATGTAAATTTCGAATTTTTATGCAAATTCGTGGGAAAATTTGACTTTTTTTCGAATTTTCGCCCAATTTTTTGAAAAGTTTCTTGCCACGTGCTGCGGTTTCGTGCGTTTTGCTCGAATTTCGAGGGTATCAGGGCGAGTACGGACAAGGTTTCAGGATTATATTGGACGTTTCGGGTGATTTTTTGACAATTTTTTCGACTTTTTTAGCTTTATTGTATTTTTTGGATGTATGTGGAATTTTAGATTTTTCATCGACGCACTCAGTTTTCCAAGGGCCTTCATGCATCGGAAGAACGGCCGGAAACCCTCAGGCTTTGAAGACGACAGTTGGTCTGAAGCGCCGCAGAAATGAGTTGATGGGAAAAATGGCAAAAGTAAGTTGTGTTTTGACATGGGAAGTACTCCAAGTGCGACGCTCAGTTTTTCTTTAAATTTTGCACACACGTCTAGTATGGACTAAATATCAATTCCTGAAAGTTTTAGCTCGCGCTTTGCGGGCGCCGCCGAGATATCGAACGATTTCTGCCGCCGAGGGAGCACGTTAAACGTGGAGAGCGGTCAGAGAGAAAAACGCTTCTTGGCCATAACTTTGGAAGTTTCGTGCAGAAAAATTTGATTTTTTGTAGAAACATTATTCTTTACGGTAGAAATAGCCATGAAACTTTTCGTGCCAAAATTCGGAAAAAAGTCCTAAATTTTGGCCGACTTTCGATCTAAAAATCTCGGTTGTTTCTGCAAAGTGCGAGCTAGGATTCTCGCATATATCTTAGAAAAAAATATTCTAAATCTGTGCCAAGTTTCATCAAAATCTGAGCGTCGCATTTGGAGTACTTCCCCTGTGAGCTTTTTGGATTGTTTGGATTTTAGGCTGTAGCACCGGAGAACTCCGTATACTTAAATGAGAGGCATGTGGTGGCTGAAGCCTTGTTGGGAGCAACTAGAATCGGCAATACTTTGATCCCAGCGGTGAGAAAATTGGCAGATCGATGGTGCACTGGATGGGCGTTGATTAACTGGAGACTGATTCAAAGGTAGGTGTATTTTAGAAGATTGTTGCTGATTTAGAGGTATGGTTCTTAATTGGTGTTATGCTGAGAATTTTTATAACATTTTCGGGATAAATTCGAATTCCTTTGAAGATTTACTATAGGTGGAACCAGAGATTGCCACGGCTCCGGAGCCGGCTCTTGGCTCCAAGCCGGTAGCTAGAGCCGGAGCCGGAATTTTGATGTGGCATTCTTTCGTTGGAACCTATGTTAGAGAAAGTCTACGGTATAGAGAGGGTGTTTCACCCTTTAGAATTCATTTTTCTTCGAATATTTTGATTCATTTTTGTTCTAACGTTGTCATGATTACTATAACAGTCTCATTTAGGCCTCCTACGACGAGAAATCATTGCCGGACGCATACTGCATTGGAAAGAACGGTGCTCTCCACAATTCCAGCAATTTGGACTGTATCCGATCGAGTCTTTAATTGTGGGGACGATAAATTGCTGATTTTGTAGTAGGCAGAAGTTGATGACTGACTGGTAACTCCGATCACTACCGGCAAGACGAAAGAGCCCCTCAATTTAGCCTTCACGGCTTGTCAACTGGACCAGAACAACCGATGTTATCAAAGAGTTCGCAATTTTACTATGGGTATATTATAAATGATAAGAATACAGTATTTTTTATGTAATTTTGATGAATTTTGTTGATTTATTAGAAAAGAAAAGGCTTATTTTACTCTTGATTGGATGTAACTAACAGGGGAAGTACCCCAAGTGCGACGCTCAGATTTTGATGAAACTTGGCACAAATTTAGAATAATTTTTTCTAAGATATATGCGAGAATCCTAGCTCGCGCTTTGCAGAAACAACCGAGATTTTTAGATCGAAAGTCGGTGAAAAATTAGGACTTTTTGCCGAATTTCAGCACGAAAAGTTTCATGCCTATTTCAACCGTAAAGAATAATGTTTCTACAAAAAATCAAATTTTTCCGCACGAAACTGCCAAAGTTATGGCCAAAAAGCGGTTTTCTCTCTGACCGCTCTCTACGTTGAGCGTGCTCTCTCGGCGGCAAAAATCGTTCAATATCTCGGCGGCGCCCGCAAAGCGCGAGCTAAAACTTTCAGGAATTGATATTTAGTCCATACCCGATGTGTGTGCAAAATTTAAAGAAAATCTGAGCGTCACACTTGAAGTACTTCCCCTGTAAGTCCACATTCGAAGAACCCGCGTACATTTGCCTCTGGCACTTCTTTTGTGAACCGGGAATACAGAAAACATTCCGCTTGAGTCTTGCCATTGGAGACAAAGTTTTCGACACCTTTTTGGACCAAGTATCAGTTTTTGAAACCGTTAATACCACAGTTACGTAATCCTGCAGTTACTAGCTGATTTTTTAGGTACAGTGTGAGACTTGACCCAAGCGAGAAAGAGTTGACATAAATAAAACATTTTTTTTTGTTTTTGCAAAAATTTTCAGAATTTATTCGTGTTTCGTAGATTCGTGGTTTTTTTGGTGCTTTGTCGTATTTTAGAATCAAAAATGAGATTTTTTATCAATCTTTCTTTTAAAATATTACCTTATTTTAGAATTTTTGAATCCCTATGATAACATAATTATCTATAAATCGGATTAGCTGTAATAGCAAGCTTGAAGCTCCTACTTTGATCTGCTAACAGTCTCTTTTTTCAGAATGCCCACAATTGTCCTGCCGGGCGATGTTATTTCAGCCCCTTGGCTAGGTCAAAAGAAGAAGAAAATCCTCGGAAATGGACTAGTTTGCGCGCCAGATGGCACGATACGATCGAATGTAGCCGGGATCCTCCATGAAACAGAGTCTTCGGTCTATGTCGAATCAAATGAAACGCGATATCTTCCCAAGTCGGGCGATCTTGTACTCGGCACGGTAATTGGACAGAGTGGAGATTTCTTTCGAGTAGATGTGGGAGGTCCTCAAGCGGCATTGCTGAGTTTCCTCAGCTTTGAAGGTAATACCTTATTTTGTTTTTTTTCAATTTTAGTGTGTTTGAAAAAGAAGGAAACCAGGAACTGGTAAGAGGGGACCAAGGTGAATTTGTGGACTAAAAAGTCCAACGTGAAATTTTGCTAAACTTATTGAAGATTGATGGAAAGGAAGAGTAGAGACTATGTGAGCTCTCTACTTCCACAATGTTTTTGTCGCATTTTGCAAGAATTTCCGAGGTTTTTGAGTCGATACATCAAAAAAAATCCATTTTTCGATTTTTCGTTAAAGAAATCATTGAATTCTTGATAAAAATAGCTACCATAAGTAGCATTTGCTCCGGTTACAGTTGAATCGCATCATGAGAACCCATTTTAACCCTTCTAATTGACATTTTTTGACCAAAATCACCTAAAATCAGGTCCTTTCTACCAGAAAAACTTCCGGGTCTCTCATGATTGCGAGATGCCAAGGTCTTTCTCAAATTGCGTTTTGAAGACCTCTTCTTGTTTCAGGAGCCACAAAAAGGAACCGTCCCCAACTCCGAGTGGGTTCTTTGGTCTATGGTCAAATTGTGATGGCCTCCAAAAATGTGGAGCCCGAGCTCTCCTGTGTGGACAATGATGGTCGCGCCGAAGGCATGGGGATCATGAAGGAGCCCGGTCTCGTCGTCCAACTCCCTTTAAGTTATGCCCGCAGGCTATTAAGGCCGGACGATCGGCTTTTGAAATTGATTGGGGCCAAATTCAAATGCGAATTAGTGATTGGAATGAATGGACAAGTCATGTGAGTAAAAAGTTGTACAAATTGAATATAATGGCAGATTTTAGGATCATCGGCACCCCTCAAACAGTCTCCGCCATCCATCAGATCCTGGAAAAATGCGAAGAAACGTTTGAATCAAACTACGATAAGCTCGTTGAATCTGTCTCCTCAGGGCAGAAAATGGAAGAAGATTGATCTCCAAGGCTCTTATTTTGTCTGAATTACACTTTGTTACTTGTTATTGCGTTTTTTGTTATTAAAATTGAAAAAGTTTGCCATGGATAATATCAGAAAAGAAAAAAGCTCAAAATTTTATTAAGATTATTGTTTATTTCAATCTGAAATGGTCATAGTTCGGATCACAATGACCTATTCTATAACTTTTCTTCAAGCTTTCGCTACGAAAGCCCAAAGAAAAAAGTCATTATGACGGAGTTTTTGGAATCTGGAAATTTGTCGATCGAAAATCCCAAAAAAATCTCGTTTTTCCTCGTTGAATTTGGCCAAGGATAGAATGGCGAATCCACTGTGCGAACTTGAAGATGTGAATGAACTGCGAGAGTTTGTCAAGACCGACGAATTCAAAGAGCTGGAAAAATCCGTGGAAAATGAAATCGGGGCCGAGAAGCTTCAATTGCTCCGCGAAATGTGCATGGAAGCCGTTTTGCTGTGTCGGCATAAGGACAAAGATGGTGAGCTCCCTCCGGGGATGTTTGAGGAGTTTGTGGATAAGGTGAGAACTTTTTTGGTTTTGTTCTTGGTTTAGGTGAAGATGTGGAAGTTTAGTGGTAGACGGGTTGAATACTGATGGCAAAGGGTGGATTTAGCTTGGTTAGCATGTGGTAAAGGTTTATTTCGTGATTGAAATTCTGAAACATCGATCTTTTATTGATTTTGATGTTGCACTTGGAGGTGCTCGAAGGAATTTAAGTTTTCGAATATTCCTGTCCTTTCTTTTGTCGGTAATGGTATTTATCGCCGGCTTATGATCTGTTTGAGCTGACGGCGAGCTTTAACCTCTAACTCTCGGGTATTTTTGCGTTAAAAAATATTTTTTAGACTTGCCCATCTTATTTTAGGTAATTAAGTTGAAGACTGCAATTTTTGCCTCGTTTTTACGGTGAAACTTGTCCTCAATGATGTAACCTAGTGTCAACCATCCTTTTGGCGTTTTACCACCATTAGCTCAATTTCACCCTTCAGAACCTTATTTTAGATGTTCGATTCCGGCTTGAACGAAGTCGAAAGAGAATGTGTTTGCTACTACATCAACCATGGGCTACAGCACCCTGGGGAGATTCTGGATGTTGCGGACCTTACGAAAACGGAGGAATCGCACGTTTCCATGGGCAGATCGGACGAGGAACCTCATCCCGATGGTGATGAAACTTTCCAAAGATTCGGGCATTTAGAAGTCATCGATGAAGAAGGGAACAAGCCCGAAGATGTCACGGCGAATTTGCTTGATGACTCTGACGATGAGGAGGGTTTAGACGGTTCGACCAACGATTCATTTGGTGCTGAAGTGGATGAAAATGGTGATCATCCGACTGAATAAAACTCATAATTGGTTTGGTTTATATTGTTTTGGGACTAACATTTATTTTTGCTCATGTTTTTGTTGTTTATAAATACTTTTTTGACAATTTTTAAAATTTTGATATTATCCATGATAATTTCTAGTGATTTTGGGGAAAATTTTTCACCAAGTTAGGTTTATGGCTGCTTATTTTGAAGGTTTATGGTCTCTTACATAATTTTGAATCATTTTTTTACTCAAAAAAGTGAGATTTTTATGTCTTTCACCTTGAAAAAAAAAATTAAAAAAATCGGTAATTTACGCAAATTTGTAAAATAATTTTTCCAAAAATTGTGTTTTCATGCCAAAAGAAGCTCTTTTTCACGTATCCTTCCACTTTTCAAGCTGGTTGAGCTTGGATTTTGACCTGATCCCTAGTCTAATATCACCCCCGAATTTGTTGTGCGAATGTGGATCCAGCCGTTTCTCTGGTTCATCAGCTTCCTGATATGGTATCAGCTCTTCACGACGGTCTTTCTGACCTTCCTCCTGTTCGAACATTGGACCTATGTTGCTCTTTTCTACAGCACCTATGTGGTTGTAAGTGTAACATAAAAAGTTGTTGAATTTGGGGTTTAGTTGTTCTGCCTGTCATTGGGAAGCCTTTTCCAAGCCTTGTTCGCGCCAATGCCCAAGATCCCGGAGGGGTATCGATTGCCGGAGGGGTTTTTTGAAGCCGCTCAGAAGAATCAAAAGCTATCGCCAGAATGGGCTCGAGGCTATTTGGCGGTGAGAGCGTTGGCCAGAAATCGAAAACTGAAGAACTCTAGGAAACGGTGAGTTAATTTTTTCTCCATCACGTTCTAAAATACGATCAAAATTTTAATTTTTAATAATTTTTGTCCAGAAACCGACCAGAAATTTGCAAAAAACCTTAAAAAGTATTCAATTTGCCTAAAAATTCGCTTGGATTTTTATCTAAAATGACTTCATTAAGCTTTTATCAGCCCGATAACCCAAATTGAACATCAAAAAGAAATCAAAAAATATTTTTTTTTGGGTTACTGTATCTAAAGTAATATTTTGTCTCCAGCTCATTGAAAATTGAACGGAAGACCTTGAAATTCCCTCTATTTTGTCTCAAATGCAATATTATCAAGCCGAAAGACACCAGACATTGTACCAGATGCTCGGCGTGCATTCCCCGACTGGATCATCACTGTCCGGCCATGGGTAAGATAAAAAATTTTTATTTTGGTTGAAATTTTGATGAGTGGATAAGTTTGAGTTGTTTTAGAGCCCTATGAAGCTTTTTGGATACATTGGAATGAGTTTTTAGTTTTTAATTTCACTTGGTTTTGGGAGTTTTGTTGAAAATTGAAATGCACTGTGCACTAGGAATGAGGTAATAAAATGGGCGTAATGGCGGATTTGGGAAAGAAAAAAGGTCGTAGGATGGCTGATCAAGCTACATACGCGTTTTTTATCGCTTTTTTTCAAAAATTTTCCGCACAGTGCAATTGAGGAATTGGGGCCGCAGAAATCGCACAGTGCAGTCAAAATGGTATTCTTATGTCATTATTTTTATGACGAGGTAAGGTAGTACCTCCGTGTATTATCTGAGTAGATTTTCTAAGGATCCTAGGCTATGGCTTCATTATTTTGTTTTTTCATTTTTTGCACGGTGCAAGCGAAAAATTAGGAAAATAAGTTTTGCACAGTGCGATTTATTCTAAGGTGACGTAATCTGAAAGCTGCTGAGGTAAAAATGCCAAAAAAAATTTATATTGATTCTCGAAGGTATTAGTGGCTTTTTAAAGCAAATTTTATTTAGCGATTAGCTCTAGGCAATTTGAAAAATCAAAAAAATTATTTTTGCACAGTGCAAAAACAAAGTGTGCATAGAATAGGGCAAAAAACTGAAAATTTGGAGTGGTAAAATATGTAAAATACGTGGAGTTGTCGTGTTTTAGGGAAATGTGTCCACTATGGCAACCACAAACACTTTTTGTTGTTCCTGATTTACGCTGTGGTCATTTGCGTTTACACGGATATTGTGGCTGGTTTCCACACGGTCAAGGCGATCATGAGATATCAAGACGAGCAAATTGAACAACTCCTAACACCGATTATGTTGGCGGCCACAGGACTTGTTCAGACAATGGTGAGTGGGGTTACGGTAGGATTACTGTAGAGGGAAAATTAGAGTTTTTTTTATGAAAAATGGTCAAATTTGGGGTATTAAAAGGAAGTGGGGTAAAACACGGAAATTTGATTTATGTTTTGAAGAAAAAATTATAGTGGATTACTGTAATTTGAGATTTTTCATTTTCAATTTTTGCCTAAAATAAGGTCAAAAATGATTTTTTTATGCAAAATACGAGTTGACAAAGGATGAATCGTATATTGATTTCATTTTCATACCATAAATTAGCAGGGTTACTGTAATTTGTCGAAAAAAACTTGAAATTTTTGCCTTTTTACCCATAAATTGTCTAAAGTAAGGTCAAAGACGTAAAAATGATGCGAAAAATACATGAAAAGCATTTTTAAATATCAGAAATTTAATTTTACCCCCGTATTTTCAGAGTTTCCCCCCAGTTTTGATCTGGTTCCAATACGGGTTATGGGAAAATGTGCTGGACGGCCTTTTGACGGTCGAGACTTGCTACGAATCCAATGATTCCGAACTTCAGAAGACGGAAAAGACCAAACTGGAGAACATCAAGAACTTTTTCGGAGAGAATTATTGGCTTTGGCCGTGGCCAATCACCACCGAAACGGAGGAAAGGGCTTTTGAATAGGAAAATTGTTTGTTTTTGGTTAATAAAATGATTATATTGGCTCGAATACCATTTATTATTGTAAAATACGATTTCGCCTTCCTATCTTCTCTATAATTCGAGCTGTCTGAGCAAAAAATTATATTATACTTGGCAAAATTTTCAAAAAATTTATATTGCACTAGATGAAAGGACGAAAAAATTGCCGGATTAGCTAATAAATACTTTTATTACTCAGTTTCTATCAAATAAATAACAAAACAAAGAAGAGGCAGATCTTCCCGTGAAGAAATTACGCGTTTACACATTCATATTTACTTGGCCTTCTGGACGCGACGGTTCCTTGGGGAGCCGATTTTAGGAGACTTGTCGGTCAGATGAGAGCGTGGGATCCATTCGTAGTCGACCTCATCGCTGCTGGTGCCGGTCTCGTACTTGGCTTGGCGCGAGACAACGGTGGACTTGCGGGTGAACTAAAACAATATAAAAATTAGTAAAGATAATTGATCTTTTGATAATTAATAATATTTCTCGAAAAATAAATTCCTATTCTATCATTTGGAAGCTTTTAAAATCAAGATCGACTTTTAGTTCAACGATTTTCAGCCATTTTTTCCATCTGATATCAAGTACAATATAAAATTTTCGTCAAAAATTAAACAGACCCTCACCTTGCTGAACAATTGGCTGATCAGGAAGATGATTCCACCGAAAATGCCGAGGAGAACAATGAACAAGAATCCGGTTTCGGTGTTGAAGTTGCTTTCGTCTTCCTGAACAAGGATGGTCTCGTTGTAGACGGTGTTCACGTAATATCCGCCAGCAGAGTCAGTGTAATGAAGGTTGACAGTCAAGCCCAAAGGACGGCCGATGAAAGCTTCGTTGGGAATGAATCGGTAGTCAAAGGTGGCCTCTTGCTTGGGAGCAACAGTTCTCTCAACACGGCCTGCAGTCAGCTGGAAAGCAGAAGATAAGGAAAATTGAAATTTCAAGGTGAAAATCAAAAAAATTCAAGGCCAATTTGGTATCAAAAGAGAGCTAGAGACTTGATACAGCTAACAGAACAGCTTTCAAGACGATTCAATGGACTTACATTGAGCATGATCATGTTGAAGTCAAAGGGATAACGGAAAGAGGGCTCGATGGCGTGGACGGTGAAATCCTTCTCGCCCTTGTTGGCAAATCCAACCAAGAAGGTGGAAACTTTACCAGCCAAGAAGTCTGCAAATTAATCAACCGTTAGAACCTCATTTTATCCCTCAAGCAAGTCTAAAACCAAAAAACCAAGGATAACATCACTTACTCTGGGTGTCAGTGGGTTCAACAAAATAGAAAGAAACCTGAGCGTCCTTGGATGGGCCAACAGTCCTCAACTCATCTTCTGGCTCTTGAACTTTGCCTTCTCCTTCAGCTTCATCTTCTGGGCGGACTGAAAATACCAACAGTTAGGAAATTATACTGCACTAGGTATCAAAAAACTCTTTTCATCAAAACGAACTCAAATCAAGGTCAAATCACATGTAACTTCGTCAAGTCACAGTGTAAATATTCCTCTTACTGATGAGCAAATCTTACCTGATGAGATCAAAAGTGCACTGCAGAGAAAGAGCAAAAGATGCCTTGAGGTCAACATGATCAACAAGTGGTCTGAGGTCAGCAAATCGTCAGTGTCTCAATTTATATTTGAGCGACACACGTCTTTTGCTTGCGCCGAAGCTCCAACAAAAAGTATTTTTTGGCGAGAAAACTGCAAATTCTTTGCGTTGTGGGACCGGGAAGTCAAGTTTTGGCATTATGTTTCAAGTGGATTCTTGTCGAATTTTGGTGAAAAAAGTTACAAATACGGTAAAATACGGTAATACAAATGCTGACAGTTCGTTTTAAAGGATATTTACTAGAGAAATACGTCAAAATTTTATAGATTATCGATAGTTTTGAAGTTGATATTATACTTGATGTCATAAGATTAGATTTTTATACCAAATAAAATAAAATTATTGTCTATTTTGATAATTACTACTCCCAGACTCAATAGAATCTGTCTAGAAGGTTTTTTGGATTAAGAGATTTCAAAAATTTGAATTTTCGCCAAATTTGGCATTCTGTTGCAAGCCTATGAGATTGACGGAAACTGAGAAAAGTGGTATTTTTGGCTGTAAAATGTTGATTTCATTCAAAAAAATCTTTAAAAATGGTACAAAATTTGAATAAAACTCCGAAAATTTTCTTTGTCTCCAAAACAAAGTTCATTTCGCCAAATCATCGACCGAAAACAGTCGGATTTCCCTTGAATTCCCCCATTTTCCCTCAAATATTCCATCCAAGATGGCTGCGGAACCCGGACAAGCAAGTGGTGTGCCAGCTCCGCCCGAAGAAAAGAGTCAAGACCAAGGGTCGAAAACGGGATCCGCGAAGCGCCCGGAGCAAACGGCCCGAGTATTGGCCGATGAGGATGTTATGACCGTGGCGGATGTGGCGAATCCCGATGCAGTTGGGGAGTTTACCAACGAAGTAGGTTTGATGACTAAAGTATCTAAAATAAGGTCGGAATGGGGAAATTGGGATAATTCAAGGCGAATCATTGATCTTGGAAAGTGAATTATGGTCTGTTGGTTATTCCTAGCCCTTGAAAAAGGATTTGGCTCACCTTTTTTATTAAGAAAATACCAGAAATTTGGGAAATTCATTAAAAATGATGACTTTTTGAGGTAAAATCCATTTGAACTGATAAAAAGTAGATGGTAGTCGATTGATATGGGCATGATTTAGAAAGAAGACAGTATATTCTTGCCTTTAACATCACTGCGACCATTTTTAAAATGACTTTTTTATACGAAAATTGAGCTTTTCTCCTATTTTAGGTCAAAATTGGCGAAATTATTGATTTTTTTGATTTTTAACCCTAATTTTTTACCGTAAAATTCACTTCAATATCTTCTAAATATAATATAGCCTCTATGGCATAATTTACACCAATTTATTTCAGCTTTCCGACCTGACGGACGACGAGAATCCGGACGGAATCAAGCCGAGTCATGGCCGAACCTGGTACAACCGAATCCAACCGCTCCTCAACAACAAACGCATTCGCCATTTTGTGATCACAAATATCACGCTGACCATCGTCAACACCTTCCTTTTCTTCATGTTCGTCTGCGGCATCGTGTATGCTGTGATGCTTCATGAAGAGGTAGCATAATATAAATTTTTATCCCGAAAATTCCAGGTCTCCCACCGCAGCGTCCTCAACAAACCGTGTATTTTCGAATGGGCGGAATGGGGAGAATGCTCGGCAACTTGTCGCAGCGAAAATGGCGATGTTCCGATCAAGTCACGCAAAGTGAATCCGAATAAGATTGTGAGAGCGCGCGGAAGATTTGCCGATTTGTCACCGTGTCCCATGAATTTGGAGAATAAAGTGGTAAGGGGGGTTGGAACGCTTTTGGGGGGAAATGGGCCAATAGTCGAGTTTGAAGAGACGATTTTCGTTATTGATGTCTAGTGTAATATAAAAAATTTTTAGAATTAGAAATCGACATAAAAAGCGAATTTACTGGTCACAATTAGGCTTCTTATTGGGCGTGAGGTTACTGTAGCATTAATAATTTGTTTGTCATCTCTTTTTCAAATTTCCAGAAAATCCGTCATCGCGATCCAAAAAAGGCATCTGGACATGCAACACTGGCCTCAATTTTTGTCGCTGAACTCTGTATAGATTAAAAATAGGACGCCTAAATTTTTTTTGTCGATATCTGGCCAACTAAATATGTCACGATGACGGATTTTCTGGAATTTTGTAAAAAAATTAGTATTTGGTTTATTTTTCAATTTTTTGAAATGAAATATTTCAGGATTTTGCCCCTTGCAACACTCATTACTGTCCCAAGAAGCTGTCTTCATTCGACTTCACCAAAAGATGCTTCAAAGTTTATGTTGACGATGAAAAAAAAGGCTGTTATCACATCAGAAATGTTTCACTAAAAGATCAATTGGTAAGTCATGTGTCCTGTGTGCTGTATAGAACATTTAGATCGAAATTGACGTCACCGATCTGACCAAACCTGTAAACTGCAGCACATGTTTGGGGAGCGCTCGACCTGTTGATTAAGATAATATTTTCTCGATGGATAATTGTGTTTTTATTAAATAAAGTTATTATTATCTCCTGTATGTGTCAAATTTATCCTCATTTTGATTGAATTGCCCGATTTCATAGAAAAATCAGCAATTTTCCTTTTGCAGCCTGCAGAATGTCGGGCGCGAGCTGCGCTTATCGAAAATAAAGATTTTTTATTTTTTCGATAAAGGAACCGAAATGAAAAGACACCAATATAGGTGCCTACTCATAGAATATTCATGGTTTTATAATACTATTTTCGTGTTAGTTCAGTCCCATATTAATCATTATATTGCACTTGCCGAAAGGTCTGCTGAGTCCCGTTTTTCCGCGAAAACACGAGGTTTAAATCTCAATCTAGAGATTGTGACCGCCTCTTCGTGACTTTAGAGTTCGTTAATATCGATATCTCTTATCTTCTTTCCTAAATTAAGTCTTTTTTCATCTTCTCGGGTGTCTAATGTAATTTATAAATTTTTACTTGATGTTATCAATTTCAGATGGAATAAAGCATGGTGGATGAAATCTCATTGAGCGGTATCGCCTATAAATACACAAATTTTTGGTTTGGATATCAGAAAAGGTTTTTTAAATTGAGAAAAGGCACCATCTACTACTATTTGTCGAAAGAAAACGAACGAGATGGCTGTCGGAAGTTCCGAGTCCTAAAGAATTTTAGATTAGAGGTGAGCTTTGACCCTTGACTTGCTATTGTATGCTTTCATTTTTAGTTTGACGACGATCCCAACCGTCTGGACATTTGTTTTCCCGATGAACGATGGGCTTTGCGGTTTTGTTCGGTTGATGAGCAAAATTTGTGGAGAGATGCGCTTGATGCATTCTTGCAGCCGCAGAACTCGTCGAAGATCCTTTCTACCGAACGTTGGGCAGCAATGAACCGGGATTTGGGTCCAGGTGAGTGTTTTATAAAAGTTATGTTGTTCATGGTTTAGGTCTCCGTCTAAAACAAGATGCTACACTGAAATAAGGCTTGGTGTGGTCTTGAAAATTGATCTAGGACAGTCAAAAGTTCTCTTGGGTTCTATTTGCTGCTAAATTTTGGTTGGTCGACCTATTTTTTGAATGGATTATTTGTGATCTAGTCTGATCTAAAATAAGGTCAGATCTTTTACAAATAGTATTATGGTTCCCCGGAAAGTATTTAAAAAGTTTTATTGTGGTTTCTAGTTTCTGCTAAGCGTCAAATATGGGGTTTAACTCCAAACTTTTAGCGCGATAATATCCATGGTATAGGCTAATCTAAAATAAGGTCGAATTTTTTAAAAAAGGTGGAGGTGTTGTCTAAAAGGTATTGTCTGACCTTAAATACAGTCTACTATGTCTATTGCTGTCAAAAAATTCTTCCAGAATCCTCTGAAAAGCCCGATTCCAACCTAATTACTCGAACCGACTACCTGTCCGAGCCAACCTACTCGTTCACCCCACACAGATCGGTTGACCTCGATCTGCATCGTCTCGAACACATGAAGGAGTCCCTACCGCAGCAATTTTCGCTCGTCCACGAAGTTTTGTCGAAGATTGTGGAGACCCGCGCCGCTCCCCTGGACTTGGCCATTGTTGAACAGAGCGTGGATCGGTGCAAACAAATCGCCGAATCGATGCGCTATTTGCAGTCCGTCCTGCCCCAAATCCAGGTATCCATGGCCGAGGACGCATTCGAGGCTCTGTCCTGGCCCACCACCTCCGAACAGGTCATTAAAACAGCAAAGAAGAAAAATTTTGGAGAATTTTCGGGCTTTCCCAACCGGGGAATATGTTAAACTCGGGCTGAAATGAGCTTCTCGGGCTTCTCTCTCTCGGTTTCAGATATAACTGCTTTGAGGCGAAAGCGCTGATTAGATCTTTCTCCAAGCCGAAAGCAGGTAAAATAAAGTAAAAATGAAACGGGAATGGGGGAAATCAATGATGAATGAAGTCAGTATGCTATTTTTGGATGGTTTAGACTTCAGATTTTGTGATATCGAGACTAAAAATTGATTTTTTTCGCAAAAATTTTGCCTAGTATAATATAATTGAAGATTTTTTTAATCTAAAAAGGTGGATTTTCTGATTGAGTTTGAGACCAGGCCGGCCCAGGGCTTTTTCAAATTTGCTCAGGCCCGGCCCGGTGAAAGCCCAGGCCGGCCCGGCCCGGTTTGGCCCGCTAATACAGAAAAGTTGGATAAAAGTCTTTGCACTTTCTACTGGAAGTTCTTATGCTTTCCAGAAGGTTTTTACGTGTGTCTGCGTGAAATTAAAAAGTCTAGTCGGATGACTGGAACATCCGTACAGGTAGCTAAAATCTAGCCAAAAAGTTGGATTGTGTTGAATTTTTTAATCCTATAGGAAGTTAGCTATATAAAATTATTTACGTTATAAGGTAAATGGTTAACCAAAAACTGGTTAAACACTTTTATTTACATAGAGGATTCAAAATTACAGTGGAATTTTTAAATTTATCATAAAAAAATTCGAAGACTTTTGCCCGACCCTTACATATTTGGGTGGGATTTTACATATACATAATAAGTTACACATACATAATTTTAAAGGGTAGTAAAACAGCGTATAAGTCAAAAAAGGTTTAATCTAATTTCCATCCATTCTACAAAGCATTTGTACTTTATTTTGCCGGTTTAGCGTTAAAAATTTTTTACTTATCTACCTTCCGGGCCGGGCCGAAGCGATCAGGCCGGCCCAGGGCTTTTTCAAATCTGCTCAGGCCCGGCCCGGCCCAATCACCGGGCCCGGCCGGGCCGGGCCGGCCCAGCCCGATTGCCACCTCTAGGTATGCCTAGTACAATATAATTTGAAAATTTGATTTTTTCGGATACTAGTGGTGGATATTTTGCTAGTTTATGGTCTGATATTTGCTATAGCCAATTTCTAAAAGAAAATTTCAATTATTTGCTTCGTATTTTTCTTTTTTTTAAGAAAATTGCACTGGTGAGCCTAGTGTAGTATAATTGTAAAAAAATTTTGGGATTAATTAAAGTAATTAATGTTTTGATAAAATGGGATGTGAAGAGTAGTGTGGGACTGTTTTTTGTTTATAAAAATTTTTTTGGAGCCATGTTTTAGCCATTTTTGCGAAATTTTTTGGGTTTTTGGTCTAAAAAATCGAATTTTTGGCATTTTTTGGGTTTTAATTGTAAGAAAAATTGCATTGAAGGGTCAGTTAACTCTTCTTGAAGATTGAGTTGTTTTTTGTTAGCCTATTTTACTAAAAATTTCCACTTTTTTCACCCAAAATATCTTAACTATGCCCGTTTTCACAAGACAAAAAACCCAATATCGAATAGTAAAAGTGGATATGACTTGCGTAATAGACCTTTGGAACGCCATTTCTGGCCCTCTCGCATTTGTTTTCGCTAACACCCCGCTTACCTAAATAACACAAAAAGAATTTCTGTCTGCTCATGGGTAACATAATTTTGGCAATTTCAGTTGAACGAAAGCATGCTCAGCGACGACGAATGGCACGATGCAACAAGTGATGGGATTTTTGATGACGCTTCGGGAGTTTATGAGTCGATCAGGAATCGGGTGAGATTTTGGGATTTTTTTATTTTTTGGGGGGAAAAAATACAGGGTGGGGCATCTTTGTGGCCCGATTTGAATTGACTATAACTTCTTTAGTTTTTGGCCAAATTTTAAAATTCTTTTTTTTTGCCTGAATCGTCAGCCAACCCCATTTTGTTTGATACCAAATACGTTATACATAGGTAAGTGTCATCTACAGTTATTGGATTTATTCTTGGAGTTCATTTTTTTTAGTCGTTTTTCGGTTGTTTTTTCGGTCTTTCCCGGTGTGTCCGAAAATGGAGTCCGGTGTGGAAGAAAAGGCTTGGTCTGTGGTTTGGTATATAGCAAGTACGGTTCGGCGCTAAATTTTCAAATGGGGATACCGCATGAAATACGGACGTAATGCCTAACCTCCAGATCGCAAGACAATTCGACGTTCGTGGAATAAGTTCCTTGAGACTGGCAACGTTAACAGGAAACAAAAAAAGCAGGAAAGATGAGTACGAACGGAGCTGAAAATTTAAGAAGTTTTGTCAAAATTCCGAGAAAATCCGCATATGAGTACACGAAGTTTGGCCAGAACCGAGGGAATGCCTTCAGCAAGGACCATTCGACGAACTCTAGAGGTTGATCTTCACTTTTTGTTTTTATTCTCATCGTCGATTTTCGGGAGGGTAAATTCCGCCGCATTTTTCTTCCGCACCGTACTCCATTTCTGGACACACCGGGAAAGACCGAAAAAACAACCGAAAAACGACCGAAAAAATAAACTCCAAGAATAAATCCAATAACTATAGATATACACTTCCTATGTATAACATATTTGGTATCAAACAAAATGGGGTTGGCTGAGGATTCAGGGAAAAAAAGAATTTTAAAATTTGGCCAAAAACTAAAGAAGTTATAGCCAATTCAAACCGGGCCACAAAGATGCCCCACCCTGTAAAAATTTTTATGGGATGTTTGGTTGTTTGAAGGTTTGCAAAGTTTTTTAAATATTTTTCTGCGATTTTTAGAACTTTTTATTTTTAAAAATTTTTTTGAAAATGAGATTTTTTGATTTTAAAAAAATTTTTGGACGAAAATTATTTATTTTTTCAAATATTTTTACTCGATTTTCTGCTTGATTTTTGAAACAAAAAGGCCAATGTTTATGCAAACAGAGCCCAGACGCTCCGTTTTTTGATTATTGAGTCATTGGCTTCCTTTTTTTGCGATCAGAAATTTATTCTCTTCTTAGCTGGTTTATTTGGCCAGAAAATTTTTATTTATGGTATTAGAAATATGGCGAAGGAAAACGAAGAACGTATTTTAAAAAAAATTAAAGTGAAAAAGGTTTTTTGGGGGGTTTTTGAGATTTTTTTAAATAAACAATATCAAAAAGTACGTTTTTTGCACCTAAACAACTTTTTTCGGGCTAAAATACGGATTAAAAAAAACTGCGTTTTTTGAGATTTTTTCGATATTTTTTGGATAAAAAAATATTTTTTTTGCGTTTTGGAAACAATCAAAAAAGTGAAAAAAATGTTTTTTCGACCTAAAGTACGAATGATTTTTAAAAAATCTTTTTGAAATTTTTGATTTGCAAAGCGATGACTCAGAAATTCGTGATAAATTTGATCAAAATATGCTCCGATGAGCATTTACTATTACAATGCAACTATTTTTTGTAATTTTTTATCCCACGAAATTTTGTTTGTTCTCCGGAAATTACAAAAAAAAGCTGTCCGAAACGCCAAATCATTGGACCAATTTCCCAATGAAATGACTCATTAGAGCGTCGGAATTATCTATACAAATTGTTGGTGTGATTTATTTTTTATTTTCACGCCGCTGTGAAGATGTTTCCAGTTTAAAGTTTTAATCACCCTCGATTCTTGGACCTTTTAATGTCTTTTTAACATTCTTGAAGGGTTCGGAGTTATCATTTGCGGATTAAAAATGGTGGAAAAGAAAAAGTTACATAGATTAAACGAAATTTATTGGCATTTTAGCACCTTTTTTGGTCATGTGTAATATAAAAAATGATGAAAATCAAGGAAAGTTTATGTTAATTTAGATCTAGAAGGCATTTTTATGCATATGTTGTATTGGAACTTCCCATAGACACGCAAATTATCTAGTTTTGAGCGATTTTTTGATCAAATATAATATAAAAAATGATGAAAATTGATGTTAATTTCACTATTTTAGTGTATCAAAAATTTTTGATTTTTAGGAATTTTACCTCTTTTTCTTTATCAAAAATTTTCGAAAGCCCCGAAATTTTATGTTCCGTTTTATGACAAATTCTGTCCGAAAATGAGAGAAAAGCCTCATGAGAAAAAGGTTTTTGGATACAAAGAATATGGAGATTTGGGATTCTTGGAGACGGCGCGTATTTTAAAAATAATTTTTGCCGTATTTATATTCTATTTTATATTATTTTAGGCAATTTCTGGCCTTTTTTTGGATTTAATCCGAATATTTTTTTGTTTCCTTATGGGCGATAAATAACGGGCAAGAAGGTCATAAAACAAAGAAAAATAACTTGGGCAAATTTTTTTCACAAGGAAAGTACTTCTATGGGGTATGGAGTTACAGGTCGAGTCATATATCAAAAAATTCGTGAAATTTTTCTGATTCAGAATGTGTACAAATTAGCTGCCTAATTTTGGTCTGTAAGGGTGAAAAAACCCTCGGAACTTTTCTCGCAACACCATGAAAATGCGCCTTATTTACATTGCAACTACTAATTAAGGTGTAGTATAATTTAAGTTTGATGTTTTGAGGCTTGTAAAGATACCAGAGTTTACTTTAGCTCAAAGACAAGCTTTTGATTTGGTAAAACTTGGTCAAGAAGGCATTTGCGTGGTGTTTCGAGAAAAGTTCCGACGTTTTTTTCACCCTCACAAACCAAAATTAGGAAGCTAATTTTTACATATTCTGAATCAGAAAAATTTTGCGATTTTTTTTGATATATGACTCGACCTGTAACTCCATACCCCGTAGAAGCACTTTCCTTGTTAGATTTTTTTTTTTTTAAATTGGATTTTCCCTCAAAAATGAGTGATTTTTGCAGAATCTCACCCCTCAACCGCCACGTCCCGACCAGATGACTCTTATGGAATCAGAGGCCCCGATTTTCGCCGAAATCCGCCGAATCGCCGACGAGCAATTGAGCCACGCGCTGGCCTCGGTGGACGAAGCTTCCGGCAATTGGGAGCTGTTTGTAAAAGACGGCGAAATGAGAATGTATAAAATGGAAAATGAGGTCGATGGAGTTGTGTCCGACCCTCTAAAAGCCATCCATTTTGTTGATGTAGGCCCTGAAATAATGTAAATGTAATATAAATTTATGTTCAGGGAGTGTCTGCCCGAGAATTTATCGAACATTTCTACGACCCCGATCTTAAAAAGGAGTGGGATGGTGAGTTTTGAACGGATTTTTTTTGATTTTTAGAAGTCTCTTGGAGATTTTTATTTTATTTTTTTAAAAATCTTCGGGAAATTTGGAGTATATTGAGAAAGGACGTATTTTACAATATTTTTTTTGTTGAAAATTGCAGTTTTGGACCTTATTTTAGCCATCGTTCAACTTGTCTCGACCAAAAATTCTAATTTTCAGGTGAAAACCAAATAAATGTTGATAAAATTGGTAAAATACGGTAAAATTTTTTAATGGTATGCCTTTATAACTCATGAATGATTTTTTCGAATAAAAATCACCTTATTTTAGGTATTTTTGCTGATTTTTCCGTAAAAATAAGAAAAATTTCGATGAAAATCCAAAAATTTCTCCGGATTTCCCGATTAAAAAAAGGAGAGAAAGCGATAATTTATGGTTTATTTGCTGCAATTTACAGTCGTTGTTAAAACCCCGCCCGCAAAAACGGTTTTTTATTGGTCTTCGACAGCTTGAAGATCGCTAAAAAAAAGGGGAGCTTTGGAAGGGAACCGGATTAAAAACTCGCGATGACATCATTCCGCTTCCCACGGTTCGGTGGTTATCCCATCAGCCGTTCCGATGGACCTGTTCGCATCAATAATTGACTTTGGTTTACGATTTGTACAGGGTTTTTTTAAAATAAGAACTCATTTTTTGAATGTATCCTTTCAAATTTGAACAGATAAACAATAAATTCATCCTCTGTCTACCATTCTACACCCTATCCAATTCAAAATTCCTCGAAAACCCCCAAAATTCGTTCAAAAAAATCTATTTTTCCATCTACAACATACAGGGTCTTTTTCAAAAAACGTGAAGGAACGCCGGAGACTATAACTTCCGGCGGGGGCGGCGCAGAGTCTTCGTTTTTGGAATATATATTTTTAAGCGACATTAATTTTTGCCTATGAAATAATAAGATTTTAAAGTGAAAACTGAGGTCGCTACGACCTTTTGAAGTAGGGCCCTTTTGCCCCAGTTTGCACTTTAAAATCTTGTTGTTTCACAGGCAAAAGTTAATGTCGTTTAAAAATACGTATTCCAAAAACGAAGTCTCTGCGCCGCCTCCGCCGGAAGTGATAGCCTCCGGCGTTCCTTCACGTTTTTTGAAAAGCCCTGTATGTTGTAGTAGGAAAAATAGATTTTTTTGGACAAGTTTGTTGGATTTTTGAGGAATTTTGGATTGGTTGGGGCGTAGAATTGTTGACAGAGGATGAATTTATTGTTTATCTGTTCAAATTTGGGAAGATTGTAGATAGAGCTTTTTAGCAGTACTTGTTCGATCAAATTTGTCGCTTTTTCATCAAAAATCGACTTGATTTTTGTCTTTATTTTTGAGATTTTTTGAATTCGTCAGTGTAGTTTCAATATTGCCTCAAAAAAATTGGTTCAAGTCTAGACGAAACGAACGATTTTAATGTCAAAATTAATCACTAAAAAAGAGAGAATCAATTTTGATGAATAATCAATCGTAGCCTCCGTTTTCAGACCGGTAATTCCTTCGGAAATCCGAAAAAACAGCAATTTTTAGTGTAAAACCGGTTAAATCTTGAATTTTTTGCTATCAGAGGCGTTGGTTTGCGAGATCTTGCTGTAGAATCAGTCAAACAAGCAGTTGAGATTTGAATTTGTTTGTTTATCAGCCGAAATTTTACAATTTTTTTGAATTTCCGCCATTTTGGCATTGCGTTTTAGGGGTCGGAAAAGGTTACTGATGGAGTATAAATGGTAAAAATAGTCGTGTTATGAGTTTATGAGACTGAATAATAATTTTTGGAGCTTTGGAAAACAATTTGTTATGTTATCCATGGTAAAATTTTTGCGGAATTTATCCGATTTGAAGCCTCTGGAGGATTACTGATTGCGGGGAAATTGTATAAAAAGTAATAATATGGAGGATGGCCACTGACTTTACTTTTTCAAGCCCCTTTTAAAGGATTTGCTATATTATCCATGACAAATCTCCCAAAAATGTCCTTATTTACCTTCGAAACCGAACTCCGGTCCACTCATGCGGATTAAAATTCCCTCAATGGCCAAAAAAGACGTCTTATCCCCGTTTGCGGAAGTTCCCCCGAGGCTAAAGCCAGGAATAAACAACCCAGAATGACCATTCCGCCGGAGGGAAACGGCCCTTCCGCCCCAATATTTTGACCAAAAATTCGTTGACAAACACGATTTCCGTGATGAAAAATGACTGGATTTGGGGGAATTCAACGGAATGGTGTCAGTTTACAGCCGTTCCGCAGCTTTATGTTTGCTTTGGGCAGGTAAAAAGGTTATTTTCGAAGGCTTTGCTGTAATCACAAGACGAAAGGAAGTTGTAGGCGGCCGAAATGGCATTCCTTTACTATTTGTGGACATAATACAGTAGTTTGGAGAGATTTGAGGAGGAATTGGGGAAAGATTATATTGTAGTAGGTAAGGTTTGGAAAATTGATGAAATTGATGTTGTGCTGTGACAGACTGGTATTCAATGGGTGTTAGAAGAATTTCTGTGGCATTTTTGGCACTTTGACTTTGAATCAGGGGATCTTTTTAGGCTCTAAGATCAAAATTTTTTATAAATTATATTGCACTAGGTAAAAAAATTGTATTATTGATGTCATAAGTACATTTAAATACATTGTTACGCTGTTTATAAGTGTTAACAATGTTTTTCTCCAGAAAATTTTCGATTTGCCTCCAGAAATCATCAAGAATTATATTGTAGTAGGGAAAATTTTCGAAATCTGTCGGTTTGTCTGAAACTTTTGATGTTTCTGATCGAAAAACGGCTAAAGCCATAGTAAAGACCATTTCCCTTCTAAAATACTAGTTTCGTACTTACCATATAAGAACTTCCCCACCCACGGATGAACGAACTATTTGCACAAGTTTCCCCCTTTTCCATTGTTTACATTTCCCCTACGTGGAAGTCCTTGACGGGATTATTAAGATCAGGGATGGCGTTTGTTTAGGGACGTGTGTACTTGCTGGTTTCAAATTGAGTGCATAGGGAAGTCTTTTTCGCGTAATGTAATGTCATTGGTGATGTGTAACGCAAAAAAAAAGAATGTGGATATTTAGAGATTTTTTAGTAATTTTTAGTGTAAAATACGAGTGGATTGCTTTTTCCATTCAGACCTCTTAAACTAAATTTTCATATTAGGTTGGACGGAAAGTTCGTACGATTTTTTACTGGCGCTATTTTTTCTTGCGCTGATGAAAAAGACAAACACCAATATATGGTGTTGGTAGGGGATAGGCATCCCTATCTGGCAGTACAACCCTCAGCCATCTTAAGCATGTACGAACTGAGAACTTAATTTAGACATTTACCCATCTTTGGTCTACAAGTAGAGATTCTTGGCTGGTTTGTTTAGCAAGGCCAACCAGGAAACTGCTTTGGCACTGCTAAAAAGCCTTCTTCTGAAGCTGTTAATATGCGTAAAGTCGTCGGGGATTAAATCAAAACATAGTCAAAAAACTTGACTTTTGCGGGACTACCCCAAGTTTCAATATAATTGCAACCGCCGCTTTGCCGGTGCATTCCTATGTGTAAAATTATGATATGCAGAAACTAAGGGCAATCCCTTACACTCAGCTACCCCTCATTAGCCAATTGTTTTACCGTATGACATAACAGAACTAAATTATCTTTTTTCAAAAAGTCGTTGGTGAACTGTTGAACCATCCCGTACAATTCAAAAAAAAGCTCATTGCACCTTTATACTCCTCCTTTTCTAGGGTGCAAAATAGAGCCGCTTTATTGCTCTACTACTTCGCGAAACAACGGGCTGCCATTGTTAACTGTCACAAAATTATACGCATTTCTCTACAGCTATAGTTTTTGGCAATTTTGTCTCTTTGTGGATAACCCAAGGCGTCTATGATCCGGTTTACTGATGTTGCGCGTAAAGGGCTCTCCATATGCCTTACTGAACCCTATTACAGAGACAGATCATAAGCAATACGCGGAATAATAAGAAAAAGTTTTCATGAGGGGCCTTTGCTGAAGATTTAGTTGAAAGTGTTACCATTATTTTATCCGACACACTTTTTTATGATTTCTAATTGTGTTTATCGTAATCAGAAAGACCACTGGACACTGCGTACAAAGTTTCAGAGCTTTATCAAAAGCGATCTGGAAACTAGAGCTTGCGTTCTGGACCCCACCCGAAATAGCCGCAAAGCGGAAAATCTCTTATAATTAAACTCGTTTTGGCGGAGCTAACGATTGGCACGTAGCACATAAATCAGCACACTGTACTCTTGTATAGGCTAGGTATTTACGGTGGGCACTCGGTCTTGGCGCGAAAAAAATTAAATTGAAATTTGGGTAAAAAATCGTACGAACTTTCCGTCCAACCTAATAAATGAAAATTTTTATAGCAGATCAGAACGAAGCACAGTGCGGGACAGGATCCAGTAGTCAAAAGCGCTTCTGATTGCATCCGGGAGACATTCAGAATACCACTAATACTTCCCTCTCTGACCGAAAATAGCGTTATCTTCAAGAGTGAGCCAGAAAGTTGCCCTTTTGAAAAGAGAAGAGAGGAAACGTTTCGGTGAGGCATCGCCTTCCCTCTACTCTTTCCCGAAAGGGCAACTTTCTCGCTCTCTTCAGAAGAATGCTATTTTCGGTCAGAGAGGGAAGTATTTAGTGGTATTCTGAATGACTCCCGGATGCAATCAGAAACCCTTTTGACCACTGGATCCTGTCCCACACTATGCTTCGTTCTGATCTGCTATAAAAATTTTCATTTATGAAAGTTTAGTTAAAGAGGTCTGAATGGGCAAAGCGACCCCAACGTATGTTACACCAAAAATTAATAAAAACTCTCTAAATATCCACATTTTTTGCGTTACACATCACCAATGACATTATATTATATTACGCGAAAAAGCTTCCCTATGCACTCAATTTGAAATTCATCCCATAAATTTGATCTTTAAATATGTCATGATGACGGATTTTCTGGAAATTCCGTAATTTCTCCCTAAAATCCCTAACGTTTTATCTGTCGACAATTGTAGTTCTAAAATTCCTGTTTTCAGACACCCTTGTGGCCTGCAAACTAGTGGATCGGCTGAATGAAGAGACCGTCGTCCTCCATCAGCTCCATAAACGGGTATGGCCAGCTGCCCAAAGAGAGTCCCTGTTCTGGTCCCATTTCCGCGAAGTGCACGAAAAACGCGAGGAAGGTCATAAAGACGCCTTCTTCGTCTGTAATCACGATTGCGAACGGGACGATGTACCGGTAAGAAAGATTTTTGATAGCTGATTATATTACACTAGGCGAAGATTGACCGAAAATTCAGAATTTTGATGGATTTTGGTGGTGATTGGTTTTTGGATTGAAGAGGAGACTATTTTCTGTCTGATTGAACTGTTTTGCATATTAATTTTTCGTTTTTTGACATTTGATTATATTACACTAGACAAAATTTTATGCAAAATTGTTTATTTTTTAGGGATTTTGATGTCGATTGGAGCCTAAATTGAACAAATGGGTGTTTTACTGGCTGATTATGATGTTTACTTGCAGAAATGTATATTATACTTGATATTAAAAAGTCAAAATTAAGATTTTTTCCCAAGTCTTAATTGAAAACACCCTAAACTTTTTTCCACGAGCAGTTTTTTTCTCCCATTCCCTCCAGATGCACCCCCCGTTCGCTGTAATTAAAATTCAAAGCCCGAGGAACGCCGGCTTAACACTATTTCGCCTCTGTTTTTTGTGATTTCGAACGCAAAACGTCCAAAGAATTAGAATATGTTCGGGGATTTATGGGAATTCGGGAATGAGAAGGCCCATAAATGGAATTTTTATAGGGCGCAAGGGTTTGTTTGGTCTCTTGGATTGGATTTGGACCTTGTTTTAGGTGAAAAAAAGGTAAAATAAGGATGAAGTTTCGGGAAATTGTGGGAAAATGTGGTGGATTATGAAAGAAAATTGTTGGAAATGGTGTTTTAGTTGAGATTTAAGAGCATAGGGTTTAGTTTTAGCGATTTTTGACCTTATTTTAGGTATAAAGTGTAAAATATGGAAGTTCTTTGAAGTCTTTGGCCGATAAATTGAATTGTTTTGTCGGAAATACTTGGGATATGACCGGTAAATCGTTCTGAGTCCGTTTACAGATAATTGTGTTGCTTTTCAAGACATTTCGGACCTTATTTTAGGTATAGCAGAATAAAATAAGGTCAATAATTGTTGAATTTTTGATGAAGCTTGGGTGATTTGGTGTCTAAGTGGCCAAACGTGAAGTGTATTTTCAATTTTGATACTTTCTATTCTAGTTTTAGACAGTATTTTAGCGAAAAAATTGAAAAATTACCACAAATAGCTGTTTTTTAAATAAAAATCGAAATTTTTGCTAACTTTACGTTTGTTTTCAGCTGACCGACTCATCATGTGTGCGCGTTGGCCTGACGATTGCAATGCTGTGCCAAACGCAAGTGAACGGTGACCCGGAAAACCCCTCCCGACCGAATGTCCGCTGCAAAATCATCTACGTCGCTCAAGGTCAGCCTTTTTAAAGAAAAAACACTCTCGAGACCTCGGGAAAGGCTCTCAAAAAAGGGTAAATGAACTCTTTGAGGTCACCCAAATAAGACAGTTCGAGGATCCACTCTGTTTTGAGGTTTAAAAGGGGGTTTTGGTCATTTTTGCCGATATTAATCATGAAATCTGGGGAAAAGTCGATTTTATGGGTGAAAATAAATGGGAAGATGGATAAAATAAGGTGAATTAGAGAGTTTATGCTCTGTTATTTTGGTTTGTGAAGTGTTTCCGCTTTGAAAATTGAAGGGAACACCAGAAAAATCCGCCGAAAGGCTTATTTTGACCTTGTTTTAGATTAAAATTGACGAAAGTATATTTTTTCTGTTGGAAGAGTGTGATAAAGTGTATCAGAAGACAGCATGCACTTTAATTAAGGTGTGTCTTATATTTATTGCCTGTAAAATTGATAAAAATGGCATATTCTCCAACTTTTTGACCTTATACTAGGCTAAATTTTCAAAAACAAGTTAATTTGGTGGCTAAAACGATGACTAATGCCTTCTGAGAAAATTATAAAGCAATTCCGACCCCCTTTCTTCGTTTGCGCTTATTAGCAATAGTTCATAAAGCCCGCCGACAAACATTCGGACCTTGATTTTGGTTATATTATACTAGGTCCGAATCACCTCCCACGCGCTAATCCCCCTCCCTTTCCACGACATTACCCCCTGAAACGTCAACAATGAGACCCGTACGCTGCGCTAAGCCTCTTTTCATAATTGGTTCAGCCCTCACGGAATAGGAGAGTCAAAAAAACGAAAAATCCGATTTTTGACCTAAATTCTGGTGTTTCAGTGCCTTTCCGAGCGTTTGCACGCGAAATTATCCCCTGCGTTTCGAGGATCTGCGATATCCGACATTTGTCGGCGTTCAGAGCGGATATTACGCCGAAACGAGGGGTTATTAATATTATACTAGAGGTCAAGAGTCATAAATCGAAAATATTTGATGCCGTAATGGATTATAAACGCTAGAAAGGCTGGAATTATCTAGTAGATTGGCTGTGGGATGTTTTGGAATCAAAATGTGGCGATTGGTTTAGTAATTTTAGGCAAAAATTGGGTAAATTTATGTTATACTAGGTAAAAAATAAATATTTTTCTTTTGTTTTTAGATGGTTCCGCGGTTTATAGAGCTGAAATAGAACCTAATAAGAATTTTAAAAGCGTTTGTTCTCTAATTTTTGTTTTGATTTTTGGATAAGAATAGGATATTGTTGTAGGTGGTTTGACTAATAAAAATGGGCGATTTTTTCGCTGTGTCGAGGTAAAATTGAGATTCTTTTGGATGATTGTGCCGCAATAAGAGCGCTGAATCTTTAAAGATCTTTTAAAGATATTCGGAGATGATTTTCAGCCTTCAATTTTTTATCTAAAATAATGTAGGTTAGTGATTGAATTTTTTGGTGAAATGGCCTTTTCATTGGCTATTTTGGATAATTCGAGGCCTCGATTGGGCTATAAAAGAGATTTGTAAGCATCTAGAGTCGCAAAATTCTTATTTACATTCCGTTTTATACCTATTTTTTTGTTACCTAAAGTAATATAAAATTTTTAAATTAACTAAAGTTGGGTCTTCTAGAGTGGCGTAATGATAAAATAACATTTAATGGGACAAACAAAGAGATATCAGATCGAAAAGAGGCTGTAAAAAAGTAGCAGGGACCATTCTTTGTCAATTTATCGAAAGGTCATTTTAGGTAAAAAAAGAGAAAAATTAATGATAAAGTAACATTTAATGCAGATTTTGATCTTCTCAAATTCCAGAACGCTCGGAAATAGCTTGATCTATAGTTATATCCATCAATTTTTATAATACAGTGACGGATCCAATGACAAAAAACGTACCATTTTGCATCCGAGAAGTATCAAAAAATGTAGCAAAATGCCTCCTTTGCCAAGTGAAAAAACCGATTTTTAAAGCGGCCTGCTCTTTTTGTGAAAAAGGCGCCCTTTAAAACGGAGTTTTTAGTTGGCGAGGGAGGCATTTTGCTACATTTTTTGATACTCCCCGGATGCAAATGGTACGTTTTTTGTCACTGAATCAGGTCTATCACAATATTGTAAAAATTGATGGATATAACTATAGATCAAGCTATTTCCGAGCGTTCTGGAATTTGAGAAGATCAAAATTTGCTTTAATAGTTACTTTATCATTAATTTTCCTCTTTTTTTACCTAAAATAACCTTGACCTTTCGATAAATTGACAAAGAATGGTCCCTGCTACTTTTTCACAACCCCTTTTCGATCTGATATCTCTTTGTTTGGCCCGTAAACTATACAAATACAAAAGATGCACGTCGTTTTTTACAAAAATATAGTTTTTGTCCGAAAAGTTTACTTCAAAAAGCGATTTTTGACATGAAAAAAGGCGGAAATCCCATTTGTTTTTTCTTTATGTTCCGTTTGTATTGCGAATGTTTGAGGGCATAGGAAAACACGTAACTTTTGTAAGGTTTCGATAATTTTTTTGGATTTTTTTTACTGTTTATGACGTAAAATTATATTTTTCGTCAGGAAGTAGCGTAAGAACCCCTAAAATCCCCCAAATTTTCAAGTGGAAATACGGTAGGAAGCCTTGGAATTGCTTTCCTGACCTTTTGGATCTAGTGTAAATAGAGGAAATATCGGAAAAGGGGCTTGGATTTGTTTAATCTTCATGAATTTGACGAAATTTTTAAAAAAAATTTTTTAATTTGCAGACGAAAACGTCAAACGTCTTTTTTTTCTGACTGTAGAAAATTCCGGAGAGCGTTTGTTTGAACAGCAGATTGAATTTTGCAAAAAAAAACTATTATTTTAGACCTTACTTTAGATAAAAATGAAAATTTTTTACCTTGTTTTTTTGTTCTTCAATTGTGAGCTGGTTTCCAATTCCAAGTTATCTTTAGACCCTGAATGTTGTTATTTTCTTTATCACGTGTATTTTTATTGACGTTGGAGGCCTGATAAGAGCTTTTTTGTTCGGAAAATTGGGACTTTTCTTGATAAACGAGCCTAAAAAGCTAAAAAATAGATGATTTCATTGGAATTTGCTGCTTTTTTTGGTGGAATAGTTGGATTAGAGTGTTTTAAGGTGTAGTTGTGATGTAGTAGTGAAAGTAGTCGATTTGAAATTGATTATTTTTTCAAAAATCTCGATTTTTTAAACGATTTATGGGGGTAAATGGACAAAAATTTTTGTTAAGGGGCTACAGAATGTAGTAATACGATTGAGTCAAGAGTTATTCGAAGCTTTTTTGATTGTTTCTGACTGTTTTATTCAAAAAAAATTCAATTTCCAAAGAATTTTGGGGGAAAAGGGCAAAACTGGGAATTTAAAATTTAAAAGAGGACTGAATTATTAGCAAAGCATTCTAAACGGTCTTGGGGGTCCTGTATAATAGAAATCTAAAAATTTTCTATTTCGGGATTACTGTAATTTTCGTTTTTTTTGATCTTTTGGGTTTGTAGGATAGGGACCGGCGAAAAATTAAAATTTCGTATGAAAAATCGGAAGGTATTGTGGGTAAAATGTTTTCCAAGTAACGTAGAGTCCCTGTACGACGTGCTTCAGAATAATTTTGTGCATATCTTACTGTATTTTTTTAAATTTTTACAATTTTCGAGAAATTTTTGGGTATAATGGCTAAAATTGCAAGTTTTATGTAAAAAATCATCTAATATTGTCGCTAAAGTGCTTTCAAAGTCACATGGGGTCTCTGTGCCATGTGTTTCAGAGTATTTTTTATGCATACCTTACTGTATTTTTTAAAATTTTTACAATTTTTGAGAAATTTTTGGGTAAAATGGCTGAAGTTGAAAATTTCGTGAAGAAAATCATCCAATATGTTCGCTAAAGTGCTTTCAAATAATTATTTATGTCATTATCGTTCTAACAACATCATTTTTCAGTGCATCCCGGCGGTTGGGTGCCGGCCTCAGCCCTCCGGCAAGTCTACAAACGGGAATACCCCAAATTCCTCCGACAATTCAGCGCGTACGTGCTGAAGAAGGTGAAGGACAAGCCGCTCAAATTGTAGCCGCTTCCGTATTTCGTAACTTATTCCAGTTTTCGGGTAGCTTTTCTGTGATTCAAGCCATTTGATATCAAATATTTGTTGGAAACACAACTAAAAAGTAAAATATTGCAATTCATTTCAGGGGGAGACTATTTTTAACTGTTTATTCTGGGAGTTTCATTATGTTTGCTTTCCGTTTTTTGCATAATGAAAGTTATTTTTGAGATTTTTGGGAGAATTTTTATATTAATTTAGGTATTTTTGGAAAATTTTGGCTGAAAAAAGACAAAGTTGATACTGAAATTGAATGTAGAGACTGTTTTCAGCAGTTTCAATATTGGCTTTAACGATTTGGCCCCAAAAATTTGAGAAATCGAGGATTTTTATATTATTTTAGGTTATTTTTGATGTTTTTTGACCGAAAATTGTAAAATACGATGGTGCTACTTTCATCTTTTAGTATTTTCAATAATTTCATATATTTATAGATATTTTTTTTGCATTTCCAAACTTGTTTTAGCATTTTTTATATTACTTTAGACGATATTGAGCCAATTCTTTGAAAAATCTCCAATTATGACCTTCTTTTGTAGTTTTGACCACACTTCTGAGAAGACAGAGAACAAACAATCGTTCAAAACTCGGAAAACATCCATATATGCTTCTTTTTACATCCAAAATTTCGTGACTTTGCCTCCAAACCAGGCCTAAATTTAAATAATTCAACGAATTCGACGGAACTTTTTATGAAATTCAGATGTTCCCTGCATAATCGACTATAATTCCCCATTTAAAACCCCTTTCTTCTCCGGTTTTGGGACGGGATTTTGTCATGGAAACTCCCGGAGACATTCGAAAAACCAAATTGAGCGGGAAAAATGGTGGATGAATTGCGGATAAACGCAATGATTGTGGGCTGCAAATGGCGGTGAAAGCGACTAATTGGGCTTGAAATTGGAGATGTTCGTGTTTTGGGGAGGAAATTTGGGGTTTTTGTGATTAATTTATGTTATACAGTGGATCTGATTCAGTGGCAAAAAATATATCATTTTTGCATCCGGGAAGCATCAAAAATGTGGCAAAATACCTCCCTCTCCAAGTGAAAAATCTCCGTTTTGAAGGGGGCAGGGGCCAGTGCGCTAACTGAAAGTTTGCTGAAAGTTAGCTGAAAATGGTAGGGCGCAGCTCGGAAAACAACGTTTCGCAGCTCATCGGAGCTAAGTTTCAGCTTGTTTTCGAGCTGCGCCCTATGATTTTCAGCAAACTTTCAGATAGCGCATTGGCCCCAGACTTTTCCCTCACAAAAAGGGCTTTTGAAAACGGAGTTTTTTCACTTGGAGAGGGAGGTATTTTGCTACATTTTTTATACTTCCCGGATGCAAAATGGTATATTTTTTGCCACTGAATCAGGTCCACTGTATAACATAAATTAATCCCAAGAACCCCAAATTTTCGCCCAAAAACACCAACATCTCCAATTTCAAGCCCAATTAGTCGCTTTCATCGCCATTTCTAGCCCACAATCATCGCGTTTACCCGCACTGTGCATGAGCCCTGAAATAAATTTTTTCGGAAAATTGTGGGAAATTGAGCGAAAATTGAGGGGATTTGGGTAAAATACGAAGTTCCTAATGTGGTCAGTTTTATTTGAGCATAAGAAAAAGAGATTTGAAAGACCAATTTATATTATTTTAGAGGTGACATCAAATTTTGATGAAAAATGCCTAAAGCAATATAAAAATGGACGATTTTTTGGTGAAAAACTAAAGATTATAGAGTAGTAGGTGGTCTAGAATGCGAATTAGTAAACGGTCGATCGTATTTTTCGTATTTTACCTTTAAAGTTGAGAAAAAAATGATTTTTTCTGAATTTTTAGCCAAATGATGTAAATTGATAATTTTTTTTGCGAAATAATGGTAAAATATCACAAGATTTGCACTTATATAGACCTTTGACCATGTAAACAGAGCCTTTGTTATTTTTTCTGATCAAAAACTTTTGAAAATCCATCTTTTTTGCACAATTTTTTGCAGTTTTCGCTGAACTTTCCCTCTAAAATTATGGAAATCGCCGATTTTTGAAAAATGTAGGCGTTCAGAGGCCGATCCACATCATTTATCACGAGAATTAAGCCGCAATGGTCCTATTAAAAGCAAAATAATGGATTCTTTTCCCGATTTTTGGTCATCATTTATATTGTACATGATGATTTACAAAAATTTGATGCGAAACCTCAGATATTCCTTGTTTATCCGCTATTTTGATGAATAAAGTTTGACAATCACTCGTTCTCGCTCTCGGATTGACCTTCCAACCGTTGACAGACATGTCCGGATCATTACCTTTCATTTTGTTTTTGACCATTTACCGTCTTGTTGATGCTGATTTCAAGTTCATTTTTATTTTTGGATCGTCTATTTTGTCGATCTATTGCTTGTCGCAGCTAGTTCAATTAGATTCGCGGTGATTTTTGAGCAATTTTGCAGATTCTTTTATATTTTTGTAATGGATAATATAAATTTTTTGCGATTTCTCGAAATTTTGCAGAGGAATGGAGATGAAACTTTATATAGTGGCGTTGTGGAGCCTGTCATGCATAAAAAAATAATTTTTGTTGATCCAAAGGCCGTGTTTGATCTTCTTCGGGAGATGATATTATACTAGGAAAATTGGTCGATTTCTCGGAAGTGAAGTAATATTGCTTGCTAGAACTTTATCTCGTGATATTTTAGGCCTCTTTTATTCTAAAAAATTTGATTTCACCATCCCTCGAAAGAATTTTTATATTATCCGTGACCTTAATATTGCACTTGATGGTTTATACCCGTTATCAGCGAATTTTCCCTTCGAAATTTTCAATTATACCCTGAATGTCTAGATTATTCAGTATTTTGCGATCTTTTCTATTTTACACACTTCCGTTCCGCCTTATCTCCGCCAGACCCGGGCATGTCTCAAACAATATCGTTGTTTGTGTTTTCCCGATGAGCAAAGCGTTCCAAAAAATTCCCAAAAACTCCACACTCAGCCATGACTAATTCCAGGGGCATTTGTCAACGCATCCGACGCGAGTCCGACTTGAACCGCCAAGTTCAAGCACCACCTTCCCTCCCTGATCTAATCAGCCCCCCGAAAGGAACCACGGCGAAAATTCGTTAGCTCCCCCACCTTGGTTCTCACCTTGTAAATAATGAAAAATGTCGTTGTACTCGCAACGGTAGGTTTTTTGCGATTTTTATATTGTTTTAGGTAATAATTGATGGAAAATGGGATTTTTGAGAAATTTCGGAATTGGTATAAGGTGAAATGGATTTTAACGGTCTTTTTGGACCTTGCTATAGCTGTTGGAGTAGATTTTGTAGGAAAAAATAAGAATTTTTGATATTATTTTAGGTAAGAAGTTAATGAAAAATTTTGATTTTTTGAAATATTTGGGCCTGAGTCGACCCAAAAACTATTTTGTTTGTAATATTGGCCCGTTTTACGAATTTTGGAATCAATTTTTAGCTAAAATACGAATTTTTCGATATTATTTTAGGTAGAAGTTTGATGTAAAATTGAGAATTTCTGGGAAAATTTGAAGGTATCTGACCTGATGATCTGTTTTTAAATTGATTTCACGCCCAGATAAAGCGTTTGGAACTTATTTTTAGTCAAAATATCGAATTTCGAATATTATTTTAGGTAACAATTGATGTTATTTTGGATAAAAAGTTGTTTTTTTGAGCGAATTCTGATCTGAAATGTGGATTTTAAGCTCTTGTGGAGTGTAAAATACGAGGAATAGAGTGTTTTTGGCAAATTTTTGAAATAAATTTTAACCTTATTTAGCTACTAACCCTCTCCGTGGCCCAGTCCGACTCGGGTTTCGCGCTCTTGGATGTGGAGACGTCGGACAACCAGCCCGTGAATCATGGGTTGTGCGTCAATTTCCAGCAATACTTCATCAAATCCCTGCCCACCAGCGCCGAGGAGGCTCGAAAAGACAACAAAGTGCGTTTTTTAGGTATCAAATCGAAGAAAATTCGGAAAAAATGAAATTTTTCGACGACATTTTGACTTGAAATTGTAAAATACGAGCTCCTTAATTAATTCTTGGTATTTTCAGTACTCATTCGACCTGAATTGGTGGCAGGAAACACCGGATAACCTCGATGTTTGCAAGGGAAATGAGACGGACCTGGGTGGAGAAATTATCCCGGCCAAATACCCATCCACTTACTACCCACAAGACCTCTCGAAATGCGAGAAACGCGGAAAGAATGAGAGCTATTACATCCAAGGACAGGTAAGAGGTGAATTTGATGAAGATGAGGTCTAGTGTAATATAATTTTTGTCGGATTTTAATGAAATTTGGGTTGGAAGAGAAATTTTGAGGACTGATTTGATAATCTAGAGGAAAAAATTGGGTTTGAGATTGAAAAACATGTTATTTTGATCAATTTTTGTCTAGTGTAATATAATTTTTGCTTGTTTTGATGGAGATTTTGGTTGTTATAGCAAGTATGAGGGCTGATTTGATATTACAGAGGAAAAATTTTGGGTTTGAGAAAGAAAAACGTGTAGTTTTGAAGAGTTTTTGTCTAGTGTAATATAATTTTTGTCAAATTGGAACGAAGTCTGAGGGCTGATTTGATAGTCTAGAGGGGGAAGCGTATGTTCGAAGTCAAAAATGCAGTATTTTTGAAAATTTTTTTGTCTAGTGTAATATAAATGTTGTCAAATTTGATGGAAATTTTGTTTGAATTTGGTAGAATGGTTCCGGATTAGAGCTTAAATTGAAAATATTTGTGAGTTGCAACTTGAAAAAAATGGAATTTTGAGCTATTTTTTACCTAGTGTAATATCCAAAATTTGAAGAATTCGGTGATTTCTTTGTGTTATTTTGTATACGGAGTTTATATTTTTGATGGAAGGGCTTTTTTTAAGAGATTTTTGAAAAATAGGACAGATTTACTCTATCGTATTTTACCCAAAAATTACCTAAAAATGGTTTCAGGTCCGAGCCATCAAGGAAGCGGGCGCCGCCGCCGCCCTTTTCATCCTCGAAAAAGGGACTCCCAGCGATTTCCACGGCAAAAACTTCTTGTTCTCCCGCTTCTACAACCCCAAGGTCCGCAATGACACGCCCACTTTCTACATGTACAAGGATTTGTTCGATTCGATCAAAGGCCTCATCAATATCGACCGAAATGAAGCCCCAATCCTCACGTTTTATCGCCCGGCCGACCCCTTCCTCGACGCCGGAGTTTTTGTCCTCCTTGCACTGGCGGTTGGCTGCATTTTGTTGGGATGCGTTTGGTAGGTCGGGAAGGGGAAAGTAATGTAAATTTTGATAAAGTTTTGGGGTAGTGATGAGTGAGGAGGGCTAGAATAGATGTATTAGGAATTTTGGGAGGTGGTGAGATGTATTTGGCAAGGTTTTGAGGGTAGAATTGCCGGAATTTTGATTTTTTTGGGCTTGAAGGTCATGGATAAGATAAATTTTGATGATTTTAGTAATTTTTTGAATTATTTTTTTGGAGATGATGGTTTTGGAAGATAGAGAATGCTTTTACAAACTTTTTTTTACAAAAAGTGGAGATTAAAATTCATGAAATTTTGCTTTTTTTTGATCTACATACAGGTCAAGTGTAATATAAAATTTGATGATTTTTTGAATTGTTTTTTGGAGATGATTGTTCAGCAAGACAAATAATGCTTTTTATAAAGTTTTTTACAACAATTGGAGGAAAAAATTCATGAAATTTTATTTTTTTTGGGCTACATACAGGTCATGGATAATATAAATTTTGATGAAAGTTGAGGCTTTTATTGTAAGCTGATGAATGGAATGGAAGTTTTAGTGCAAAAGAAGTTCCTGGATACGTATTTTACAAAAAAATTTATGGTAAAGTTTGGTGAAAAAATTGTTTTTATCATAGGGTCATCAAGGGTAATATAAATTTTGATGGTTTTGATGATTTTTTGATTTATTTTTTGGAGACGATTGTTCAGAAAGACAAAAAATACTTTTTTTGCAAAGTTTTCGACAAAAAGTGGATAATAAAATTTGTGAAATATTGCTTTTTTTTGACCTACATGCAGGTCATGGATAATACAAATTTTGATGAAATTTGAGGTTTTTATTGTAAGCTGATGATTGGAATAGAAGTTTTAGTACAAGAGAGATCTCTGGCTACGTATTTTACAAAAATTGAGTGGTAAAAATTGGTGAAAAAATTGTTTTTTTTTTAATCATAAGGTCATCAAGGGTAATATAAATTTTGAAAAAATGCTGTTTTTTTTTATTTTTTTTGGTGGAAAATTTGCCATGGTAGAGTCAAAAGTTTTGCCTGGGGTAACATGAAAGTTTTGGCGGACTTTTTTATTAACAATTTTCGCCTTCAGGTACGTCCGCGACCTCCGCCAACGCCTCGAATCGGGCCGCCTAAAATCGACTTCCCTCGAAACACCATCACACCCAGAGTCTAGTGAGACCGGGATTCTGACGAGAACTTCTTCTCCAGACTCCCAAACCGAAGAGGAGAAGCCGGCATGCTGCCACAACAACGGAGTTTGCTGCCATTTGGTCTCGGCTGGAATCGCTCTCTCGGTCTTGGTGTCCATCTTATTGCTCAGCTTCTTCTTCAGATCTGTTGCTGGTGAGTTTTTTTGACCTTTCAGTTGTTTCTTGGCTTTTAGGAAGAAGAAGGAATTGAAATATGGAGGGTTTTGATATTACACTTGATGGCAGATGTAGATTAGGTTGAAAAGTAATGTTTAGAACAAAAAAAAGGGCAAATGTGTCGGTAGATAGTAAGAGTAGGACATCAAAATGATTTTGGCGAAATTTCAAAAATTTTGGATCACGCGGAGACATTTTATACGATGATTTAGGGTTTTTTAGATAGCTGCTGGAAAACTTGATGTGGTGTAAAATTGAGGTGTTTGGTAGTGCTGAGGTGAATAGTAGATGGGCTATAGAGCTATTGCATGCGGTTTCATTCAACATTGCCTAAGGAAGTTAGGAAATTTTTACATTTTTTGGCTTTTGATATAAAAATGGATCAAGTGTAATATCGACTTTAAAATTGCTTTGAATTTTAACGTATTTGGTTTAACAACACGCTAAATGATCTAATAGTTAAATTTTCAGTCGAGATCTTCAACATTTTCCTTGTGATCGGCGGCACTTTATCGATTTGTAAATGCACCTTGGCGCTGATCCGAACCTTTGTTCAAGACCCCGCCCTGGCCTCCCCCATGGAATGTTTTGGCGGAGATGTGGAACACGAGAAGTGGTACCTCCCAGCGAAGCTGTACAAGCCATTCCGGCCGGTGGGATTCATGGTTTTCCTCCTTTCCTTGGCCTTTGCTTTGACCTGGTACTTTGCGAAAGACGACCCAAAAGCCTTTTATATGCTCGATCTGATGAACGCATGCATTTGCATTTACAGTGTGAGGTCCTCAGAGATCAGAAGCCTGAGGGTGAGTGGGATTTGGGGTGGTTTTTGGGGAGTTTGAGACAAAATATATTACTTTAGGTGGATTTGATGGATTTTGATGATTTTTGATAAATTTTGAAATAGAATTTGATGTTTGACTGAATTTATTGAGGCAATGAGGCATTTTATTTATTTTGGAAGTGATTTTTTGGCGGAAATTTTGGTTTTTCGGAGAAAAATTTTGTTTTTTGACCTTGTTTTAGGTGTTTTTCTCGAAAATTAAAGGATTTAGACGCGTGAAAGAATTATTTCCCCCATGTTTTATTTTTTTTAGTTCATCACATTCTTCCTGATCGCCATGTTCGCCTACGACATTGTGATGGTGTTCGGCACACGGCTGATGACCGAAACTGGCTGTTCAGTCATGGTGCAGGTGGTGACTGGAATGGATTGCCAAAAAACCCGTCCCATCGACTTTAGCAGCGACTGGCCCATTGCTCCGGTGGTCAAAGGGCTCGGCGATCGGCCGAGAAAGGTAAAATTTTTGGGATTTTTGGGGAATTTGGGAGTTTTGTCTATTACAACAAGGAAAATACTTTTATGGAGTTACAGGTCGAGACATATATCAAAATATTTGCAAAATTTTTCTGATTCAGAATATGTAAAAATTAACTGCCCAATTTTGGCTTGTAAGGGCGAAAAAACCCCCAGAACTTTTCTCGCAACACCACGAAAATGCCCCTTTTTTACATTGGAAATGCTAATAAAGGTGTAGTATTATTAATCAAATTTGATATTTTAAGGCTTGTCCAGATGCCAGCGTTTACTTTACCTCAAAACAAAAGTTTTGAATTGGTAAAAACTTGGTCAAAAAAGCAAATTTCAGACCCTTGTCAGAACTTTTCTGGCAACACCTCGCAAATGCTTTTTTGACCAAGCTTTTATCAATTCAAAAGGTTTGTTTGGAGCTAAGGTAAACCGGGGCATTTGCGTGGTGTTGCGAGAAAAGTTCTGACGAGGGAATGGTCTGAACTTCCCCCGGCGTTTGGCAAAATGACTAGTACAGGTGGATAGAGCAGGTAAACTTTGGTAAAAAGAGCCATTTTCCAGCTGCGGAATAAGCCCGGCCGACGAGAAAAATCGACCAAAAGTTCCGCAAAAATTTCCTCTTTCTCTTCACTCCGAAAAGAAGAGCGGTGTCCAATGGTTCGGTTGGCCGAGTGGATAAAGCGTCCGCTCGGTATTCTTTTGGGGGTTGGTTCGATTCCGGGGCAGCCCGAAGACCGAAGACTTTGGTGTGAAAGACCAAACTCTCATAAAACAAAAAAAAATATTTTGCCATTTTTATACGTTTTATGGAACTATACCGAAAACACAGATAATCGTTAAAAAATGGTTTTTTTGGATTTTTCCAGACCTACAAATCGATGGAACGTCGAAGTCATACTCGTTTGGTCATACAAGGTATCCATCATCTCTTTTTGAAAAGGACCGTACCCCAATTTGTATTATTTAAAAATTTTTTTATAACCTATAAAACGCTTAAAAATGGCAAAATATTTTTTGTTTTATGTGAGTTTGGTCTTGCCCACACCAAAGTCTTATTACGGTCCTTCGGGCTTCCCCGGAATCGAACCAACCCCCAAAAGAATACCGAGCGGATGCTTTATCCACTCGGCTAACCGAACCACTGAACGCCGCTCTTCTTTTCGGGGGGAAGAGAAAGAGGAAATTTTTGTGGAACTTTCGGTCGATTTTTCTCGTCGGCCGGGCTTATTCCGCAGCTGGAAAATGGCTCTTTTTACCAAAGTTTACCTGCTCTATCCACCTGTACTAGTCATTTTGCCAAACGCCGGGGGAAGTTCAGACCATTCCCTCGTGAGGATTTTTTCGCCCTTACAACCCAAAATTGGGCAGCTAATTTTTACATATTCTGAATCAGAAAAATTTTGCGATTTTTTTGATATATGCCTCGACCTGTAACTCCACACCCATAGAAGTACTTTCCTTTTGAAATTTTTTGGACTTTTGTCTAGTACAATATAAATTGATGTCCGTTTGAGCCGAAAATAATGTCGTATCCGAAGTTTTAGATCCCCATCCTCTTCTACGTGCCCCTGTTGTCGAACCCGGTGAGCCATTGCTTCGACCCAGCCATCGAAGGCGAGATCCAGCACATGATGCTGGGACTGGGTGACGTCATCGCGCCGGGCTACCTAATCGGCTTCGCCTTCTTCATGGACGTGTGGAAACGCACGAAGTACATGGAGTACGGGATCACCACCCTCACCGGCTACGCATTCGGCATGCTCGCCACGTTCATCTCGTTGAAATTGATGGCCACCGCGCAGCCGGCCCTCATTTATCTGGTCCCGTTCACGCTGATCCCCCTCACCCTCCTCTGCACCATCAAGGGCACCCTGAGGGAGGCGTGGAAAGGTGCACCCAGCCAATAACTGCCTTTTCGAACAGAAATCTCATCCGTTTTTTTTTGTTAATCTAGTGGTCTAAAGGAACATTGGGGTATTTTGGAGGGAAAACAATGTTTTAGAAAAGTGAAAATGAGTTGGAAAGGAGGTATAGGGAATAGAAAAGATGTAAAATGCTTTTTGAGCGAGATTAAAAGGTTTAAAGTAAGGGTTTTTGCAAGATTTTTGATATCAACCGCATGGATAATATAAATTTTTGTTTAATTTAGCAAAAATTTTTGCTGAAATGTGAAAAATAGACTTTATTGTGTCTGAAAACACGATTTGCAGACTTTGGGAATTTTGATTTTATCAATTATATTATCCATGACACATCAAATTTTTTTGGGTTTATCTCGAAAATTACTGTACCTAAATCAACGAAATTGGCTTCAAAATACCCCCTATGACTTCCTAAGCACGTTTTGACTTTGATCAGCTATTTAATTCGCCTATAATTGGCTGTAAAATCGGAAACTTGTACATCCCCGATATTACATTTTTCCCCCAATTTTAATATTATTACCATCTTTATTGTCACGTACGAAGAATCTTTGTACCAATCAGGAAAACGGGCAACTCTTTTTTCTTTCTATTCAGTCTTGTTTTTTTTCATTTTTACTTTCTATTCACAGTACGCGAGCCGTTCAAACTGGTCCTTTTTGTTGCATAAAACAGTAATATTCAGTTGTTAATGAAAAATAAATTTATTCACTCGATTTCGGTAGAGTTTTGGAGAGAATCATGTGAAATTGGATTAGTTGTGATATTATACATGACATTAATGAATCTCAAAAAATAAATGGTGTAATCGGCAATAAACATATATGAAACATAAAAACAGAGAACTGTAAACCACGTATTTTACATTTACATCTCGAATATACTGAATTTTGATCCATAAATTGACAATTTTACCTCGACATGTAGGCCTTATGTGAGTCCCACCACGAAAAATTTCATTGGCATTCTGTTTCATTTTTGATGATTTGAAGAAAATTCCGCGAAAAACATCTTGTTGTTGTTCAAGATGGAGACCATGGAGAAAATCATACCAACTAGCCATTCTTTGTAAGTTTTTTTGACGTATTTGATATTGTTTTACGTTTAGGGAGGTATCAGGTCATGAATAATATTAAAAAATGCTTGAAATAGACGAAGTTTGATGGGAGATTGAGAGAAAGAGGTTTAGTAGCTCTTCTTACTGGTTTGTATAGCGGCGGACCTTGCTTTCGATTTGATTTTGACATTGTTTCGCCCGAAATATTATTCTTTACCAACACTTTCCAGAAACCCAACTGTTACCGGAACTTCGGCTTTGGCCGTTACCTACGATGGTGGAGTAGCTATTGCGACCGATCGTGTCGCTTCATACGGAAAAACCGCTCGTTACAAGCATATTCCTCGTCAATATCGAGTCAATGAGAATGTTGTAGTTGCCTTTGGCGGAGATCACGCAGACTTCCAATGGCTGCAAAATGTGATTGAAAGAGTTGAAGAAGATCATAAATCGTATGATTCGAACATCAAGCTGACCGCCAGGGGTCTGTACAACTATTTGTGCTCACTTTTGTATTACCGTCGATCCAAGATGGACCCCTTGTGGAATACATTGATTGTGGCTGGTAAGTGGTGTTTTTATTTGTTGGTTTGCTTTTAGATAGCTGAAGGAAGAAATAGTAAGGGATATGAGGGTTTTTTCGGCAGGAGAAAGCAGCTAAAAATGTTTGTTTGAAGCCAATTTATATTGTGCTAGGCCTTGTTGCCTAAAATAATGTTTTCCTTTTGTTTTAATGTTGGTATTTATGGAAGTTATAGTTTAGAAAGTCGAAGGAGACCATAGTGAAGCTCCTGTTATTTTGAAAATTGTCAATAAGCGTTGAAAATAGTACTTTCAGATCAATTTATATTCCACTAGTACTTCCGAAATAAAAGTGTGGAAAAATAAGTCTTGTACATTTATAAGAAGGCTCATATAGGCTTGAATGATCATTTAAAGTTTCTAAATTTCTTGGGACAACATAGCTGAGCTCCTCCCATATTATCTTATGTTGCACTTGACCTTGATATAAAAATTTTAATTTTTTTGTTTTAATCCTCAATTTTCTGATCCCATCTCTCTAGGAATGAACCCAGAGCCCACCTACGACGAGCTCGCCCCATTCATCGGCGTCATCACTCAGCGCGGAGTTGCCTACGAAGCCAAGAGTGTGGCCACAGGAATGGGTCAGATGCTTCTCAACGAATCCCTGGAGCGTGCCACCCGCGACAAAGGCGGCAAATTGAACAAAGAAGAGGCGCTGGATCTTATCCGCACCACCGTCCAACTCGGCTATTACCATGATTGCTGCGCCGACAATGAGATCGACTTGACGGTGGTGGACAAGGAAGGGACCCATTTATTGAAGCCCGAAACCTTCGTCGGCGACTGGTCTCTGGCCGAATACAACTGTCAATATGAGTAATTATTCCAGTGTGTATCTAATTAAAATAAATTTATTTCGATTTGAAAAAATTTTTGGATGCTCAACAAGGGTACGTTTTTTTACGTTTTTTGTCCATAACTTTTAGGAAAATGAGCTTGTTGGGAAAGATTTGGTATTTTTATGGCCTCAGGGGCATGGTTGAGGTTTCTATGAAAGAATTATTTGACGGCTTTGCCCATAAATTGTTGGAAATCCAATAATTTGGCAGTAGGTACAAGTTTAATCAGGAAGGTTACGTTTTTTCTCCATAACTTTTAGGAAAATGGGGTTGTTGGGAAAGATTTGGTATTTTTAAGGCCCTAGAGGGATGGTTGAGGTTTCTATGAAAAAATTATTTGACTTTTATGTCCGTAAAGCGTTGAAAATTCACTAATTTAACAGTAGGTTCAAGTTTTATGCCGAAACAAAAAGGTTTTAATTCAGTCTCAAATTTCAATATTTTTATAGTTTATTCGATATTAACAATCTCCAAATAAATGCAAACAACAATTGTAAATGGAAAAAATTCAGTTTTGTTTTGGAAAAACAAAGAAAAAAACCCGCGTAAAAAGAAGTCGGTTTCCAAAAAAAGAAGTTGCGAAAAATACACTCTAAATAACGTGATATGACTCTGAATTACAATGAAATGCCTTATAAACGAGAGAATGAGCGGTGAGAGTTTGAGCGTTCTAACTATTAGACAGTAGGATTACTAGCACTTTCTCTGCGAGCATTTTTAGGGGCTGGAGACACGCGAGGTGGAGGGTGTGTCGGGTGGAGTGGAGGCGGCGTCTAGATGGGCTTGGGCCGCTTCCAGCTCGTAGACGGGGTTCGTGAAGGTGGTGGTTGTGGTCGAGGTGGGCTCGCTGATCTCGCTCATCGAATAGTCGTCTTCCGTTTCGATTTCGTTCTGAAATTTTGGTTGTAAATAGCTTGTTTCTTCTTATTCTAGCTTGATAGAACTTGTTATAGCCTTTAGGCCTGATTTTTTCCTCAGAAAGTGCTATCTTCTACAATCTTTGCCTAGTGTAATATAAAAAATTTCGACTTTTTTCTGGAACAATTGTTTCTAATGAATTTCTATATCGTATTTTACCTTCGAGAAATTGACAACTTCAACAACCTTGAAATCCCCAGAAAATTCAAATTTTTTATATTACTCTACCTAGTGTAATATAAAAAATGTCTCTTCGCTACAGAAAGCAGATTCTAAATTCATTTTTACACCTTATTCTATCCTATTACTACTTTTTCTCTCTTTTAAAACCATCAAATCTCCCCAAAATTCCATTTTTCCCCAATCCGCCTAGTATAATATAAAATTTCCCCAAAACTCACCTTATTATCCAGTACCGGGTTTCCAAACGAGATGACATTGCCTCGGAACGAGACGGTGCCGTCAGCCAGCTCGTTCTTCTTGTTGAACAGGGTCCTCTTTTTGTACATTGTCATCGCCAACACGGTCACAACGCCCAAGCAAATCAACAAGGCCAACATCAGCAGCATGGCGAAGATGCCGCCCGAGCCGAGTCTGCCGATCAGCTGTTTGGAGACTGTGGATCCCTTCTGACAGAATTCTCCTTCAAATTCTCCGCAATCGCAGTTCCCGTTGATCAGGCATTTGCCTCCGTTTTCGCATTTGCACTGTTTTGGTAGGGGTCTGGCGTCGAGTTTGAGGCCGGCACAGGTGCCATCCTGAAATAATATTGATATTTAATTAGGAGAGACATAAAAAACCAGGGTTGGACGATTGGGGAACCGAAAAATTTTATTTTCCTCCGATCCACGTCAATCCAACATAGAAGAAAAAATGACCCGCCCCTTTTTGGTGATTCGTTCAAAACGAAGTGTCACTATCCGATAAAACGCATTTTCGTATCTTTCTTCTTCCTTTTCGAGAAAAAGAAATTATTTTTATGAAAATAAAACATAATGAAAACGATACGAAGCTTCGAAACGGTTCAGGAAATGCGCTGGATTGACGTGCGATGCAGAATCAAAATTAGGATAAAGTCGGGCTTGGGAAATTTAGAAAATTCAGAGTGAGATCGCTGTGAAAGGTCGAGTTCTGTAGAGAAGAAGGGCAAAACGACAATATTGTGGAAAAAAATTATATTATCCATGACATTAAACTCCAATATTTTGTAATTTTTGATATTACATTAGCTTTTTTGGGAACTAGGACGATTGGGAAACCGAAAAGTTTTTTTTTCGATGCATGTGTCGAAATCAGCACCATCGATAATCTTGATTTCGAAACCTGCATCGAAGAAGAATAAAACTTTTCGGTTTCCCTAATCGTCCCAGTTCCCAAAAAAACCTACAAAAAATTGGTGTTTTATGACATAGTAATATAATTTTAGTCACAAAATTGTCGTTTCTCCCTTCTTCTCTACACAACTCGCCTTTTCACAGCGAACTCACTCTAAATTTTCTAAATTTCCCAAGCCTAACATACAATTTTAGCAATTCTTGCCTAGTACAATATAATTGATCTCCTAAAATCGCCAAAATCCTATCAAAACAAAAACCTACCGCAAGTTCGGTGACATTCTGTGGACACAGGCATCTGAAGGCGTTGTTTCCGAGGTTGGCGCACAAATGAGTGCACTTTGCTTGTTCGCAGGGGTCCTTCAACCTTCTCGTATCTTTGGCGAATTTCTGTTGGATGCGAACTCCGTGCACGTCTGGCAAGGCTGAGGCGAGAATGTGAGCTCTTCCTCTTCCAAATTTGTCTTGAACATACAGTGTTTGCGTGTCCTTCGATACCCAATACACATGATTTTCAAAGACATCCAGGGCCCATGGGGAATGTTCCGAATGGCCGACCCATTGGCGTTTGCTGCCGTTGGGGAGGACCGATTCGATGCTCTTGAACTTGGGGTCAGTCCAGAAGATTCGGTTGTTCTTTCCCTCGTCCACGGCGAGCGAGGTGGGGGTAAATATGACCTTATTCACGACGATTTGTCGGTGGTTTCCGTCCGAGTCGGCGCACTCAATCTTGGCCAGGAATCCGGCGTCGGCGTAGCAAATGCGGCCCAGCGCTGGGATCGTGATAATGCTGGTTGGGACATGAAGGTGGCCAGCGATGATCTTCTTGATATATCGGCCGTCATTCGTGGCGATCCACACTGAGCCCGAGTCCGGGATTCTTGGCTCGGACATTCGTTTCTGTCGGGCGTTATAGCTCTCATTCTCCGTAATAGCTCCTGATCTAGCTTCCTCTTGAGCTACAGCTCTCTGATTCTCCGCAATCTCGCGTTTCCTTCGCTCCACAAGGATGCTATTCGTATCCGATGCCATGGCGGTGAAGAACAAGTTGCCAGTCACATAATCGACGGCCAGTGCGGTGGGTTGAAGGCCGAGTTGTTCGAAATCAATGTCCAGCGGCTCGCCTTCATGCGACTGGTTGCCTTTGGCGATGGCGGAGCGGAAGATCTTCTTTTGGGCGCTGTCGATCCAGAACATCAACTCGCGGCGCGGATCGAACTCCACCGCGATTATATCGCTCTCCTCGTCGGCGGCGTGCGCCGCCGCGTTTCGATTCACTCCCGAGGCGCCGGCCAGACTCAGCTGGACCAGTTGGTCGTCGGCGGCCACCACCACCTGGGCGTAGTCGCCCTTGGCGCGGCAATCTTTCCCACTCATCGCGCCCACCACAACATTGTTTTCGTAGTCGTCCAAACAGCGGCAAATGTAGGAGCCTTTGGTGTTCATGCACTCCTGGCTACAGGTGTTGTTCCCGGCGCACTCGTCAATGTCGATGCAGTCCAGTGGGTTCAGGGGATTGGGCTGGAATCCGTCTCGGCAGTGGCAGTAATAACCGCCTTCCACGTCCGTGCACAGGTGGTTACAGCCTCCGTTGGCGGCCGCACAGGTCTTTCCGTTGTTCTTGTCTGAAAAGGAAGTGAATTTAGCGGGACTTCATTGGGTTTTTGGGCTAAAACTATATTACTTTAGGACAAAAAATTTCAAAAATTTCTTTTTTCGTACAAAATGTCCATATATAAAAAATCAGAAATAACTTGAAAATTCAGTATCTAGTCCAAGTTAATAATTCTACATTCTTTCTTTACCGATGTTATATTGTTTTAGATCAAATTCGAAAAAAATAATTTCTTCGTATAAAATGTCTCCAGGTCGGTAAAAATCCATAATTTTACTCCAAAAATCCTCCGACTATCTCAACTGCTCCATTTTCTAACCAACATTTTCATTTTTACAATGTTTTCCGCAAAACATGTTTCATCGTATAACCTGTCCGTTTAGGCATCAAACCTCCCAAAAACACCAAATTTTTTCTCAAACTCGACTTACTGCATCCAATTTCGTCTGAAGCGTCTCCACAATCATCGTTTCTATCGCACGCCAGCGTCGCATTGATGCATTTCCCATTGGCGCACTTGAACTCGTCGCTCGAGCAGTCGCCGTACTCGCTGAACGACGAGCACATGCTCAAATGTTCGTCCGAATAGTCGTTCGGTCCACAATCATTGTATCCATTGCATAGTTGGAGGATATTCACGCACAGCCTCGAGTGGGCGCACCGGAATCGAAGTGGGGGTTCGCACTGTGCGGTGCGACATTGGGCGTTGGTCTCATCCGAGTTGTCGCCGCAATCGTTGTCGCCGTCGCACATGAATTTGCGCGGGATACACACTGAATTTCCGCATTCGAATTCGTAAGGGGAGCATTGGCGGCGGTTGGGCTGAAAATTTTATATTGTAGAAGGCAGGTCAAAATCGAAAATTTCAAAGTGGTTGGATTTTGATAAAACTTTCCAAAAATCACCTCTATGATATCCTCAGTAATCGCTGAAAATTTCAAGGCTCAGTTTTCAATGACCACTAAAATACAGAGCTTTGAAAATTATATTGTAGTAGGTAGGTCAAAATCGAAAATTTCAAAGTGGTCGGATTTTGATAAAACTTTCCAAAAATCATCTCTAGGATATTCTCATTAATCGCTGAAAATTTCAAGCCACAATTTTCAATGACCACTAAAATACAGCGCTTTAAAAATCAAAAAATCCCAAAAAAAATTTCAAAAACAACTTTTTTTTGCTCGAGTCCCTCAAAAATCCCTTACATGATCTTCACAATGAGTTTCATCGGACGCATTGGCGCAATCTCGCCTCCTGTCGCACCATTTGTGTTCGGGGATGCATGTGCCGTCATCGCATTGTCTGAAGCCGTCGTTGCACTTCCTCGATTGGCAATTGCTTTCGTCGAGGCCGTCGCTGCACTGGATGGTTCCGTCGCACACCTTGCTCTGCGGGATGCAGCGTCCGTCGTTGCAGCGGAACTCGGATTCGGAGCATGGGCGCGAGGTGCCGCCGCATTCGCCGTCCGTCTCGTCCGAGTTGTCGCCGCAGTCATTTTCGCTGTCGCACATCCACCGCTTGGGGATGCATTTGCCGGTGGTGGCGCAGCGGAACTCCCCGACGTCGTCGCAGGTGGGGCAGCGCGACAGGATCTCGTCGGATTCGTCGCGGCAGTCGTCCTGTCCGTTGCAGAAGGCCCAGTCGGGGATGCAGCGGTAGCTGCTGGCGCACCGGCTCCAGCCGCGCGGGCACTCCGTGGTCGCGCACTCGGCCGGCTCGTCCGAGTTGTCGCCGCAGTCGTCGTCGTTGTCGCAGCGCCACGCCTTCGCGATGCACTTGTTGTTATTGCATCTGGAATTGGATGGCGGTTAATTTGGCCATTTTTTCGGGAATAAAACGGATAAAAATGCGGGATTTTTGGTAATTTTGGGCAAATTGGGAATTTTGGTCAAGTTGAAAATTCAGAAAAAAAATATTAATTTTTTCTGAATTTTCAACTTGGCCAAAATTTCCAATTTGTCCAACCTGACCAATCTGCCCAAATGCAAATCGGAAATCTTGGTCAAGTTGAAAATCCAAAAAAAAAAGAAATATTTCTCTGAATTTTCAACTTGCCCAAAATTACCAATTTGCCCAAAATTCCCAATTTCCCTCCCAGTCATTTCAAAACGCCCACCTAAACTCTTCAGCGGTGCAATTTCTCGCCGGACTCTTGCAAATCTCATCCGATTCGTCGCTGCGATCTCCACAATCATCATCTCCATCACAGGTGAACCTCAGCGGGATACATTTGCCGGTGGCTTTGCACTTGTACATCCAGGGGTCGCAGGGCTTGTCGCAGTCCTTTTCGTCGCTGCGATCGCCGCAATCGTCCACTCCGTCGCACAATTGGAAGGGGCGGGTGCAGTTGTGGTTGTCGCATTGGAACTCGCCGACGGGGCAGATGCGTTGGGCGCAAGTTTCGGGCTCGTCGCTGCCGTCGCGGCAGTCCTTCTCGCCGTCGCAATACCACAGTTTGGAGATGCATTTGGCGTCCTCGCCGCCGCATGCGAACTGTCGTTCCGTGCAGTTGGGTTCGCAAGTCTTGTTGTCGGCCAAAAGGACGAATTGATCGGGGCAATTGCAGGTAAATCCTTGGCCACCCGCCGCGATTAGACACAAATGCGAGCAGCCTCCATTCTCATCGCCACACGGGTTTTTGTACGCCGGTTGCCGCAGGGGATGGACGATTCTCAGGTCATTTGGCAGCTGAATTGTCGTCTCCAACACCGTCTCATTTCCTCCCGTAAACTTGGACGCCGAAATGACTTGTCTCAAGTTCCAATCCGACCAATAGAGTGTGTCATCAAACACAGTCAACGAAGAGATGTGAGAGGTGCGTTTGGCGGGGATATGGTGCCGATTCCGGCCGTCCAAGTCCATCCAGCCGAGCTCGTTGAGGTGGGCGTCGGCCCAGAACAACTTCTCGCTGTAGTAGTCGATGGCCAGCGCGTTGGGCCAGCCCAGATCATTTTCCGCGAGCTTCGTGATCGGGTCGTTGGTGGAGGCGTTGGCGCTCCGGCCGTCCAACGCGACCCGGCCAATGTAAGGCTGGAAAAAAAAAGAAATTTTGATTTTTTGATTAAAAATTCAAAGCTTTCAGTTGGAAAAAAGTCAAAAAAACTCTATTTTTTATAGTTCTTTCCGGACGAGTCGGACACGTCATGTTAGAAATGAAAGGGGGTACCCTACTGAGTAACAATAGAATAGTGGTTCAGCCCATCGAATTTCTAATTTGCAGCTTGGCACAAAAAATTTCAAGGTACTTTTTGGGACATTTTTTGTCATACAGTGACGGACCTGATCCAGTGGCAAAAAACGTACCATTTTGGATCCCGGAAGTATCAAAAAATCTAGCAAAATATTATACCTCCCTCTCAAACTAAAAAAAACTCCGTTTCGAAGGGCTTGCTTTTGAAATCGGGTTTTTTCACTTGGAGAGGGAGGTGTTTTGCTAGATTTTTCGATACTTCCGGGATCGAAAATGGCACGTTTTTTGACACTGGATCAGATCCGTCACTGTATGCCAAAAAATTTCCCAAAAAGTACCTTGAAATTTTTTGTAGCAAGCTGGAAATAAAAAATTCGATGGGATGAACCACTATTTTATTGTTACTCAGTTGGGTACCCTCTTTCATTTCTATCAAGACGTCTCCGACTCGTCCGAGTTAAAATTTTCGCAACTTTTCCAAAAAATTTCTTTGCAAAATATTTTTTCCACCTCCTCACCTGCAACGACCATTCCGAGAAGTACAAGTATCCCTTTTCCGGATGTACGACCAACGCTTTGGGTTGTTGAATTCTGTCTCTAATCAGAGTTTTACAGTATCTTCCATCCAATTCGCAGACTCTCAGCGATCTGTCCTGCCTATTCAGCATGTACAATTTCTTGCCCACCCAATCGACGGCGATGCCCTCTGTACCGAAGACATTATGTCTTACAACCGTTTCATAGTTGCTAATGGGGCTTCCAATGTTATCAATATTGACTCTATACAATCTTAATTTGCCCGCGTCCATCATGTAAATCTTGTTTTCATGAGTGTCCACGTCCATGGAGACCACGTTTTCGAAGCCTCGGGCCAGCAGTTCGTATGTGCTGCCGTCGGCGCTGAGCTTGCGAATGTAGTGTTTATTGGCCAGCAGGAGATACGGGGCGGGTTCTTTGTTATTCCGCTTGCACGTAATTTGATCCTCAGCCAGCGTGAACTCCTCATGGCATCGGCATTTGTAGCTGCCGATCGAGTTTTCACAGATTTGCGAGCATTTCGCGGTCCCATCCGCGCATTCGTCCGCATCCACGCAACTTTTCTGGTCTTTGTCCAGCTTGTAGCCCTCGAAACAGTCGCATTTGTAGCCAATCAACTTGTCGACGCATTTCTGTTCGCATAGAGGGGACTCCGCCAGCTCGCACTCATTCACAAAGCATTGCGGTGATTCGTCGTCTCGATCGGGGCAGTCATAAATCCGGTCGCAGACCTTCGAATTCTCGATGCATTCGCCACTCTGGCATGCGAATTGCCCGGTCGGGCATGAATTCGACTTCTCCGCGGCTGTCGCGGCGGACGCATCGCAGGATTTTTCGTCGCTCCCATCGTCGCAATCGTCGTTTCCGTCGCAGCGCCAGGTGTTCGGGATGCATTTGTGGTTGGCGCATTGCCAGAACTCGGGCTGACAGGCCGAGTATGTGCAGTTTGTGTGCTCATCGCTTCCATCCAGGCAATCATTATCGCCGTCGCACTCCCACGCCTGATTAATACAATGCTTATTAGCGCAGCGGAATTCGCCTTTATTGCATTCTTTTTTGCTGACTCCACAAAGTTCCTCGGCTTCATCTTCGCCATTAGCGCAGGTCACATCGCCATCGCAGAGCCACGACTTCGGAATACACTCATATTTGGGCTGGGCCAAATTCGCATTCGATGGGCAGTGGAATTCGTCGGCGCCGCATGTGCGATTCCCGCAATTGTGGACGGTAGATTCGTCGCTGCCGTCGCCACAATCATCCTCGCCGTCGCAGATGAAGGCGCGCGAAATGCACTTCCCGTTGTTGCATTGCATCAGGTACTCGCCCACACACACACGTTTCCCTTGCGTGTCCGTGCAGTTGGCGTGCGTCTCGTCCCAGGCGCCCTCGCCGCAGTCGTTGTCGCCGTCGCATTGCCAGGTCTCGGGGATGCAGCGCCCGTTCGGACATTTTACACTGAAAAAATTAGGGGATTGAAGGGGTCAAAAATGCTTTTCGATGGTCCAATTTTTTTTATTTTTTTTTTTGATTATGTGAAAACAAGTCATAAAAATTTTTGAATTTTTTTTTTATTTTGAAAAAGTTGGAATTTCAGAGGTGAAATTAAGACTTGAATGGGTCAAAAATGCTTTTCGATCGCGCCAACTTTAATTTTTGACTGTGTAAAAAAAATCCAAAAAAAAAAAAAATTTTTTTGCACTGTGCGAAAAAAATTTGAAAAAGTTGGAATTTCAGAGGTGAAATTCGAATGCAGGGTTCAAAAAATAATTTTTCGAGGGACGAAATTTAATTTTTTTAATTACTTGCACTGATAAAAAAGTCCCACAAATTTTTTTGCACAGTGCAAAAAAAATATCTTCCGACTGCACAGTGCGATAAAATAATTTCCATCTGCACCGTGCGATTAGAAATTAAAATCCGCACTGTGCAAAATTCCTTTCGACGACCGCACAGTGCTGTCACCAGCTCAGAAATTGCACGGTGCAAAAGATTTTTTGGTCAATCGCACAGTGCGGTCGGAAGTAAAAATTGTGCACCGTGCAAGAACTTTTTCTTAAACTGCACGGTGCAAAAAACAAAAATTTGTCCGCAAATTTTCGCACTGTGCAGTTTTTCGACTCTAAATTTCAAAAAAAAAAAAAAAAAATCCAAAAACCTACTAATGTGCTGCGCATTGTTGGTTCATGCAAAACAACTTGTTTTCGTCCGCCTTGTCGCCACAATCATCGTATCCATCGCACAAGTCAGCCGGTTGGATGCAAATATTGGTGGTTGGGCACTTGATTCGGACGCCTCGGCAATCGATCGGCAATCCGGGGCAGGTCTTCGAGTTTTCGTCGGACACGGCCTCGTCGTGACAGTCGTTTCGTCCGTCGCACACCTTCGAGTGCGGGATGCAGTGGCCATTGGTGCAGGCGAAGGTTCCGTTCGGACAAGCGGCGATCGGATTGCAGTCCAATTCGTCCGATCCGTCGCCGCAATCGTCAATGTTGTTGCATTGTTTGGTGTCCTGAATGCAGCGGCGGTTCGCGCACAGGAAGTATTTCTCGGGACAGAAACGGGTGACTGAAAAAACAGGAATTAATTTTCAAAAAAAAAAAAAAAAAAAAATTGAAAAAAAAAATTTTTTTTAATTTTTTCGAATTTTTTTTTATTTCCGAAAATACCCATAGTGCTACAGATCGTATTTTACCTCAAGCCCTGAATTTTTTGCACTGTGCGATAAAAAATTTCTTCCGAAGACCGCACTGTGCGGTCTGTCATTCTAATCTGCACCGTGCAGAAAAAAAATTTCACAAAAATTCGCACAGTGCAATCAGAAAAGTTTCAAAAAATTGCACAGTGCAGAAACGTTTCATAACTCAATTTCCAATTTGCACGGTGCGATCCGAAGTTCAAAACTTCGCACAGTGCATTCCGAAATTCAAAATTTGCACGGTGCAAAAAATTTTAGGAAGTCCGCACAGTGCACTAAAATTTCGAAAAGTTCGCACAGTGCACTAAAATTCAAAAACTTTCGCACAGTGCGTTAAAATTTCAAAGCCTTGCACTGTGCGCTAAAATTACCGAAAGTTTGCACGGTTCATTCCGAAATTCAAAATTTGCACGGTGCAAAAAAATCCAAAACTTCGCACAGTGCAAAAAACCCAAAACTTCGCGCAAAAATCGCCCCAAAAAAAATATTTTTAAAAATTTCCGCCAAAACTTCCACCCCAAAACCTACAGCAATAATTGGGATGTTCATCCGAACCATCAGCGCAGTCGGGTTTCCCATCACATGTCACATCGAGCGCGATGCATTTTCCATCTCCTTCACAGACAAAATTGTAGGGGCCTTCGCAGGTCTCATGCTGGGTGCTCCTCAAAATGCACTGTGTTTGGATGTCCTTTCCGGGCTCCTGTGCCAGTTCATACGTATCATTGCAGGCGCATTGAATTCTACTTGCGGCCACTCCGATTTGATGTGGGACCACATGGCAGATCTGGTCGCATCCTCCGTTGTTTTTCTTGCAAAGATCGGCAGTGTGTGAGTTGCACCACTGATTTCGGGTCTTCACATCGGCTTCGGAGGCGAAAATTTTCACGGTTCCGGGGATTCGTCGGTCCGTTGCGACTGTTTCAAAGTTATTTCCGGTGGACTTGTCCATCCGGAAGACTCCATTGGCCAGAGGATCCGTTAAATAGAGCCAGTTGTGCCAGATGTCCAGGCTTTTCGCGCGGTATCCCACTCCGATCAGGGCGCGATTTCCGCCTTCATAATCGCAAGACTCGATACTCAGGCGATTAATATCCGCCCAATAGAGGCGTTGTTCGCGGAAATCGACAGTCAACGCCGCTGGCAACGAAATTTCCGTGTTAATGAGGACTTTTCGATCGCCGCCTGCGGTGTTCGCCCGTTCAATTCGGGGTTCGTACGCGCCTCCCGAGATCTTGTAGCCCGAGTCGGACCAAAAAACGAGGCCGGCGCACGGGTCCAACGCCAGCGCGTAGGTCCAGTCGCCGGTCGCGACTGTCGCCAAATGATTCCGTTCCACGTCCAGCGCGTACAATTTCCCGGTCCGTCCCGTGGTCCAGTACAATTTTCCGGTCAGCCAATCCAGCCGCAAGTCGCTGATGTGTCGGGAATTCAGTTCAGTGTTCTTGTTGCGGTCCGGCGAGAAGATGAGACGCGGCGATTTGGGCTGATTCATGTGGAACCAGCTGATGTTCGCACCTTGCGGGCTCTCCGTCACGTAGTAGACGCGCCGTAGATTCACATCGACGTCGAACATTTGGAGACCTGGGATCGGAGGGAAGGATTCTTTGCGGGGAGCGACGTTTTTGAGACCTGAAATTTGGGAAATTAGAAGATAAAAATTTTTTTTGCATTGCACAAAGTGAACTTCAAAAAAAAATTTTTTTTTGCACAGTGCAATGAAAAAAAATTAATGAAAAATTCATTTACACCGTGCAAAAAAAAAATAAAAAAGTTTTCGCACAGTGCAGAAACATAAAAAATAATTTTTTTGTAGTGCAGCTGCCTAAAAAAAGTGGATTTTTCCTCTCAAAATTTTACCAAAATTTTCCAAAAATCCATTTGCACCGTGCGAAATATTCCAAAAATCCATTCGCACCGTGCAAAAAAAGACAAATAAATTTTTGCACAGTGCAGGAAATTAAAAAATAAAAAATTTTTTTAGCCCAATTTCCTCCAAAAATTGAGCCTTTTTCTCTCAAAATTTCTCAAAAAATTCCAAAAACCCATCTGCACCGTGCGAAAAAATCAAAAATTCCTTCCGCACCGTGCAAAACAAAATAAATAAAAAAGTCTTCGCACAGTGCAAAAAAAAAAAAAAAAAAAAAATAAATAAAAAATAAAAAATTATTTTTTTGTACCCCAAATGCTTCCAGAAAAACAAAATTTTCCTCTCAAAACCTTCCAATCCCCTTTTCAACCATCTCAAAATTCAATTTCTCAACCCTTACCTGGCACAATAGCCGAGTCGACAATCGTTTCTCCGTCCGCGAACATCAAGTAGGTGTCCGGCTCTTCGCAAGTCCTGCCCTTCGGTACTCCTCTAGCGCAGTCACATATGGGTGTGGGGCTTCCATTCACGGCGAAACAGAGCTGTGGGCACGGGGCTTTGCGCAAATTGTCGGTGACATGGCAGGGTGAGGATGCTTTGGGCTGGGTGAGTGGGTCGAATGCAATGATATCGCCCATATCCTGGATGCCAGCGGCGATAGTTGTTGGGGAGAGGACGAGTTGAGTTGTGTTGGGTTTGGCGCTGGCGGAGAAGACTTTCTCGAGGCGGCGGTCGGTCCAGTACATCATGCCATTGAGGAGGGATATTCCCGTGGCTTCAGCTATATCTCCACGGACCAATTCCGGTTTTCCCCCATCCTGACGGACTCTGTAGATGCCGTCCATGGCCGCGTCGGTCCAATAGATCATGTGGCTGTTGGGGTCGACGATCAGATCGGTGGGTTCCTTCAGGTCTTCGGTGACGATCACCTTCTTGCTGCTGCCGTCCAGATTCGCCCGCTGAATGCTCGGCTTTTGTCCCTGATCGGCCCAATAAATGTACCTCGAAATTGGGTCGACCGCAATGCTTGTGGGGGTCTCAGTTTTTGTGGACAACAAGATTTTGCGGTTCTCTCCGCTCAGCTGACACACCTCGATATGGGTGCGATCCGAGTCGGCGCTGATGAAATACAAGTTGTAATTGATCCAATCCACAGCCAGCGATCGGATCGTGAATCCGCCAAAGTTATTTTTGACCACCTCTTTCACATCCGACTCTCCGATCGTGATTTTGTAGATGCCTTTGTTGGGACCCGCGCCGTCCGCGATGAAAATGGATTTGGATTCGTAATCAAAGTCGATGGAAGTGATGGCAGTGCCTCCGATCGGGTCCAGGGCCACTCCACTCGCCTTGTTTTGGTCAATCGCCACTCCCATGACTTTATTTTTCGATGCTACCACCAAAAAACTATGGTCGTACACCTTGCACTGTGCGCCGTCTTTTTGATAGCCCGAGGCGCACATGCATTCGTATTGGGAGTACTGTTTGGGGATGCAAAGATGGGGGCAATTGCCGTTTTCGACGTGACAGGGATGGGTCTGGGAGGAGCCGCGGGGGTCCACAATCTTGATATTCACCAGCTGATCAATGTCTTTTTTAAAGTCCCTGAATTCCGGTGGCTGTCCGTCGTTGGCGACTTCGCCCACCAAAATCTTATCGAATGCAGTGTCTCCGTAGTATAACTTGGTGCCAAAAAAGGCCAGTCCATTGGGTTGTTTGCCTCCGTCGTTCAGAATGTAATGCTTGTCCTGTCCGTCGTAGGCGACCGACGTAATCCGGCCCGCCTTCGCCTCGGTGTAATAAACCCGCTGTCCGGTCGTGTCGAGCGCAATGTGGTCGAGTTCGCTGAGGTCGGAGCTCACAATCACCAGCGGATTTCCGCCGTCGAGGTCGGCGCGCGCCACTTTTCGAGTCGCCGCTCCGGCGCCCTGATCCAGCCAGAAGATGAAGCCACGGTCCGAATCCACCGCCAACGAGACGGGTTGCGCCACCGTGGTGGGGGATTGGTCGTTGTGCAGGATCACGGCGCGGAACTGCAAAAAAATTATATTATTTTAGGGAAAATGGATCTTATTTTTGATAAAAAAAAGGTCAAAAAAGACCTCAAACATCTTTGATTTGCTCTAAAATGTCTGCAGATTCCCTCAAAAAATCAATAAATTCCATTAAATCTTCTTTTAAAATCATCAAAATTTTCAAAAAAAAAAAAAAAAAAAAAAAATTAAAAATTTACTCGATTTTTGATGCACAGTGCAGTCAGAAAATATTGCACGGTGCGAAAAGGTTTTTGCACCGTGCAATCTATAAATCTTTTTGCACAGTGCGAAATGAGGGAAATTTTTGTTAATGCACAGTGCAGACAGAAAAATTTTTAGCCTCTGCACTGTGCAATAAAAAAAAATAAATAAATTGCACAGTGCGGAAACGAATGCGGCAAAAAAAATGTTTTTGATTCGCACAGTGCAAAAACTCCAAGAAACTCTTTCGCACCGTGCAATCCAAAAAATTCCTTGAACTGTGCAGCCAAAAATCCAAAAAAAAAAATTTTTTTGCAATTTCAATTTTTTTCCAAACCACAGTGTACAGTGCCAGCAAAAAAATCCTTTTCCATTTTGCACTGTGCAAAAAAATATACAAATTGCACAGTGCAAAAACTACGAAAGTTCTTTCGCACCGTGCAATCCAAAAAATTCTTTGCACTGTGCAGCCAACACTCACAAAAAATTTTTTTTGCAAATTTCAAATTTTTTCCAAGTCCAAAAAACTTCCAATTCCACTTACTCTGGGTCCTTGAGTTCTGACCACTTCGATGGTTTGGGTGACTTTATTTCCTACATACAAATTCCTTCCATTCCAGTCGAATGCCACACAATATGGGTCGTTGACGACTTGATTCGCGCTGAACTGGGTCTTATTGCTGCTGGTCAGCTGGGTTCTGAAAATTCTCGAGTCCGAGATCAAGGTCGCTCCGATGATTCTGGCGGTGGTTGCGTGCTCCAGATGGAACAATTCTCGGTCCATGGGGTCATAATCCGCATCAAAGGCGTTCGTCAGCCCACTTAGCGGGGTCATTCCAGCCAGCTCGGGAGTGCCGTTATTGGCTTTGTCGAGGCTGATTCCGATGATATTGGTCTTCTGGATCATCAGCAAGAAGGGTCGATGGTCCACGGCGCACTGATGGTCCGGCCCGCTGCTCGTTCCCATGGGGCAGAGACAGGAGAAACTGGAGGCGTTCGCTCCGATCAGACACACGTGGCTGCACGGGTTGTTGTGGCAAGGGTTGTTGTCGATCTTGGGCTGGAGGACGGGATGGACCGCCACCACGCCGAGCGCCTTGCTGAACGTGTGACTGGGGTAGTCTCGGGTGGTGCCGTTCGGGTATTTCGGGTAGACCTGCAAGCAGCGGTCAATAATGGGTGAAAGAATGCGATTACGACCGAGCCGCATCGATTATGACCCATCGTTGCAAAAGGCGGCCAGATTTAACAGAAAAGCGGCCCAATTTAAGATTTTTTTTCTACTAGTTTGAGCTTATCAGGGTACTTGTAATTTCTTTGTGAGACCTGCCAATTATGAATCCAGACGATGATTACCCACCCACTGTCGAAAAAAGCGGCCAGATTTAACAGAAAATGGCGAGCAAAGGGCTTGCATTCATTCCCAGCTTTCCTAAATGGCTAACCAAACACCTGCAGCGATAGCCAAACAGTCCAAATGGCAAGCCAGATTGTTGGACCGGCAGCCATGGCTAGCCAAAGACCATTACAGTGACGGGCCCGAACCAGTTGTAAAAAACGTACCATTTTGCATCCGAGAAGTATCAAAAAATGTAGCAAAATACCTCCCACTCCAAGTGAAAAAACTCCGTTCTGAAATCTCTCAAAAAACTCTCAAGGGAGTGCTTTTGAAATTTTTAGTTTTTTCACATGGAGAGGTAGTTATTTTGCTACTTTTTTGATACTTCCCGGATGCAAAATGGTACTTTTTTGCCACTGGATCAGGTCAGCCACGGTACGATTTGACGGTCTTTGGCTAGTCATGGCTGTGAGTCCAACAATTTGGCGTGCCATTTAGACCGTTTGGTTATCGGTGCAGGTGTTTGACTACCCATTTAGATAAGCTGGAAACGAATTCAAGACCTTAGCTCGCCATTTTCTGTTAGATCGTGCCACTTTTTTCGACGGTGGGTCATCATCGTCTGGATTCATAATTGGCAGGTTTCACAAAGAAATTACAAGTATCCCTGATAAGCTCACACTAGTAGAACAAAATTTGATTGTAATCCGGGCAAACTACGAACCTGTAATCTCTGCAATCTCCTATCCGAATAATAGATCATATCCTCAAATATGGCCATGGCATGTGGATGTTGGACGTATTTCGGGGCGGCCAAGACCTGAACTCTCCCTGTTCCATCATAATTCACAAAATCAATGTAGTCCAGTTTCGAGTCCGCAAAATAAATTCGTTTCGTCGTGTAATCGATCGAAATCGTGTTTGGCCAGTAGATCTTGGTGTGAACAATGATTTTCCTGTCAGTTCCGTCCATATTGGCCCTTTCAATTCTCGGGTTTTGTCCCCAATCGGTCCAGAACATGAGTCCTTGGCGGGGATCGAGTGCCAGGCCTCTGGGTTGGTCGATATTCTCATGCAAGAGGACTGCACGAACGCCCTTCTTGTCCAGACAGGCCACTTCGATGGTGTTCAGGGAGCTGTCCACCCAGTACAAGTTGCGGCCCACCCAGTCGACGGCGATGCCCTCCGTGATGTCTAGGCCTTGTCCGATGAATGTTTCCACATCGGTTCCATTGCGGGTGGCCGAGTAGATCTTCTTGTCGCGGATGTCGGACCAGAAGATTCGATCCGAGACCGAGTCCCACGCGATTGCCACGGCATTCTCAACTTGTGCGGCGAAGGTTCGCCAGTTCTCCAGGGTGGGGTCGGACCAATAAATTCTGTTTCTATTCGACACATAAACTCTCATTTCATCGCGATTTTCCGCGACTTTGCATGTTTTTTTGTCGGGTGCGAGGATGTATTCCATATCACAAGAGCACGTGAAACCGTGTTTCTCGTCTTCGCAGCGCTGGGAGCAGCTGCGGGGGTCGAGGCATTCGTTCTCCGGTTCGCAGTGGGTCTTATTCATAAGGGCTTCGCCCATGGGGCAGGTGCACATGGGGCCATCGGGGGTCATCTGACACTTATACTGGCATCCAGCTCTATCCGCGGCACACAAATCCCGGAGGCATCGGCCGCCCTCGTCCGTGCCGCCGGGGCAATTCTCTTTGCCGTCGCAGAGTTGGTGGACCTGGATGCATTGTTCGGGGGAGTTTGGACAAGGTACTTGGCCAAATGGGCATTTGGTGAGCTCGGCTTCGGGACGGCGACATCCGTGCTCCGGGGATTCGTCGGTCAAGTCGCCGCAATCATCCTCTCCGTCGCAGACCCATGTTTTGAATACGCATCTTCCGTTCTTGCATCGAATATGGTCCTCTGGACATGTCGCCATGCCACACAAGCTTTTCGGCTCGTCCGATCCGTCGTCGCAGTCCTCGCGCCCATCACACTTCCAGCTCTTCGGGATGCAGATCCCGCTGGTCACGCACTTGAACTGGTCGTCGCCGCACTTGTCGCTGTTCACCAGGCACGAGTCCTCGTCCGACGCGTCCTCACAGTCGTCCTGCCCGTCGCAGTGGTTCTTCAGCGCCACGCATTGGTGGCCGTTCGCGCAGCGGAACTGGTCCGAGCGGCACTGCTGCGGCGGGCAGCGGGTCTTGTCCTCGTCCGTGTTGTCGTAGCAGTCGTTGTCGCCGTCGCACAGCCAGTACACCGGGATACAGCGGCCGTTTCCGCAGGTAAACTGAAAGATTTCTATTATTTTAGATCAGATTTGGTTCTTTTAGGGAAAAATAAGGAAATTCCCCAAATGGGTCGTATTTTAAAAGAAAATAAGTCTGTTTACGATCCACATTTAACCTGTAGACATCAGAAAAGTGAAAAAAACTGTGTCTTCCGATCAAAATCCAAGGACTTTATCTTCTCCTTGACCTAGGTAAGTTTCAAATTTTGGATCAAAATATTCGTTTCGAATCTCCCTAAAATTTTTCCAAATCCCAACCCAAGCCCCAATTTTTCCTTCTCATCCCTCATCTCCCCTAAAATTCCCAAAAATTCTCAAATTTTGTCTTCTCCTTCCTTCAGGTATCTTCCAAAATTTAGATCACAATTTTCCTTTTAAATCCTATCAATTTTCTTGAGTACCGAACCTCCTCCTCTCGTATTTTACACTCTCAACCCCCATCTCCCCTAAAATTCCTAAAAATTCTTTAATTTTATCTTCTCCTTCCTTCAGGTATCCTTCAAATTTTTTCGAATTTTCGTTTCAAACCTCCCTAAAATTTTCTCAAATCCCCCATTCAAGCATCAATTTTTCTCTCTCAACCCTCATCTCCCTCAAAACTCCAAAAATTTTTCAAATTTTATCTTCTCCTTGACCTAGGTAAGTTTCAAATTTTGGATCAAAATCTTCATGCCTAATGTTCTCAAAACTTCCTAAATCCCCATTCAAGCCTCAATTCTTCCTTCTCAACCCTCATCTCCCCTAAAGTTCCCAAAAAAATTCAAATTTTATCTTCTCCTTCCTTCCGGTATCCTTCAAATTTTTTCTCCGAATTTGTGTTCCAAACCTCCCTAAAATTTTCTGAAATCCCCATTCAAGCCCCAATTCTTCTTTCTCAACCCTCATCTCCCCTAAAGTTCAGAAAAATTGCCAAATTTTATCTTCTCCTTGACCTAGGTATCTTTAAAATTTTTGATCAAAATATTCATTCTAATGCTCTCAAATTTCCCCAAATCCCCATTCAAGCCCCAATTCTTCTTTCTCAACCCCCATCTCCGCCAAAGCTCCCAAAAATTGCCAAATTTTATCTTCTCCTTGCCTGATTCGCAGTGCAAGTTGAGTTTTTGCAGATCTCCAATTTCTCGTCCGACCCGTCTCCACAATCATTGTCGGAGTCGCATTTCCATTGCTCTGGGATGCATCGGTGATTGTCGCATTGGAATTTCTTGGCGCCACACATTGGGTGTTGGCCATCTTTGCAGTATTTGGAGTCCTCGTCCGAGTAATCGCCGCAATCATTGTCCCCGTCGCAGGCGTACTGCATGGGGATGCATTTTTTGGTGTTATTGCACTTCAGAGTGCCTTCCGGGCATGGTTTTTCCTTGAAGCACTTCTCGCCATTCTCGTCTTTTTCGTCCGAAAAGTCGAGGCAATCGTCTTCGCCGTCGCAGCGCCACTCCAGCGGGATGCAGCGACCGTTGTTGCACTGGAATTGGCTTCCATTGCGGGGGCAGAGGGGCTCGGTGAGGTCGGTGGGGTCGGGGATGCAGGAGCGTTGGTTGTCGCCCAGTTTGAAGCCCTGTTTGCAGCCGCATTTCTTCACCAGCGCCGAGCCCGCCAGGCTGCCGCTCAGTCGCTCCAATCGGCCCGAATTCGCGTTGGAGGCGTTGTTGGGGACGGCGAAACAGAGATGGGCGCAGTCGTGTTCGTGGCAGGGATGATCAGCATGCTGTGCTGGGATTGGTTGGTTCTCCGCCGAGCAGGCTTTCAGCGAGAAAACGGAGCGCTCCTCCTTGGAGAAGTCGCGGATCACACTCCCGACTCCGCCAAACTTCTTCGAGACTTTGCGGATCGAATAGGGACGCTGATGGATGTAGAAAAAGTGGTCTGAAAATGAATGTATTATGAATATTAAGGTAAAATACGTTGTAGTTTCCCAATCGTGTTATTTTTTGGGCTAAAAATTTATTGTTGAAATAAAAATGAGCTAAAATACGACGGATTTTTTTTTTCAAATCCAAAAAATGGTGTAAAAATAAAAAAAAAATTGGATAAAATACGCAGGAATTTCTATGTTATTTTTTGCCCTAAAAAATTATTTTTGAAATAAAAATGAGCTAAAATACGGATTTTCGAATTCTTGAAATTTCTAAAATACGGACTGCAAATTGAAAAAAAAATCAAAATTCAAATTTGGTCGTATAAAATACGACTTCCAAATTCTGCAAAAAATTTTTTCAAATCCAAAAAATAGAGTCTGAAAATGAAAAAAAAGGTAAAATACGGACCCTTTTTATTTCATTAAAATTAGTTTTTGGGCCAAAAAAATAATGTTTAAATTCAAATTCACCTAAAATAAGGGGCCCTGTAAAGTAAAATTTAGAGCCAAAGAGTTATTTTTGGAATAAAATTCGCAACTAAAACTTAAAAAATTTTGAAAAATTTTTAATTCATCTTCCCAAACTTCAAAAAAAATTTTGTAAAATACGAACTTTTGGCTTTCATCACCAAAATTTTTTTTACTAACCCAAAAAAGGCGAGAAAATTTGAAAAATTTTTTCAAAACTTCAACTTTTTTCTTCCAAACCTCCTAAAATTCAAATAAAAAATCAAAATCCCTCACCATCCAACAAAGTCAACGCCACAGGGATGGGATTTTCGATGGGGATGGTCTGCCAATTGCTTCCATCAAAGTTCATACAGCCGATAAACTTGAGGAGCGAGTCGCTGACACACAGTTTGTTCTCCTCAAAGTCGATGACCAGGCCCGATGGTCGGCCCAGGGATTGGTTTCGGATCACTTGGCAATCGCTGGCGTCGATGTTGCAACGCAAAATTTTGGCGGGCCGTTCCGCTTCGGCGTAGAAGAGATAGCCCAACCAGGGATGGACAACGATGGCGACGGGGTCGTGGAGGTGGGTGAGGAGTTGGCGACGGACCAGTTGGTCGGGATGGACAAGACCCTGGAATTTGGGGTAATATTTTCATTTTTTGGGGGAAATTTTTGAAATTGAAAAAATTTTAAAAATCTCAAAAAATCCTAAAATTTCCGAAAGAATGGGTAAAATGATGATCGAAAAATTTGGGAACCTATAACTTGCCGATAAATCCCAAAAATTTTTTAAAAATATAAAAATCCCCAACTTTTTCGAAGAAATCCGAAAATTCCAACAAAAAATAGTTGAAAAATTCTCAAAATCTCCTCTAAAAATTCAATTTCCGCCTTATCCATCCTAAAATCTCAAACTTTTTCGAAAAAATTCGAAGATTCCAAAAATTTCCAACTAAAAATCGGCCAAAAATCCTCCAAATCTCCTCCAAAAATCACGCCTCGTTCTCAAGTCCCTCCAACATCCTAAAAACCAAACAAAAAATCAAAATTTCTCACCTGTTCCGAGACCTTCACCACCTCCAACGAATTGCGAATATTATCCACATAATATAACTGTTTGCTTTGCCAGTCGAAAGCCATCGAGATGAGGCCATCATTGTGCGTGACGAGGATCGGCGCACTTCCCTCGCCATCGGGCTTCACCCGGTACACGGTGTTATCCATGATGTCGGCGTAGAAGAAACTGCCGCCGTGCACGTCGCACTCCACCGAGAAGTACATTCCAATACGACGTTGAGATATCGGTGATATTGGGAGAATCGCTTCGGCCAACGCTCCTTGCACCATGTTCGGATAGATGCCCCTGACCACCTTGTTGCTGCTGAACAACAAGTAGTCCATGGACGGCGCGCAACGCTTCCCGTCCACCAGCTTTTGCCCAATCGGACAGGCACATCTAAAGCCAACTCCGAAGCCCGACGCATCCTTCCCAATCACACACATCCCTTGGCAATCGGCGTTCGCGCACGGGTTCTGGATCTGCTGCTGGAAACACTCGCTGTGCTCGGGTCCGGGCTGCGTCATCGCGTGATGCGCGGTGATCCCCATCGGGAACACATTGTTCTCCTTCTTGATCCACACTTCCTCGGTTTCGGAGCCGAATTTCTCAACCTAAAACAAGGTCGAAATTTATATTGTTTTAGGTAAAAATTGGTGTAAAAACTCGATTTTTTGGGTTAAAAAAGCGTGAAAATCATTTAAAAAGTCCTAAAATTTAATTTTAAAGCAAGCAATACCTAAAAATTTTGAAAAATTTGTGAAATTTTGAATTACATTACTTTAGGTAAAAAAGATACCTAAACTTGAATTTTTGACGACAAAAAAGGATGCAAACGACCTAAAAATCAACAAGGAACATCCTAACACCCCAAAACCGTGTTCAAATCCCATAAAAACACCAAAAATTACCTAAAATCAAGAAAGAAGATAAAAAAATCGTTCAACTCTTGATTTTTTACTATAAATCGTTAGCAAATAAAACAAAATTCAACTTCTATTGCTACTTTACACCTAATTTTACTCAAAAAATACACTTTTAGTTGATTTCACCGATTTCTTCGTTCTAACATAGGGCGCGAGCTGCCATCTCAAAATTACGGATTTTATCGATTTTTGTGGTGAAAATGGTGATTGAACATGTTTGAAGAGTAAAAAATATTTCTTAGAGTATTGGGAAGATTTTTACGATACATTTGCAGCATTTTTTTTACTAAAATACGAAATTTTTTTTTATTTTATTTAAATTTTTTGATCAAACATGCAAATTTTTGCACATAAACCCTCTGACTTACCCTCATCACTCCCAATCTGGTCCAATCCGTCCAATACAAGTACTGATCGAACAGCGTCAGCCCGAACGGATGCGGAACATTGTTCATGCCGGTGGCCACAATCCTCCGATCATTTCCGTCGTAATCGATACTCTCCACACGATCAACTTTCGGATCCACCCAGTAGACGCGTTTTCCGGCAATATCCACAACAACCCCACTGACTTGATGGGTGTGGGTGTTGATCAGGGTGCGGCGACGGGTTCCGTCCATGGAACAGGCCTCGAGTTTGAACTGATTGGAGAAGAACATGTCTCTGAAAGATGGGTTAGTGATTAGAAATTTGAAATTCATGGCAAAAAAACGTTTTTAGAACAAAAATAGGACTTCAAATTAAAAAATTTTTTGAAAGTCATCAATTTTTTTGAAACTTCCAAAAAATCCGTCATAACGACACAATTTAGCTCTCAAAAAAATTTGCTATGTGTTTTAGAGCTCGAGGATTTATTCTGTGCCAAAATTTTTGATATAATCATGTTTTATAATAATGTCATCATGACGGATTTTTTGGAATTTCATTAAAAATAGTCGATTTTAGGGTGAAAAAGGAAAAATAAAGAGTAAAATAGTGTTTTCTAGAGTGACTAGAATATCTTTGTGTAAAATTTCAAGATAATTTTTGAGCTAAAATACGAAAAAATGATTTGATATTTTTAGACTAAAAAAGATGATTTTAGGGTTTTTGAAGGGCGAGAGAAGGGAAATAAAAATCATAATTCTAATTTTTACAGCATCTAGGACCTCTTAGAGCTATCAAAAAAATTTTTGAGCTAAAATACGAAAAAAAATTTTTTTTTATTTTTAAAAAAAGTTTTCAATTTCAAAATTAATTTTTATACTCTAAAAAATGTCTATGTTAAAATACGGCGCTTTTCATCCGATAAAGTTTCCAAAAAACTCCTAAAAATCCGAAAAATCGGCTCTTACCCTCTCAACGGGTCTAGTGCAATGTCCAAGGGCAGCGTGAGTCCATCAGCCAACAAGACAGTTCTTTTTGTGCCTTCATAATCGCTGACATCAATTCTACGGCTGCCACTCTCCACAATGTACAAGTTATTCGCAATCCAATCGACAGCAATGTTCCTTGGGTAAATGAGGGACTTCAGGTCCAATTTTTTCAAATTCTCTATGTCTCCATCCTGTTTGATGTCTGCGGTGAAGGCCGAGTGGGTCAATCGGTCGGTCCAGAAGAGTTTTCGGTCGTTGAAGTCGAACGCGACGCCGTAAATGAACTCGCCGTTGGTGAGGCGTTTCGGCTCGTCGTGTTTGGAATTGGGGTCCACCAAGTAGAGGCCCTCTCTTCTCGCGACATATAGTCTCATTTTCTCCGGTTCCGCAGATTTACAGTACCCCCGGATAGTTCCATTGGCCGCACTGTGCGTCATTTCCAGCGTATAACATGTCCCCAGACACTGACAGGTGAATCCGGGCTTGTGATTCTGGCAATTCTGATCACAATACCCAAACTCGGCGCACTCATTGATATCCGAACAGGTCCGCTTGAACCTCGAATCCAGCTTATAGCCCTGCGGACACGTGCAAATCCCCCCTCCCGGCGACGCCTTACAGCCCGCCTGACAACCCAAAGTGGGGCACAGATTGTGCGTGCAGTTCTTCTCGTCAGCCCCGTCCTTGCAGTCCGCCGTCCCGTCGCACAGCCGCTCCTCGTCGATGCAGTGCCCCGACGCCGGACAGGGCCACATCTTCGGCGGACACCGGTACTCGCCGCAGTTCTCCTCGTCCGAGTTGTCCCCGCAATCGTCGTAGTAGTCGCAGTGGAACTTGCGCGGAATACAGCGCTTGTTCTTGCACTGGAAATCCCCACCCGAACAGGGCTTGAACTCTGAAATTTTTTGAAAGTTACAACTTTTTTGGGCTTATTTTTGAAAAAAAAAAAAAAAAAATTGGGATTTTTTTAAATTTGTAAAATACGATCTGGCTAAAATAAGGAAAAATAAAATTTTTTTTTGAAAATTTAGTTTTTAGAGAGTAAAAATAATTGGATTTTTTTTAAAATACGACGTTTTTTGCAACACAAATTTTGAAAATTTATTTGCAGTGTACAAAAAATAATAAAATAAAATAATAAGTTGTTTTTTAAAATACGACGTGATGTCCTGGGCTATAGGTTGATAAAAAAATTTAATTAATTTGAAAAAAATATATTGTAGGTTACAAAGAGCCGAAAAATTTTTTTGCAAAGTAATTGTAAAATACGCGGACTCCACGAGGTTCATTATTAATTCTAAAAGCCGATAACTTTTGTAAAAATCAAAAAAAAAACGAAATTTTTTGAAAAAAGGTCGGAAATTTTATATTGTAGTAGACAAAAAAATAAACAAAAAAAATTTTAATATGAGGTAAAATAGGGGTAAAATACGATAGGTGTTCTTTTCTTTATCAAAAATCTTTAATTTTTTCATAATAAAAATTTCAAGCAAAAAAATTCAAAATTTTTAAAAATCATAAAATTAGGATAAAAAATTTATATACTAGTCGCGGAAAAAAGTCCTTAGAATTTTTCGCGACCCCCAAATCCCGTCGCACCCCGAAAAGTCGATTTGTCGCTGAGAAAAATAGGAATCGCGCGCGACAATAAGGCAAAAACCGTTGCGGCAGAACTCTACCCCTTTTCTGAACTTTACCCCAATCTGAACTCTACCCCTTTTTCAACTCTACCCCAAAAAAGGCTGAACTCTACCCCTTTTTTGATTTTCGCCAAAAAATCTGAACTCTACCCCTTTTTGAACACTACCCCATTTTGAAAATTGAAAAAATAAGGTGTGACATGTTATACGATGGAAATTTTTTTCAAATTGAGAAAAATGAGGTGGGACACGTTATACGATGAAAATTTTTTTCACATTGGAAAGAATAAGCTGTGACATCTTATACGATGAAAAATTTTTTCAAATTGAAAAAACGAGGTGTGACACGTTATACGACGGAAATTTTTTTTCAAATTGAGAAAAAATTCACACCTTATTATTTTCATTTTGAAAAAATTTTTCATCGTATAACGTGTCACCCCTCATTTTTCTCAATTTGAAAAATTTTTTCATCGTATAAGATGTCGCACCTTATTATTTTCAATTTGAAAAAAATTTCCATCGTATAACGTGTCACACCTCGTTTTTCAATTTGAAAAAAATTTTCATCGTATAAGATGTCACACCTCATTTTTTCAATTTTTAAAATGAGGGGTAGTGTTCAAAAAGGGGGAGGGTTCATTCAAGGGGTAGAGTTGAAAAAGGGGTAAAGTTCAGAAAAGGGGTAGAGTTCAGGTTCAACCGGCAAAAACAACGAAATTGCACAGTGCAAAAGCACTTTTCGGGCCGGATGCACGGTGCAAAATGTGTTTTCGTGTGAATGCACAGTGCAGAGTCGCAGAAAATTCTAAGGACTTTTTTCCGCGACTAGTATAAACCAATTTTAAGAAATGCTCAATTTTTGTTAGCTATAAAAACGTGTTTTCCCATAAAATCATGTCTTATTCATCTCTATCCCAACTCCTAATCTCTCAAAAAATCCTCCTAATCCACAAAAAAATAATAATAATAATAATAAAATCAAAAATTCATTTCCTCAACTCACCGCAGGTGGGCGGCTCATCCGATTTGTCGGCGCAGTCCGGCGTCCCATCGCACACCCACGACTTCTGAATGCACTGTGAGTGGTCGGCGCACCGGAACTGATACTGGAAGCAGGCGGTGTGATTCGAGCCACACGTGTCCTTCTCGTCGCTCAGATCGCGGCAGTCGTAGAGGCCGTCGCATTTCCGAGTCATTGGGAAGCATTGTCGGCCATCCGCGCATTGGAAAACGGAGCCGTCGCCGGTGTCGCAGGAGATGGGAGAGGCTGCTGAAATTTTTGATAATGTCGTTTTTAGTTCTAATCTACCCATTAGAACCGAAATTTGCTAATTTCAAGGCCTACTGGTCGATTTTCAAGTAACCTAGGGCGCAAGCTGCCAACCAAAAAAACTTCAAAAACAGCAACGACAAGGCAAAAAAGAGTCTTACAAAGTACATTTTAAGCGATTATGACGTTGAAAAATATTTTTCATTTTTTATTTTCCCAAAAAAATCTCGTTTTGTAATCATTTAAAGTTTGGCAGTTCGCGCCCGAGACTTTAGCTCCAAAGTTGAATGTCAAAAGAAAAATTGTATCTTACTAATATATACTTTCTCTACTACTCATTTTAACAAAATTACCGCATTTCTAATGATTTTCCAGTCCGGCAGCTCGCGCCCGACCTTTCTGCAGGCTGCAGAGAAAAATCACGATTTTTCATAAATTTGAAATAAAAATGGATAGAAAAAGACGAATCAAGAGTAATTTAAGCAAAATTTAATCTACTGAGAGTACTTACGACAATCCTTTTCATCCGAGGCATCCGCACAATCGGTAATGTTATCACAACGCTGATATTCGGCAATACAAGAGACGGAATGCCACTCGTATTTGTCACACTGCCATTGGTCGGCCTTGCATCCGGGATGGGCTGAAAATTGCGGGATTTTATGGCGAAAAGTACCGATTTTTTTGTTGAAATTTGAAGAAAAATTAGGAAGATGCCTTAGGGCGTAAAAATAAAACTTTTGAAAAATGACAGAAGAAGTGTGAGGTCCGTATTTTAAAAATTAAAATCAGTTTATCAGCTAAAATACGACAATTTTTAAGCCTAAAATACGGATTTTATTTTTGAGATTTTTTGAGAAAAAATCAAAAAAATTAGTTTTAAAGTCAAGTAGAATATCCAAAAAAGCTTACGACAATCTTTCTCGTCCTCTCCGTTGGCACAATCGCCAGAGCCGTCGCATTTCCACTCCAATCGTATACAATGTCCATCGTCGCAACGGAATTCGTTCTCCGCGCAAACCGTCTGCCCGTGCCGATTGGTGGTGCCCGAGACTAGTGGCCTAATGCCCGGAGGGCTGGATCGGAATGGAGAGGATACTGAAATTGAGGTTAAAAAATGGAAAAAAGTCAAAAATCAAAAAAAAATTTTTTTCTTATTTTTTATTTTTTTTATTTGAAATTCAAAAAAAAATTTTTCAAAAATTGATGAAATTTTTGTATTTTTTGAAGCTCAAGAAAGCCTGTAAAATAAAATAAAACTTTGTCAAATACGGCGAAAGGCGCTGCGGGCAATTTTTCCCCAAAAAAATACCGATTTTCAACAAAAAAAATTGGTTTCAAAAACTTGCGTAATAACCAAAAATTGCTCAAAAAATCGCAAAAAATGCATAAAAATAGTTTTTTTAATATTTAAAATACGATCTGAAAGGTTTTCGAGACTTTTTTCTTCCCAAAACATTGAAATTCAAAAAAAAAATTTTTTTGAAAACTTGCGTAAGAACAAAAATTTCTCTAAAAATCGCAAAAAATGCATAAAAATAGTTTTTAAAAATTATTTAAAATACGATCCGAAAAGTTTTCGAGACTTTTTTCTTCCCAAAATATTGAAATTCAAAAAAAAAATTTTTTTTGAAAACTTGCGTAATAACCAAAAATTGCTCTAAAAATCCGAAAAAATGCATAAAAATAGTTTTTTTAAAATATTTAAAATACGATCCGAAAGATTTTCGAAACTTTTTTTCCCAAAACATTGAAATAAAAAAAAATGGAAAACTTGCGTAAGAAGCAAAAAAATTCTTATTGAAGATCCCAAAATTATTTTTCAATAAAATTTTTATTACTTCTAAGTCCCAAAAGTCCCAAAAACCACTCCAAATATCTTCAAAAACACTTACTTTGGACGGTCGAAGCGTCCGACTGCACACCATTTAGGGTGCATAAAAACACCGCACCGTGCAACAGCCAGAGGCGCCATCGCACAAAATTGTGTAAATTCATGGTCGATTTGTGTTTGAGTCAAAACATCGAATAAAAATTTGCATACACTACACACACAAATACCCGATTTAGAAACAAAATCTGAAAATTTTGAAAATTAAAAATTTTTTTTTGAAATAATCGAATATTCGCGAAAATCCGGAAATTTCGAAAACCCACAGAAACCACAATGTTATGTGATGATGAAAAACAATTAAAAAAGCCATCAATTAGCCAGAGGGTTGATGGAGAAATCTTCGCCGATAAAAAATGAGTCATATTATGGTTATATCACCGGAAAATGCAGGGGAAACTGTACTATTACAACCGACAGGAGAAGAACAACGCAGCTATTTATCATTTTTTATGTATTTACAGGGTTGCTGAAACTAAAAAATAGGATTTTTACAACTTTTGCAAAAATTTTTTGAGGAAAACCACGGCAACTTCTGAAGTCAGAATCTCAATTGGCTGAAGTCGAAGAAGCTTCAAACTTGGAATATTTATAGGCTAGGGAATCAGTTACAACGTGAAAATAGTTTTTTTTAAACTGTAAGTAGTATTACTCAGCAATGACCAATTTATGGAAGACCCCCAAAATTTGACAAGAACTCAAAGAAAGGCCTAAATTCCTTTAATGACGTCATCGGAAACAAGATAATTGATCTATTACAATCTGCAGGGTATGAAGAGTGAGTGTTGTATTCAAGTCAATTATTTTACAGTCCTGCTGCAACTAAAAACTATGATTTTTGAAGCTTTTGTAAAAAAATTTTGAAAAAATCCACGGCAACTTCTGAAGTCAGAATCTCAAAAGTCTGAAGACAAAAATTTTTGAAACTTGGAATATTTATAGCCTAAAGGGCTAGTTATAAAAGACATATAATATTTTTGAAATGGTAAGTAGTATTACTTAGTAATGACCAATTTTCGGAGCGCCTCAAAAACATCAAAAAAATCACAAAAGTCCTAATGTTTCGCGCAAAAACAACCCGCAGGCTTGGCAGATCTCCACAAAAAGTTCAACAGCCCGCCTCTGACTCCAGTAACAATAACCCTTCAACTCCACAAATGAGAATGGCGGCGAGAGAGCGCGCAAAAGGCGGAGAGGGCCCCGAGAACACAACTTCTTCGATGGGGAACGTTCGGAATCGGTCAAGTGGCGTCTATCAAAACGCTGCAACGCGAAAAACAACTCCTCAGGAGCCGCGGGGCGTATGCGAAGACGGACTTTCTCTCTTCTCGCTTTCCGTGCCGCTGGATCCGCACAAAAAATCAACAACAATAGGGGCGACGAAACTGATGACACGCTGGCAGAACGACATCATTCCGAACACCCATCGGCTGCGTCGCATTTTCAGCGGATAATATGCCAATTTGGGGAAACGGTAACAAGATTATAGGGGAAAATTTTCGGGACAAATGACGATAATTCGGGAAATTTGGGGAAAATGATGATAATTCGGGAAAATTCGATCGAAAATCGATAAAAGCCCGGATTTTTTGAGGCTTCAAGGAATAAAAATGAACTTTCAAAGTCAGTAATACAGTTTGGAATACTGTAACGAAAAATATTCTAGAAAAATCAAGGGGAATTTAGAAAAATTTAGAAAAAATGATGATAATTCGGGAAAATTCTCTTGAAAATCAATAAAACTTTAAATTTTTTTGTGGTTTCAAGCTCTAAAATACATTTCCATGTTCTGTGTTCAATTTTCGATACTGTAACTAAGTATATTTTTCAGAAATTTCAAGAAAATTTGGGAAAATCCAAAAAATCGGGGCAAAACTCAAATTTTTTGATATTGCACTAGGAAAACAACTTGGATTAGTTTCGAAAATACATGTCACAGAATCCAGAGTCCATATTTTGTAATTCTACATTGATCTCTACTTGATTACATGCTGAAAATTTTCAAAAAACCCAAATTTCATCAAAAATCGGCTAAAATTAGACAAAAATCCGTATTTTAGATATGAAAACGGCTACCTTATCAAATATAAAGGCAGCCGTCAATGAGCCTGTACCAAACGCATCATTTTAATATCTAATACAGCCAGTAACAGCCTTTCATTTTCTCGGTAAATCCAAAAATTCCCGAAAAATCATCATTTTTCTCTCAAATCCCCAAAAAATTCGCTCAAAACCCCAAAAACAACCTGCAAATATGACTCAAAAACAAGCGAAATACCGAGTAACATGGGTAGTTCGGACCGCCGCCGCCTATTTACTCACCCCAATGTTAATCAAACGCCCGGACTTTGCTCGCGAACCTGAAATCTCCCCCGAAAACCCGCAAAATCGTCGCTCTCCTGGGCTATTTTCGGGCTGTAAAGCGCGCTGAATGCACGACCGACGTTCCATCGACGTTGTGAGGTCAGTGGACGATGAGATGGGAGGGGCTCGTCATCGAAATCAATCGATTCAATGCGATTTTAATTGGTTTTGGGGGAAATTTGGAGGAAATTGCCGCTTTATGGGAGAGTAATGGATTGTAATGTAAGAATTGGAGCGCACAAAGTGTTGTCTAGACAGTATGTTAAATATAAATGTTCTAGATCAGCAAAAAAATTGATTTTTTGCAAGAAAAATTATCAATTTTGGCAAAAAACCTCAGTTTTGAGCGAAAAATCTAGTTTTTGTATCGAAATAGTAGGCTACTATCAAAAAAATACCGACTATTGTAACTATTGAGGTCTCTACAATATATCTGAGCTAAATGTTCCAAGGAAATATCAAAATTCACTTTTCTATAGGCCAATTTAGACTTGATGACATGGATAATATAAATTGATGAATATTTCAAAAATTTAACGGTTTTACAAGAAAAACAAACTGTAGTTAACAAACACATATCTCGCTACTACGTATTTTACCTTCAAAAAGTCTCACGACATCAGTTTTTCATTATTTTTTTATCTTATTTGGGATTAGTAGACATGAATAATATAAATTATGATGATTTGAGACCAATAACTGCAGTGAAGCTGTGAAAATATGACCCGTGAGACAAAATAAAATGTGCTACTTCATTATCAACTGTAAACTTCTATTTTGACCACGTATTTTACAAGTTATAACCTTATTCCTGTTTTGGATGACAAGGATAATATAATGGGCAAAAAAAGATGTAATCACTGGAATAAACAAGCTGAAGACACCTTAACCGATAGAAAATGCCCTAAAATTCTTTTAAAATACGATGCAGGCATGTAGTTGTTAAAATTTCGACATTTCTTTACAGCAGATGCCAAGGAGAATATAATAAGTAAAAGTTGATGTTGGAAGGAGCCTAGAGGAAGAAATGGTAGCAAAATGGTTCACAACTAAACAAGGATGTTTTAAAATACGGCAATCATATGCGTATGCATTTTAAATCGTTAAATTCGGACATTACTTTAGATCAGATGACTTGGTCAATATAACAGGTTAAAAAATGTTGGTAGGGAAGTAAATCAATTGATGGTAACAAAATAGCCTTCAAATTTGTTTTTCTGTTCTAAAATACAATTTCGGCGATTAATTTTGCCGTTTTCGACCTTATCTTAGATTTGATGACAAGGTGAATATAACAGATAAAGTGAGGTCTGCAAACCAAATTTTTTTAACTAAACGCATCAAAATGTCTCTAAAAGTCATTATGTATCGCAAAAATATTATTTATATGTTTAGCTTTGCACTTTTTGACCTTAATTTATATCAGATGACAAGGTGAATATAATGTATAAAAGTAGCTGTTACAAAGCAAATGAGCCGGCTAAAGGGGCCAAAATGGCTTCAAAATACAATAATCTTGTGTAAAATACGGAGTCCCGCTCAAATTAAGTTGCTATCCGTCGTCAGCGCCATAAAAACCACATTACTTTAGCTGATGTCTACTACAATATAAATTTCTCAGCGAAACGCCGCCAAATTTCCGTCGACCCGCGTCAAAACTGCCAACAGTCGACCGCAGTGGAGATGCCGATCAGAACCGAAATCAAAAGGTGATTTCTCTTTTTCCCGTTGCCTTCTCTGCCGCTCTCTTCCAGCGGGGCGCGCTCTCTCGCCCACGACCGCCGAGAACCGTGCGGTTCTGAAGGTCGGCGGCGCCACAGACAGTGTTGTAAAGATCGCCAACGGCAAAATTCGAAAAGAACAAATAGAAAAAAAAAGTTTTATGCGATCTCCGCGAATTTGAAAGAAAATGGGAAAAGGTGTCATAATGACGGATTTTTTGGAAAAAATAAACGTTATTATGACATGTTTTTTTCCAAAAAAATTTGAAAGTCCAAAAATCAAAAAAAATTTATTTTTCGAAATTTCAAAAAAATGCGTCATGATGACGGATTTTTTTGGAAAAAATACTCGTCATCGTGACATGTTTTCTGCTATAAAAATGAAAATCCAAAAATTGAAAAAAAAATGATTTTTAAAAATTTCAAAAAAAATTCGTCATGATGACATATTTTTTGCAAAAAAATTCAGAATTTTTTTCAAAAAATTGAGCAATGATGACGTAGTTTTTAAAAATCTCAAAACTGATGAGATAATTTTGGAAGACAACTAGAAACACGGCAAAATGCCGAAACATGCCGGCGAATTGTTGATTCCGCAAATATTACGCGTAAAACAAACATTTCAAACGCGGTGGAACATTAGCCATGACGAGGAGGATTTTTAAAATTTTTTTGGAATCGTTAAATTCACTTTTGAGCTTGTTAAAATGTGCAGAAAGACTTTTTTTATTTTCTGCACCGTCCAAAGACGTTTTTGTCGCTGCGCACCGTGCAAATGGACTTTGAACGTCTTTCGCGAAACTTCGCACAGTGCAGAACGAAAACAAAGAGAAAAGAGAATCTGCACAGTGCAACAAGGCGTCGCTGTTTTTTCACAGTGCAAATGAACTTTGACTGTTTCTTCGCACAGTGCAAATCGAAAACAAAGAGAAAAGAGAAACTGCACAGTGCAATAAATCGCTGAGGGTCTTTGCACAGTGCAAATGAACTTGGATCGGTCTGTCGCACAGTGCAGACCGAAA